CGATTTTAGAAATTATTTCTACGCCCAAACACCGAAAAAAAAAGCGAAACTTCGAGTGCATGTTGCGGAGAAGTGGAGAAAAAATCAATCACTTTCACTGCCGGCCAAGAGAGTTTGTCATAGTCGGGTTTCTGGCCGGGTCTAGTCCGGGGACCCCCCTCCATTTTCGCCTGGCCTCCGACAATTTTTATTGCTGCTTTTCACCCATTTACGCCAAGCCGATCTCTACACGTACCAAAACAGCAATGGCAAGAGGCAATGGCAAGCGGTAAGAGGCAAGCGGCATAACGAAGAAAAAGGTTTAGCTTGGCTAACAACGAAACTCGTTTCGCTTTTTGCAAATGCAATAAGATACAAAGTTTGGGCCACCACTGAAAATATAGACTAGCGGACTCGATGCTCTTTCGGCTCCCTGACTGACTAGTTTAATTTCGGTCAAAAACGATTTGATAACATGTCAGCTGTTCCCCGAAAAGAAAGTTCATAGGAAGATACGCGTTTGAATGTGGGTCTCTGATTAGTAAGTAACTAAGGAAGTACTCTATCTGATAATAGGTACTCTTAGCTTTTATGAATCTTAACCTTCACATAGATATAGATACTCCCGCGTTTGGCTTGAACTATCCCACTTGAACGTTCACTGAACTCACGATCGTTCTCTTTCGCTCCAGCTGCAACTGTCTCTCTCTCTCCGTGGCTGAGTTTTTTTTGTCAAAACTGTCAAGTCAAAAGTTCAAAACGAGAAAATGTTAAATGGCCCAGAATGAGGTCTGTGGCGCAATAAGCTTCCGAGAACTGAGTTTTACAGCAGCCCAAAACTGCGGGGTCTTGACGTCTAGCGGCTTCTTCTTCCGACTCGTTCTCATTGTTTGTTGCCTGTTTGGTTATTTGGCTCTTTAGCTGTTTGTCTCTTGGCCCGCTTTAAAACGCAGCTTGGAAAAGTTTTCGAGTTAATGGCCACTTTGCTCATTATAAGCCAACTAAAGCTGACTGGGCCCAAACTCTTTGTGGTTTCTGCGGTTCTTTCGGTTCTTTTAGCAGTCGCTGGATGCTACGCTCTCTCTGCGATAGGAATTCCGCCTTCTTCTTGCAACTGTGCGGCCTGTGGGCGCCTTCAATGCTCACAAATTTTAATCTACTTGATGCCAAAAGCCCCTCAAAGTTAGCGGCCACAAAACCCTACGCGCCGGAAAATTAAATGACAAACTAACTGGAAAGGCTTTATCGAAAGTGTGAATAAATTTAATAAACTTAATAAAAGAGTTTCCTTTAACAATTCAACAATTTATGCACATAAATAAGATTGTAAGCTACAGCAAATATTATTTAAATTGGTTTTAAGGCAGCAAATAAATGGCTTTTATATGAAAAACTAAATCATGAATAAAATCAAATAGAGTTTCCCTTATCACTTTGACATTTCAATGCTCGATGAAATGAAAACCAATAAATTTTTAAATAAAACTCTGACTCATGAACTGCTGGCCAAGAAGAATCGAAAACAAAAACTTCCTCCTCCATTTGGTAATTCATTTCATTAACCACATTCCCTGCCTTATCGCACCTCAGTGCCGGGAAAGAGACCATGAAAAACCACATAAAAATAATGTGTGATTTATAAAATAAATGGTCATTGGGCATTAAATTTAAGAGCCCGTCCATCGTGGCGTATGCGCGATAATTGTGGGAAAGGTTCGGCTAGTTTCCCCCGAAAATTCTGGGCACACCCAGCCAGACCCAGCCAGTCCAATCGACAACTAGAAGCCAAGTTAGCGGACGCTTAGTCAGTCACCGAACACGGCTATTTGCCCCACAATGCGCGCACTGACCCAAATTATGGCCAAGTGTGAGCCGCCCGAGAGAAGGTGGCTCTGGGATGATGTTGGCCCGCAGAACACATAAATCCAAGTGCTGGTCAACATTTCCGGAATTTTGATGCATTTCACTGGGCCTAGCGGGGCAAGACTTGGCGTTAATAGAGTGTGAAAGAATTTTTACTGCAATCCGCGAAGAGGAACACAAACAGTCGAGTGGAAGACGAAACTCAAGTAGCTTTTACGAAGCTAATTTCACAAGGTACTTGCCTGTTAGTAATGGAGTGTTAAAGATTTTGCAAGACCAAAAACTATAAAATACCAATATATCATAATATATGTTAGGATTTTTATAAACTACCTCTTTATAGACTTGGGTAGTAATCAAAAATCTTTAAAATTTTGTTAATATGATGTTTGCAAGGTACTCAAAAGATGCTTTTTCAGAAGCCAAAAAGATTAAGATAAGAGTATTTGGCCAAAAAGATAAGGAGCAGAAGTGATCTATGAGAAGAAAGATAGGAGGCCAAAAGAGAAATTCTTGAAGAGTTTGTTAATTTACTGGCCCAACTTCCGGGTGGCTGTCTGCGAGAGTCTAAGCTTAGTACGTTCAGCTCATGATTTAGTGTGTTAATTGTTCTTCGTCTTTTTTGCCGGAACCGCAAGTGGAATAGAGAGGATGATGGCTAAAGGAAACCAGAACAACGCCACTAAATATCCATTAAAAGACATTAGACATTTCTTTTGACATTCATGCGGCAGAAGGAGATTGCCGTATAAATGACATTTTCCACTCAGCAATTTTATCTCCATCAATTCGTTTATTTATTGAACCGAAATCTGTGCACAAATGTCAGTTTCGCTCTCATTGATTGAAATTGTTTTTGGTAAATCTTTTGCATAACATTGACATAGCCGAGCCAGCACAAAAGCCGAATCTAATGTGTCCTTGCCTTGCAGGGGGACGACGGGAAGGAGAGATCGGAGCAAATGTAATCGAAACCACAAAAGCCAGTTGAAGAGGGTCGGCGGGCGGGGTCAGCCAAGGAACCAAAGAACACCAGAAAACCCCACATCAATCAAATACATTCTCGCTTTCTGTTTACTTTTTGCTGGTTTGTTTAGCTAGAGATTGCCATACACTAATTTTATCGATTTCTGCTGTTGTTGGCCGGCTTACATTTTAAATGGGAAATGGGAAATTATGTAAATGAAACTTTTGTTTGCGGCATTTGGGAAATGCCTTAAAAAGATCTGATTTCGGTTCTATTGCCCAGGGGTTTTCTCTGATAGAAAAGAGTTTTCCTCTCAGCCGAAAATAAATATTTTTGAATGGATTCCTGAGAAGTTATCTCTGCTTACTTTTTCAGGTGATGAAGTAACAGTCAGGTACCGGAACACTGATAAGATATAAAGAAACTCTACAAAGACCAAAAAATAATCACCTTATAAATTAGTGCTGATACTACCTAACTTCTGTAAAACTTCTAGGTATTATAGAATAACCCATTATCTGATTTTGTAACTATCAAGTTCAAGCATATATAGCCTAATTGAAAGAATTCTTGAGTGGAAATGGAAGCCGAAAAGTCAAGTGAACGTCAACAAACACTCAGAACTTATATCGCAGTTCCGCTGATAAGGCAATAAGCGTCAGAGATCCGTTTTTAATAACTCAACTAAACCATTGTAATCTGTGAACCAGCCAGAAAAACTGTAGTACACACAGTTCCTTATCATTATCTTGTTCGAAAAGTTTGGAAACCCCAACATGTTATTACAGTAATGAACAAGAAATATAATTGCATTGTGTTTGGTAAATGAATCGGTGATATGAAAGACCTTTGAATTGAATTGACAAAGAAATCATTAATTGAAGCTAATTATCAAAAATATCTATTAAAATTGATCACTCCAGAGAACTTTTTTAACTCTTTATAAGGCCCTATTACTTTGCATTTTAAACAAACAACTTGTATATTAATACTCATACATACATAAATAATTTGATAAGCTCGAAAAGTTGTCCGGGCGAGAAAGCTAATGCGGCAAAAGTAATAAAATAATACAGCCATGTACGAGTATTCCTCAAAACTTATCACAAAAAGGGGCCTTGGCCTGCTGGCAGATAAAAAGTGGAAAGATGGAAAGAGTAACATTGAGAAATTGCCGAGACAATGAATGACTGACTGAGTCCGGGTGGGGAAACTATAACAAGACGCCAGCGATTCGAATTCATTCGATAAACACAATCTGCACATTTTGTGCCAACTGAACTGAACATTGATAATTCTGGACTATCAATGGGGTAAAGCAATTTTTTGTTTTAATTTTTTATTAATTTTTATTTTGTTTTATGATTATACAAATCAATTTACTTGTTTTTAACTTTAAGAAGTTTAATCATGAAAAGAAGCTACTTTTGGCAAGGCAAAACTATAAAAACTAATTAAAGTCTTCTACATTTTTATGAAAATATATATCGGCTGGTGCCGATCTATAATATACTCTTTGCTATATACTTATACGGACGGATATTTTTTTATCCGTGCAATGCAAACGTCTTATTTATATTCATACTTCATATATGTATGCGAGGAACATAAAAAAATGTACAACTTATCGTTTTTGTAAAAATAGGTATGGTATAAAATTGCAGTTGGATAATTTATTACTCATTTCCATTTTAAAAATGTAGGAAACAAAGAACTTGAAGGTTTTCCATTGTGAATTTTGTTACTCCATTTTGCATAACAAATCTGACTTATATGGAGTTAATCGCCTGATTTACAGTTTTTCAAGTAGCTGCAAGATGAGTAGTAACTACTTTAAGATACTCTAGTCTTAAAATACCTCAACAAAATAAAGAAAATAATAGTTCCCGGACAGATAGACAGACAAGTAACAAATTTGCCAATAGGAATATCAGAGAATCTTGTTTGTAAACATTCAATATGATTATTAATTCATGTCAGAGAGCTTTTAGTAAATCCAACAAACTGATCAGTCGGAATTTTTTTTGCTATCTGCAGTCCACTAAATCAAATTGACTACAACTTCTGGTTAGCGTTTCATCAGTCGTGACATCGCCTTCCAGGCCCCCGCATAAGCACTTCGTCCGAAATGCGTGGCACATGGCTTGCCTGTCGGCTTTCACTTTCTCCCCGGATGTCTGAGCCCACTCACCTTTGATCCTCCAACAGCTTCTCGGCCTGGGCGAGGCGCAGGCGGACGGTCTTCATGCTTTGGATGGGAAAGAGGCGGCAAAAGCGCGTGAGGAACGCGGGACGCCAGCAGAAACGTGGAAACTCCCGGCAGACGTCCCACAGGCGGGTGTTGTGCTCGAACAGATAGGTGTGCGTCTTGCCAAAGTTCAGGTAGTCGATCATGTCGGCGTAGTCGCAGTTGAGCAGGTTCTTCAGGTTCTGCACGGCCAGCTCCTGGTCTTCGGGATCGCGGATCTGCTTGATACCGAAGTCGAGCAACGGTTCATAGTGGTAAAAGTTTCCTGGAATCGAGTTCAGGATGTCGCCCAGGAAAGTGGAGCCGGAACGCCACGAGGTGACCACCACGCTACGCACCGGGGTGCCATTTGTCTCTGGCGTCATATCCGCCAATCTTTCAGCTCCGCCGCGTGGATACTCAAAGTTCTCCATTTCGGTCAGGATGCGCGACCGTTGAGCCGACAGGACATCCACTGAAGTAGCTGTCAGGTTGTAGACGACCGTCTGCGACGGCTGTTGCAGTTGCTGCTGGAAGCGGTCGTAGAAGGCGCTGCGCGCCAGTGAATTGGAAGGACCCCCATCCACGGGCGCGCCCACTCCGGCGCCCGCCCCCTGATCCCGGCCAGCCGCTTGGTTAAACGGGGTGGTCAGCGGACGGTGCTGGGTGGTGGCGATCAGCAGCAGGATGCACAGGCTGCTCACGCCGCAGATGCCGATCAGATTGGCCCTGCGCGACATCCGGCTGCGTCGCCGCTTCCCGTTCAAGCTGAAGCGCTGCTTAGCGCGTGTCCTGCCGGGATCGACGTTCGAGGGGTCTTCCTGACTTAGCAGGGAGCACGCCTCCGGGTCCGGGTTCAGCTCCAATTCCTCCTTCGAGTTACCCGTGCTCATTTGTCACTGGCTAATTGCTGGAGGCTGATTTCTCTAGCTTACGCTGGCTCCTGGCTAATCTCTGTTGCGCTATACTGGCACTCGCTCCCACACGCACATAGTTATCGCCGCGCCCTCAGCTCGAACGCATTGCAGATCGTTTTGGAAGTCGCGTCGCAGTACTATCTTTGTTTCCCGTAGTTATATGTTGATTTTCCGCGACACGACGTGATCCGACCCCGAAATGAACGATTAACAACAACAATGTGACCGTTGCTGGAAGGTCGAAACATACCGCGGGGAATATTTTAAAGGCTTTGGTATATATCCTAAATATGCCATGAAATCACGGTAACTGATTCACTAGCGGTGAGGAAATTTGCTGACCGCATAGCGCAGACTGCAACCATTGCAGCGTTCGGAAAGTCTGTTTCTAATATTTTATAGTATAACAGTATAACTCGGTCACACTTATCCGTAAACACGCAGTTTTTATTTACATTTTGTATTTACAATGTGCGGCATATTTTGCTCAGTTTTGCAAAATGCTAGTTCACATTCTGATTATATGTCACGCTCATTCAAAGATATTTTACGAAGTCGTGGTCCCGATGTGCAGGACGAGCTAGTTCTAAATTATGATGCTGGCCAAATGTTTTTTGCCGGCAACGTTTTATGGCAACAGGGGGAAAGTGTGCAAAAACAACCAGTGGTCGATGACGACTATATATTTCTATTTAATGGAGACCTTTACAATTTACAAAAGCCTGAACATATGTCTGACACATATTGGATAGCGGAAAAACTTTCGGAATGCCGCCTTGAAGAAGAGAAGCTACTGGACCTATTGAAAAACTTGGAGGGACCACATTGTTTAATAATTTATAACAAACGTGATCAAGTGTTATACTTCTCTCGCGACACACTGGGAAGAAATTCATTAATTATTGAACGGAGTTCCGAAGGATTGTATTTGTCGAGCACAACTCTCCACTTAGAAAATAAAAGAATATCACTGGAATTGCCACCATTGGGTCTCTATAGAGTTAAAGTGAATGATCTTACTTCATGCATATTATATCCGTGGCAGACCCTAAATGATTATGCTACACAGCTTTTAAGCAATCTTGATATCGCAGTTGGCTGGAAAACTACAGTGGACAGTCCGATTGCACCACATTGGATGCTTCAAAGTGATCTCACATTTGACTACGATTTCTATACATTTCCGTATATTGACAGCCCTAAGGACTTTTATGAAAACCTAATAAGTCAGACACAAATCAAAGAATCACTTGCCGTACTCCATAAACTGCTTTCTGACTCAGTAAAAAGTCGCGTTACGAACACTGCCCCATTTTGCCGACTTTGCTTACAAGAATTGAAACTTCCAACATTATGTAGCCACGCAAAAGTGTGTTTTTTATTTTCGGGTGGTATTGACTGCACCATCCTGGCTCTGCTGGCCGACAATTTTGTTCCTGAAAATGAACCGATAGAGCTTATTAATGTGGCTTTTGAAAGTGTTGAGGGCCAAAATACATCCGAGAAGATTTGGGATGTGCCGGATCGAAAGACTGCTTTGGTGTCCTTCAATGAATTGCAGCGACTTTGCCCTAAGCGGTCTTGGCAACTGCTAAATGTAAATGTAACCCGTAATGAATTGCAACAAAAGTTAACGACACATATAAGACATCTGATATATCCGCTTGAAACAGTTCTGGATGAGAGCCTTGGATGTGCCTTCTGGTTTGCTTCGCATTGCATCAGCTCCACTGCCAGAGTCGCTCTTGTTGGTAGTGGAGCAGATGAATTATTTGGCGGCTATGTCCGTCATCGCAACAGCTACAGACGTTGCTTGGGCAGTGAAGAAGAGCGCCAACTTGCCGTGCAAAACGAACTTGAAGTGGATTGGCAAAGATTACCGGCCCGTAATTTGGCCAGGGATGACCGAGTCATTGCGGATAATGGTAAAACAGCTAGAGCTCCATTCATCGAAGAAAACTTTGTAAAATATGTTAGATCTTTGAAATCCTATCAAAAATGTTGCTTTAGTTTCCCCGAAGGTGTTGGGGACAAATTGCTTCTCAGACTGTATGGCTATCAGCTCGGGCTTCGAGAAGCCGTATTCCTTAAGAAAAGAGCAATTCAATTTGGTTCTCGAATTGCAAACAGAAAGCAAAATGCTGCACAGCATTCGAATAACCTTTAACTTAAGTTTGTTATATCTATTAAAAGATAGCTTATGCGTTTTTTTAAAATGTGTGGCTGCAATAAATTAAGCAACCAATCTTTCAAAGTTTAAACTATTATCGTCGGCCAAAGGAATAAAAAGATTTAATAATTTTAAAATATCACGTCTTTTAACTCGCTTCTCAACTAATTTCAAAATAATTTGCAAACCCATTTTTAAAATGTAATTCAGCTTCGCAGGAATTGGGAAAGTATGGAGGACATGGCCATTAATTAAGATTATATGAAAGTGTATATACTTATACTATATATGGAAATAATGTTTTATTATATGTTATTACGCTAAAAAATAATTTATTTCATGATGATGTCCACTTAGTATTACCTAATAATACAACTAACCGATTTAAATTTCCAAGTAACTAGAAACTACTCCCAAAAAAAAGATTCTGATCCTGCCACATTTACTAGCCAATAGTTTTTCCCATAATTGGTTCAAATGTTTCCGGCGAAAAGTTTTTGAAGTCCTGGACCGAATGATAACCCCACAAGTCCATGGCCTCGCCGCACACTTTCTGAACAGCTTTTATATCGTTAACTTTCATTTTGCTCATCCAGTCGTAGGCGGGCTGGTTGTTATAGTTCAATCGAAGGTCCACCCCTATGGACTCTACACCCTGACCACTACGAGGATGAATTCCTCGAATGCTTGTCTTGGGTTGCCTCAGCGGCAAACCGTAGAAATCGAATACCAACTTGATACTTTCTTCAGGGTGCAAGACCAAGTCCTCATAACGTATGATGCTGTAGGATACAGATCACGATCATAAAACCTTTCAAAGTATATTCATTGGAAAACTCACCTGAAACGGTGGGGATAAAATTTCGTGAGCGTCTCAACCACCTGATAATCACTAACCATGTCACTACAAAGGGCTTCCGCTTCACAATCCTTTTCAGTCGTGCACCAATTGTTACTCAATCGGGAGTATATCGTGCCCCGAGGATCACGGACCATCAACAGGATTCGCAAATTCAGTCTGGCAAAATCAACAAAGGTTAGAAATATATCTACGAAAGTAAGAACACTTACTCTTGGCGTTCCAAAAGAGTGGCTAGATACTTGAGTCGCATGTTGTACACCGCCATGTTGATAAACGGATGGAGCTTGCAGATGGCAGCCATCGTTTCCCGATCCCAGCAGATCTCCTGGCTGTACGTGAGGCAGATCTTGTACTGAGCACCGTAGAACCGGCGGAAGACCGGAGATCGCATTCCATTGAGGATCATTTTCTCGGACTTATTGTAGTTGCAGTTGTACAAAGCCTCTAGCTCATCCAAAGCCCGACCTTGCTCCAGCTCCGACGTGGAGCGACTCTCGTAAGCGATCAGAGGAGCATAGTGCTGATAGCAGCCCGGCTGGTGAGCCAGGTTGTCCAGCAAGGTCAGGGCACCCGATCCCCGGAAAGTGACCAGCATAGAACGAATAGGCTGCCCGCCAGTTTCCAGGGTGAAGTTGCTCAGCTCGCCCAGGTGACGCGTCTTGTAGGCCAGGACTGACCGTTGCAGGGTGACCGGATCCGGCATAAGAATGGGCAACAGATAGAATATGAATAGGACATAGCTCATGTAGACACCCACGCAAACGCCAGTGAATTTGGTAGTCCTCGAAATCTGCATGACTAAAATTTATAATTTTTCCCAAACCCAACACTAATAATTTTCAAATGAGTCTGAAGTTGATATCTGGCAGAAGGTTCTCTGCTCCTATGAATGCCGATGAAAGGGTAGTTAAAATATAACACCATGTTTATCTTGTAACATGCTACCTTTATTGGCATATCATTTGTGTTTCATATACTTTTAATAGTTAATAATAGATCGTTATTTAGCAATAACTAAAATACTAATATTGCTATATTGTAATACGTAAATATTTCGAACTTCGATTTGTTAATATATATTTTGTATAAGATCTACTATGCTGCTGAAAATCGATATACTTTTGAAAAATTAAAAGAATTTCGGACTAGGCAACTGCAAAAATCTATAAATTTCGACTGAAAACTACTTTTCTTTGTAGAATATAAATGGCTTCGTGTTAATGGGTAGCAGCATATTGATCAAGATCTGCTAAATATCGTGAAATTTCTTTAGATTTCTGGCACTAAATGCGTAACATCGCAAACATCGAACCTGCATTATGCTTTAATACGTATATATGTCGGTATATCTGTTATTAAGTCTGTTCATTTTGAATCAAGGCAAGGGTTTCTGATGAGGATGAAGGCCTGCAAGGGAGATCTGATCCTTACAACCGTTTTATCTGCGAGTTAAGCTCATAGAGATATGGCCAGCAAAAGCAGTTTAATTAGTTATCTTTAAATTAAATGGAATATTGAAGATAAAACTGACAGTTTGGTCTAATCTTATGATGGGAATTAGTACCAAAACTAAACATATCTTAGTTTATTAATAAGTATTTGTAAAAAAGTATACAATATTTTAGAATATAGTAAAATGTTTTTCATTCTGCGTTAGTTTTAACTTACTTATGAAACAACTAAGGAACCAGTCGGTAAGAGCCCCAAATATAAACTAGGAATGCGGATCACATTTGGGGCTGCTGCTCTACCAACCTTAAAGTACTTTCGCATGCTTGAAATTAATACTAAATGTGTAATACCATTACTGTCCCTTCGAATGTCTTTGCTTTATTTTAATCGCTGTTGCCCTCGGTCTCATCGTCCAGCAGCAAGCTTGTCGAACCATAGCTACGGAGTCTGAAATTTAAAACATTTATAATTAATTTATAATTAAAAATAACACCAAAGGTTAAAAAAAGAGAACGGTTAGTATATAAGTTTAGTTTGCTTTTTAATAACTAAAAACTTCAATTGTTTATAAGAAAATATTATACAAAATTCACAACCGAATACTTTTCAGTGTCAGTTTGAGTGATCACTTCACCTCCTCCAATCTCACCTCGTCGTCGGATACTTTGAGGCCATCTAGATTAATGCTGTTCCTGGCATATCCCGCGCCCTGTTCCTTCTCATAAAGCTGCCTGTTCAGCTCATCCTTGCTTGAAGCCGAGCTGCTTCCTCCGTTGGTCATTCCCTTCAACGGCAGAGCGAGATTCGCCCTACTGGCATTGCTTCCTGCGCTTCCGTATCGTCCATTTCCGGATCGTTGTCTTTGATGATGGTGATGGTGCTGTCCGTGTGGATTATCAAACTTCTGTTTGGCCCGCTCGAACTCTAAGTTCCGGGACTTTGACTCAAATATGTTCTCCTCCAGATGCGTGGGCTTAGCGTCATAGAAGGCAGCGGCTGCCGCAGCCGCCGCCGCTGCTGATGCCGCTGCACTGCTCTGCTGCTGCTGGAGGAGCGTCCTCTCCGTGTGACTGGATCTCTTGACAGAAGCTGCATGATGCGCAGCTGCATCACTGCCATTGTGAGAGCTCCTCAAGCAGGCCTGCGAGTCATCAAAGATCTGGCGGAGATCGTTGATGTTCGGTAGAACATCGTTGGGCAGTTCCACGGCAATCTTATTCCTCAACTGCACCCCGCCCAATCCCCGCAACTGGGGACTCGGAGCACGCCTTAATTCAGTGGGTTAAGTATGGGTTAGGTGTTAGGTTATTAGCAAAGCCAGCACCAGTGAAACGTTAGTTGTTATTAGAGTTAGTCAAAGGACTTATTGTTATGTACAAGAATGTAAAATTATCTGCTGGTCCTACCTGTTCTGCAAGTGCTGTATCTGAACCTGCAGCCCTTCAGTCTGACCCACTAGCTCATCGTTGGAACGCTGCAATCGACGCACTTGGTTGACTGCCGAATCCAGTTCATCTTCAGCGCCTGCTAGCTCCCTTTTGAGCTCTTCAACACGCTGGCGAAGACGCTTGACCTGCAAGAAAAAAGTAAGTTGATTTTTCGATTGATAGAAAGAAGGAAATGTTTCACAAATTTGCAATAAAGATAAATAACTTAAATAATGTTAAATATAAATAAATAATTCAGTAATTATCCATTCCTTCTGCTTCTGAAAATGGGTAGATAATGCTAACCTATAAATGTTTTTTATTCCAAATAAACTAATTAACTGAACACATCTCGACTTATGCAAATCATATTCTACTGATTATTAGATAACATTAAAATAAGCAGTTTTGCAAAACAGAACCAGATTTACCTTCAATGCTACGACAATTATTATTTAGTATTGTTAACAATATAAAATAAATGAAACAATTTTCCTTAATATGTCATATATTGCATTTATATTAGTAATTAATTAATTTTGATAATCATTTAAAAAGTCTTTTATACGTCTTATTTACGTATTTACTCACATCTCTTAGCATAAAGAGACCCAAATAAAACAACAATACAAGGGGCGGGTCTTGCAGTCGGCAATCCGACTGATAAGCAGACGACCCCCGCCAAGTCGTGATAAGCCTCAAAATTGGAAAAATTTCCTCCCATTCGCTTCACTCTTGGTTTCTATCGTCAAGTCGAAAATAAATGCGATAATGCGAAAAATTTAGAACCCGCAGAATAAGATTAAGATCGGGCATAACGACAATATTACTTCTGGGTAAACAAAGCGTAGCAAAGAGAAGAGTCCGCGAGAAGAACGGGCAGCAGCCACAAAAGCTCTCGCTGTAGACTGGAGCTTTCTTCATTCTCTCGCCGAACGTCGAATCGAGCAGCTGTTCCCCTGAGAACCGGCTGATTAGTTGCAAGCAAACACACAGAACGGAAAAGGAATAATGATTGCGCAAAGTGTAATCAGCAAACTGCGGCCCTGTGCTCGACGTTTGGCCAGCACGAGCTCCACAGCTCCCAAGTTCAACTGGCAAGATCCACTGAATCTTGAGAGCCAGTTAACCGAGGAGGAGGTGGCTATTCGGGACGCTTTCCGCGGCTACTGTCAGGCGGAGTTACTGCCGCGCGTTAAGATGGCCAACCGCCTGGAGACGTTTGACAAGAAAATCATGGAGGAGATCGGCAGCTTGGGGGTCCTTGGCTGCACCATTAAGGGATACGGTTGCGCCGGAGTATCCAGTGTCGCTTACGGACTGCTGACCCGAGAGGTGGAGCGCGTAGACTCCGCTTATCGGTCCGCCGTAAGTGTCCAGAGTTCTCTGGCCATGGGCGCCATTTACGACTTCGGCTCCGAGGAGCAAAAGCAACGCTATCTGCCCAGTATGGCCGGAGGGCAAACTAATTGGTGAGGATTTGATTTATAATATTAAATAATATATAATGCAGACGTTTGCCGGATAAATCCTGAATTAACCAATATAACTAAGACCATTTTTCGTCCTTATCTCAGGTGCCTTTGGCCTTACTGAACCCAACCATGGCAGTGATCCTGCCGGTATGGAGACCAGAGCCAAATACGATAGCAAAAGCAAGACATACATTCTGAACGGATCCAAGACATGGATTACCAGTGCGCCCATCGCCGACGTCATAGTCGTATGGGCCAAATGCGAAGATGGTAAGGTTCGTGGTTTTCTGGTGGACCGCAAATTATCCGGAAAAGGATTGGACACACCCAAGATCGAGGGAAAGTTCTCGCTTCGTGCTTCTCCCACGGGAATGATCTTATTAGATGATGTTCGAGTGCCGGAACAGCAGTTGCTCCCCAACGTGGCGGGCTTTAGCGGACCCTTCACCTGTCTGAATAATGCACGCTATGGAATTGCTTGGGGAGCCTTGGGCGCTGCGGAAACCTGCGTAGAGATTGCTCGTCAGTACACACTGGATCGTAAGCAATTCGGACGCCCTTTGGCTGCCAACCAGTTGATCCAGAAAAAGCTGGCAGATGCCACCACGGAGATTTCCTTGGGCCTGCAAGCCTGTCTGCATGTGGGCCGACTGAAGGATCAGAAGCTGCACACGCCCGAGATGATTTCCCTTTTGAAGCGGAATAACACTGGAAAGTCCCTGGATATTGCCCGCCAAATGAGGGATATGCTAGGTGGTAATGGCATCAGCGATGAATACCATGTGATCAGGCATGTAATGAACTTGGAGTCGGTTAATACCTATGAGGGCACGCACGATATACACGCTTTGATTCTGGGACGAGCCATTACAGGACTGGCGGCATTTGCTAACTAATCAGTTTTTATGGAGGTTACTGAAGGACTGCATTTACTAATTTGTTTTATGTTTCAGTGTCAACGTGAATAAATGTTAATCAACTACAGTTTCCCTAGGCTGATAAGCTGATATGCGTAATCTGATCCATATATCATCTGATAAGATTTTTGGGTGTGGATTTACTCACCTCCGCCTCGTACTGTTCTGCACGACGCACGGCATGTCCCAACTCCGTATTCGTTTCGGCCAGCAGCTTCTTTAGCTTGGCGTGTGACATCTTCACCTCACTAATCTCTTTGTTGCGCTCGGAAAGTTCCTGCTGCAAGGCTCGCAGCTCCACGTCATTAGCCTGCATAGGTCGACACTTGCGATCGGAACGTTCTTGATAATCTCGCAATTCTGCTCGTAGTTTTTTGTTGTCGCGTTCCATGGCCAGTTTCTCCGACTCCAGTCGCTCGCGCTTGCCCCATTCAGAGGCGTTCTCCGCCTGAAGGTGCTCCAGCTCAGTGCGAAGTTCCGTGAGGCTAAAAAAATACAAGTTAGACTCCGGGCGAGCTAAAAAAGTTTTCCTTCTTACCGACGCTCAAGATTTTCACGAGCGGCAATCTCTTCCTGGAGGGAGTTGTTAACGATGCGCATCTCAGCGCGATGCTGTTCCTGAAGAGTAAGAAGTTCACGCACCGCCTCCTGTTTGGCCGAACGCATCTCCTCCTGGCGTCCGCGCACATCCTGGATCTCAAGGGTTAATTTCTCGATGCTCTTGTGCAGCTCCAGCTTTTCACTATAAAAAATACATTGAATTCCTTCAATCTTTGTTTTTAAAGATCCCAGTTTGCTTACTCTCTTTCCGCTTGAAGGGTTTTCTGTGCCTCGTCTAGACGCAACTGTAGCATTGATATTTTCTGCATTAAGTAATCTTCGTCGAAGTCGTCCTTAGACAACTGCTGAATTAGACGCTTCTCTTCGGCAGCCGCCGCCTCATCCAACTCAGTTATGTGCTTTGGCATAGCCCCTTTAAGAGCAAACTCCTCGATGTCCAGGTCCTTTACATCACTGGGCAACTTGGTGACTAAGCCATCCTCACTATTGACATTCTTCAAGCCATCCGATGAGATGTCCGGCGAGCAATTGGCATCCCGACCCTCCGCATCTTCGCTTGTGTCGGCCCGGTGGAACTGGCCGGCATGCTTCATCATCAACGAGTGCACTTTCTCCATCTCCTTCTTCAACTGCGTGATCTGCAGCTCGAGATCGTTCTTCTCCCGCTTCAGGGAGTGGGCTTCCTTCATGGCGCCGTCCAGTTTGAGGCTCAGCTGCTTTGACTCTTCTCTGGCCTTGTTCCGCTCGTTGCGGACCTTTGAAAAGTGAAAAGATTTGTTATTGGATTCGAATGGTATTGAACCAACATAAATGCCATGGCAACCGCGATTACCTTACTCCATTTCTCCCGCCAGTTTGCAGTGCAATCGGACCTGGATTAAGAAGTGTTTTGATAAACAGAAAGGTTTGATCAGTAGCAGCTTCTGCAACTTACCACCACTTCATGGTCTTCTCCATCTGCGCCGCCCTGGCTCGAGCCTCGTGCAGTTCCCTTTGCCTCTGAGACTGGTGGACGATATAGGAGTTTAACATATGTGAATTCTGAAATCATATATCCCGTCTCATACCTCCCGTGCTTCCCACTCCGTCTCTCCATATCTTGCCGACATGGTGGTCCCAATAACGCCTACGCCGCCCACTTCGTTGCGTCTGCTGCCGCCCACCGGTGCAGCAGCTGCACTTTGCGTCGTGGAAGCAGCCTGCGACATTTCGCTGGTATGCTCCGTTGATCCCGGTTGTTGTTCTTTATCCCTTTCAACTGCCTAGCTGAACTGTAGCATTGTGGGCGTGTTTCTTTCAGATTTATGGAACAAAGATGAAACTGAATACAGAAAAATAAATTGAACTGTTGTTGTTTACTAGTCGCTGTGAATGGTTAAACTGCAACTACCCAGAGTTGTCAAGTTTTTTCTTACACCTGCTGACCGTTCATCATTACCATTATTGTTTATATCAAAAAATGATCGACAGACTTTTGAAGACTTCTTAATTTTTAGCATTTAACTTAGCGCCTGTAAGCCACAAATACTTAATTTAAATATAATACATTTAAATTTTAAAATATTACCATTTTTATTATTTAAAGTCTCAAAAGTTAATTTTTTACAAACAGCTATAAAGTTAAATAAATTGTTTTCTTGTGTCTCGAAGACTCATAAGGTATTCGACAATAACGAGTGGCCTTATTATTTACTTTGTACGCTTGTCAACCCTACAAACGAAAAGAATTAACACAAAAACGGTAACACTAAAAAAGCCGCTACATTAAATTGGATTGTTTTTCTGATTCTTAACTGCAAAAGCTACTTTTAAACCATGGCCAAACATCATCCGGATTTGATCTTTTGTCGCAAGCAACCTGGTGTGGGTGAGTTTTTAAATATAAAGTGTAACAATTCCTGGCAATTAAAGAATAAATAAATTTTCGTTTATTCCATGCGGCAGCCATTGGACGCCTGTGCGAAAAAGACGACGGAAAGTGTGTGATCTGTGACTCCTACGTCAGGCCCTGTACCCTTGTTCGAATCTGCGATGAATGCAACTATGGATCATATCAGGGAAGGTGCGTTATCTGCGGCGGACCTGGAGTTTCGGATGCCTACTACTGCAAGTCCTGTACCATTCAGGAAAAGGACGTAAGTAACTAGTCAATTCTACAGGAAACTGTTGTATTACTGTCTATTTTGGTTTGTCCAGCGAGACGGTTGCCCCAAAATCGTGAATCTAGGTAGTTCCAAGACTGATCTCTTCTACGAACGCAAGAAATATGGATTCAAACAGAAGTGAGTATCCAAAACAATACAAGAAAAATATCGGGAAAAACATCACTTTTTCTCTAATGAAATCACCATATTATTAGAAATATACCTGTTCTTTTAAAAAGGCCACTAATATACTTTTCTCTTTACAGCTACTGATGTGCTCTCCACTACCTCATACATTTCTAATAAATTTTTATTGTAGTTTAATACATAAACAGAAGGTTTTGATAAATGAATATTTGAAATTTTAACTTATGTCTAGACGGCCAGCAGTTTCTCGCCACCATCGAGGTCGTACTGCAGGCATAGGCGATCAAACTCTGCCGACTTCTTGTCTAGATCGGTGACAAAGTCGCTCTTGGGATAGAACTGCCGCAGCTGTTCTAGATTTCGGTTAACAGCTTCTTCCGGCTTAGCCGTGAGGTGGGCAAGCACCATAAGATTAATCAGGGTATCGTAGTCGTTGTGCTTCTTCAACAGCGATTCTCGCAGCACGGATTCGGCCTCCTCGTACCGCTCCAGGCCCAGATGAACCACAGCCTGGCCGTTGAGCAGGGCCGGAGTGGGCTTAAACTTTTCACAGAACTCCTGGTAAATGTGGAAGGCGTCCTGCATCTGCTCTGTGCCTTGGGCAAGGGCTACCCACGCTTGAGCCAGTTGCGTTAGCGTGGCGTCGTCGCTGATTTCCTGCATCTTGGCAACTAGCTGCTTGGCCAAATCCACTCTTTGCAGGCGCAGCAAGCATTGGACCGACAGAGCCATGGATTCCAGATTGGTGGAGCCGTGCAGGATCTTTAAGGCGTTCTCGAACTGACCATCATAACAGTAGACAATGGAGGTGGCGATGTGCCAGATGTTGGTCTCATCCTCATCCCCGGCCACCTTGTCAGTGAGCTTCTCCAGCAACTCCTCCGTTCGCGAAGGTTGCTCAAAAGCTTCGTGCACCAATCGCAAAGCCTGTAGCGGAGTAGAATTGTTCTCCTTAATGTCTGAGGCCACAATACGCCCAGAATCGATGGCCAAGTAAGAAAGATACATGTAGGATAACAGCTCCGACCCAGCGGTTCCCTGCTCCGGCAGCACAAAGTTTATTGAGCCCATGAAGTTACCGATGTAGTACTCGTTGCGGGCATCGAATAGCACCGAGTTGGAGTCATCTTCGTTCTGTTGTCTGCTCATTTTGGGAATTCTTTCTAAATTGTCAAAGAAAAACACAACTTTTGTTTTTTCGGATGGGCTGAGTTGGCCGTCGAGTTGTCAAAGTGTGAACGTTGCACTTTAATTAAAAAAAACCAATTCAAACCATATGGCAACGCTAATCCGCCACCACAGCGTCAAGTTAAGTTAAAAATTACTTTAAAGCCGATTTAAGCAAATAACTATTTTATTGTACTTAAGTTCTTTTTTTTAATTCAAAATAAAGTATAAGGTTCAAATAAATTTTCAATTTCTCTGGCTACGCCCCTGGTATTTAGTGTTGTAAAACGTCATCGCCTAGATCAATTCCACATCCGGATATTTGCACGAAAGCTCAATTACATGTTAAAAGCTAACGGTTTTACCAACCGGTTTAACTAGTGGTTACAAATCAGCTTAGATATTGCATTACATTTGACCGCAAAACACAGTACTATATAAAATTAGCCTCAGCTTGACTTAAGTTGAAACTACTTTGCCTTTCTAATCTCAAATTTGTAACCTGGGGGTTATCTTATAAGAAATGTACAATCCGAAGAGCAAAGACCTTGTACGGGAGTATTTTCCAAGTTTTCATACCACCAGGTTCCAGGATCAACCGGATCCGCATATTGCCGTGCAAGAGCACTTTATACGAGTGACCAAACAGCGTGAGTATGGACTCTCTTGAAAGAATCAAACTTAAGCAAAAAATTTCAGATGAAAGAGATTTGACCCAGAAAGACGGTATAAATGTGGACCACTTGCGATATGGAGAAGGTCGCCAGTTGGTAGATATCTTCTACAACAAAAACACCAGCAGTCATGCACCACTTTTTGTGTTCGTGCACGGTGGCTACTGGCAGATGATGGATATCAGCACATCCTGTTCCCTCGTGGGTCCTCTAGTGCGGCATGGATACCGAGTAGCTGTTATGGACTACAATCTGTGCCCGGCAGTCACTCTCGAAAAGCTGATTCAGGAGTTCACTGAGTTCCTCAACTGGATCTTTGACTACGCTGAACTGACCAATGTTATGGAGATCCACTTCGCAGGACACTCGGCCGGCGCCCACATGCTGGCCCATGTACTAAAGGGCATTCAAGCAGTAAGCCCTCAAAGAAGCAAGAAAGTAGAGGCTTTGATCTTCTTGTGCGGGGTTTATGATCTAAGGGAACTGTACAATCTAGAGTCGGTTAATCCGAACAATATTTTGGGACTTAACGAGCGGAACGTGCAGTCCGTTTCTCCAATGCTGTGGGAATACAACGATGTGGCGATTTGGAGCTCCACCAAGATGTACGTGGTGGCCGCCGAAAATGACAGTCCCACCTTTATCGAGCAGAGTCGTCGCTATGCCGAGCTGTTGAATAAAAATGGTTTCAAAGCTACCTTTAAGATCTTTCCAAAGTATGACCACTTCGACATTATCGAAGAGACGGCCATCGACGAATCGGAAATTTCCCGGTTCCTGCGAAATATCCGCTCGGAATAACAAAAAAAAAAGCAAAATCTTCAGTTATCATTTCTCACCGTTCTGTTTAATTTGTACAACTAACTTAGACTAGTAGTATTCCATATGTACATTAGCGTATTTTGTGGTTTGTACACAACGGTACGGACTTTGCAATAAATTAGCTTTTCGGTATTTGTACAGAGAATTAAATTACAGAAAATTGTTAAGGGTTGAAGTAATGTTCTTACAATACAATAGTGAATTACAAAATAATTTTTAACAAATGCTGAAAGTTTGTTGACGAGTTTACATTTTGTTTTTGGTAACGCTGTCAGTTGATTCCGCTAAATTTTAAATAATTGGAATTCAATGGCAAAGTTTTTCTTGAATGCATGCATATATGTACACGTTTTAGCTGAAAGGCCGATCAGTGTATGGTGCTTATGACAGATTATTTAATTTAAAAATTCAAATATTAATTACTGATTTTGTTATTTTTTTAATAGTACATTTAATTAACAATTAAGATTATTTAAAAACGCACCAACAAACTCATTTTTTTTGCAATATGCGGTTATTGGCCGTTAAAGGAAATAAATAATAGTAGGCAAAAACCGAACCTAAACGGAAATAAATTGAATAAATAAACTTAGCTAGGGCTGCAGGCATTTCTGCGGGTACGACTCTTTCTATGACTCCTCATCCGAAATGATGATCTCGTCAGCAATGACAGGCATAGCACTAGGCATGGGATTGGGTCTTGTGTGCAGGTTTTGCCCATGGACGAAGTTGGCGTTCAGACTAGAGACGGACATTATCTTCAGTTTGCCGTTCGGCGGGGTTTCAACATACTTATTGCCAGTCTCGTCTCTCGTTATATCTATCACATTTCGTTCGGCGGGCGCCAATGCATCATTCTTTGGTGATGTTACTGCTTCCACCTCGGAGTCGGTATCACTCAGTTCTCCGTTACCGTTGAATTTATCCACGAAATCGTCCACATCTTCCTCCTCGTCTTCCGAGTCCGATTCCGCCTCGGAGTCATCCCCGTCGTCGACGGCCTTACAGATCTTTGTATCGATCGACCGTTTTCTTCTGACCTTCTCACGAGAAATCTTCATTAGGGCAGCGAGGGCTGCCGCTTTAGCTGCTGCCTGGGCGCTTGTACAGGGCTTGTCGTCGTCTTGTGCCAAAGCAGCCAGCTTGACAGCTTCCTCCTCAGCCTTTTCCTGCCTTAGTTTTTTCTCCTTAAGCCGCGCCTCCTGACGCTCTTCCGCATTGAGATCCTGCTCGCGGGCGTACCTAAAATGGTATAAAATATTAGATTTGAAAATTTTATTGAATTCAGCACTGCTTCTGTTATCGTGGGGGCTATAATATATCACTTTCATTTTCAAATGCATATTGCTTTAAAATTCGTACTATAAAGTGAAATAAAGTCTTAATTTGGAAACTGTCAAAAATGGAATACTAATATTTAAAAAACCTCATTGAACAGAGCAGATCTGAAATTCTTAATTTGTGCTCACTTTTCCAAGACATCACTTATTTTGGTTTGATTTTTGTTATTCTCCTTCAGCTTGGCAAGCAGCACAGGATCACTGGAAGCTGGATCCTTGACATTTGCAGTAAAGTGCGTTACGGTTTCATACAAATCCGTCTTCCTGCGCGACTGTAACATTCGTCCGACTTTGGCAAAGGCATCATAAGCTGTAATAAAAAACGTTTTATGCTTTATAGTCATACTTTATTTACAACCTGAGTCTTACCGATTCTCTTCATCTCGAAGCTGGCTAGTCCAAGTTTCTTCTGTTCGTTGCATTGCTCGAGAATCTGAAGGACATCATGGTAGTCGGGGAACTCCTTCATCCTGTTTACAAAAGCCGACAGAGAGCGATTGAAGTGTGGATAGTCCGTATCCTTAAACTGGATGGGCTGTTTCATATGGCGACGGGCTTTTTTGCTCTCGCCCGTTAGATCACAGATTTTCTCGTATATTTGGCAGGCGCGTTTTTTAAAACGCTCCACCTGAAGATAACAGGAGTCGTCGGCGTTTAAGTCTACATCAGACTCCTCCATTATCTTAATGCGCTTGATAATGGAGTAAAGTGTTCGGTTCATGTGCCGAAGGCGTTCATCCAATCGTTTATCGTCAGCGGTCTCAGGTTCCTGCTCGTCTTCCACCTCTTCCACATCGTCGTCCTGATCGTTTTCCCTTACAGGAGTCTGCTCTAGCGACCTTACCTTTACCGCGGTCTGAGCATCCACGGGTGCGGATGCTCGGGGAGGTGGTTGTTGTGCCTTTTCTGTATAGACTGCATGAAATTCTCGCCTTGCCCGTAGGTCATCCACTACATTCTTAAGGTGTACGTACATCATGTCCGAATCGTTTCTGATCCTCATCATGGCCAATTCTACGGACTGACGAAACTCACGCGAAATCACAAAGCTCTCGGGCACACTGTAGTAATACTTGGTCAATTTTCCTTTAGCCAAGCGTTCCATGTCCTCCGACTTATCCAACTCGCGACACAGGTTTATTAGTGCCGAGTATTCAGTTATAAAAGGAGGTCTTGCTTGTGGAATAGCTTCTCTGGGCTTTATGGGAATACAATTTTCTTTCTTTCGCTTTTCTGGAGGCGTTTCTGGCAGTTCATCTAAATCTACAATTTCCGAGACATGGGCAGATTCTTTTGTGGGAGTCATCAAAGCAGGTCTTTTCCGTTTACTGGGTTGTTTAGATACAGTAATCGATTCCATATACGAAGTCTTCTCCATGGTGTTTGTACTGCGCTCCGTATCCTGTTTTTCCGTGGGCGGCGTAGTGGGCGGTGACTCTACTAGGACAATTGTTGGCGTAGATGTCGACTGCAATTGCTCTCGCTGCCGTTGCTGCTGCTGTTGTTGCACGAGAAGGTGCCTCCGCCATTCCTCGTCAGATTTCTTAAGCACGGTGATGGGTTGGATGCGCTTGACAATGCTAGCTGGAGCCTTGGTCACCGGTGAAATGCTAGCTCCTGGCAAGGAATTTAATTTGAAGACAGCCGCTTTAGCTAGCTGCTGTTGTTGAACTGAAGTCGAAATTCCAGCTGGAGGTGGAGTTGTCGTGGGCGTTAGTTGTGGAGTAATGCTTGTGGTGGGTGGCAGATTCAGCAGTAGGGGCTCATTTAAGGCGGCAGCACAATGTGGTGGAGTGGCCAGAAGACGCTGCGGGGGAGTGGCACTGGTGGTAAAACTCTGGTGATGCGTTGAAGTCAGCGGAGAAGTAACTGGCTTGAGTTGTGTGCTTCTGAAAGGCATAGTTCGGGCAGCACCCAGAATTGGAGTTGTGGGGATGACAGCTCGAGACACCTGTGACTTTATTTGGAAGCTGCCTTTGTTGTTTGAGGGCATAGGCGTAATCTTGGCTACTGTCATGGGTCGCACCATCGGTGGACCGTGTGCCAATGGGGGAGTTTGCGTTGTTGTATGCGGTGGTTGCTGCTTTTGAACTACGTGAGCAGGTGGTGGCGTCTGCTGTGGAATAATCGGCTTTGTGGAAATCTTCGTCGTCATGGGCGATCTGGGCAACATGGGTAGTTTTTGAATCGTCATCGATTTGTGTGTGATTTGGTTAACAGTGGGCACAGACGGCGGCTGAGCCGGTTTCTTTGGACTTATTACAGAAGTCAGCAGTTGTTGAGCCATCTGTGTCTTTGGTGGCTGCTGTTGGACCACAGAAAATGGATTTTGTTGCAATGGTTGTACTCGCAGCATCTTTGGCAGCTGAGGTGGGACCAAAATTCCTTTCTGTTGCTGGGGCATTTGACCCACGTTCTTTGGTGGAAACTGTTGCTGTTGCTGGAGAGTACCAAGGCTTGGTCTCTGTTGCTGTTGGAGATGTCCCACAAATAATCTTTGCTGTTGATGTTGCCCAAGAGAGCTTAATTGCTGTTGAAGCTGGCCTAGGCAACTCATTTGCTGTTGTGGTTGCTGTTGCGGTTGATCCTGGGTCGTCTTCGTTTGTGGCTGCTGTTGGAGTTGACTTTGGGGGGACTTCTGTTGTTGCTGCTGCTGCTGGACCTGTACCTGGACAGTCTTCTGTTGCTGTGGCTGCTGTTGAAGTTGCCCTAGGCAAATCATCTGTTGTTCTGGTTGCTGTTGGAGCTGGCCCTGGGTCGCCTTCTGTCGTTGTGGCTGTTGTTGGAGTTGACCCTGGGTTGCCTTCTGTTGAGGATGCTGTTGGAACTGACCAAGGGCCATCTTCTGTTGTTGTGGCTGTTGTTGGACCTGCCCCTGGGTTGTCTTCTGTTGTTGAGGCTGTTGTCGGATATGACTCTGGGTCGTCTTTTGCTGTTGTGGCTGCTCTTGTAGATGACCTTTGGTGGTCTTCTGTTGTGGCTGTTGTTGAACTCGACCCTGGGTCATCTTATATTGTTGTGTCGGCTTTTGGAGTTGACTCTGGGTCATTTTTTGAATTGGCTGGGGTTGGGAGCTCTTCTGCTGTTGGGACTGCTGTTGGAGCTGCTCCTGGGCCGTCATCTGTTGTGTCTGCTGTTGGAATAGACTCTTAGTGGTCTTCTGTTGTTGTGGCTGCTGTTGCACTTGACACTGGGTCGACTTCTGTTGTTGTGTCTGCTGCTTTATGTGGCCCTGAGCGGTCCTTTGTTGCTGTGGCTGCTGATAGGGTTGACCTTGGGTCGTCTTCTGTTGATGTGGCGATTGTTGGATTTTATCCTGAGTCGTCTTCTGATTTTGGGGGTGTTTTTGGAGTAGATACTGCGTCGTGTTCCGTTGATGTGGCTGTTGCTGGATTTTATCCGGAGCCGTCTTCTGATTTTGGGGCTGTTGTTGGAGTGGATACTGCGTCGACTTCTGTTGATGTGGCTGTTGTTGGATTTTATCCTGAGTCGTCTTCTGATTTTGGGCTTGTTCCTGGAGCTGACCTTGGGTCGTCTTCTCTTGTTGTGGCTGCTCATGAAGTGAACCCTGGGTTGTTTTCTGTTGTTGCTGCTGTTGAACCTGTTGTTGACTTTGGGAGGGTTTCTGTTGTTGCAGTTGACTCTGGATCCCCTTCTGTGGCTGTTGGCCAACTAAAGCCTTTGGTTGCTGTTGAAACTGTCCTGTGACTGTTGTTTTCTGTTGAGCAGGATGTTGGAGTCGTCCTGTCAGTGTTTGCAATTGGCCGCCCAGTAATTTATGATGCTGTTGCAACTGAGTGCCCACAAATCTTATGGGCTGCTGCACTTGTTGCAATTGTCCCAAAGAAGCCCTTTGTTGCTTTTGTCCTACAACAATCTTTTGTGGGACTTGTGCTGATATAACCTTAGGCGACTGCTGCTGCTGCAATTGTTGCTGAAAGATTTGTGCCATTGAAGCCGTAGGCATTGTTACACCTAGCATTATAGGCTTAATCTGCTGAGGCAGGGCTTGTAACTGTTGCTGAGGCTGACCTATCACAACTGGCGGTTGAATCTTCGCAGGCATCGTTTTCGGAGTGACTCTAATTGGCGACTGGATGACTTTGGGAATTGCTGCCACTCTGATTTGGTTCGCAGGCGTCACCTTCACCTGGTGGCTGGGCACACAGGTTATCACGGCATTTGGGCTAGGCGCCTTGCTACTCACTGACCAGGCCACTTTCTGGGGGGCGCCCATCTTCACCGTGTTCACATTTTTGTTAAAGCTGTTAATAATGTTGTTGTTGTTGTTTTCTGCAAGGGAAATGGTTAAATTTCCATTTGGAGTCAGGATGTTTTTCTGGTGCTTGGTGACAGTGATGCCACTGGGGATGTGCATGGACCGAAGTGGATCCACAGCTACTACTGGAGGTGCCCTTGCAGGTCCTGCCCCTACTCCTTGTACTACTATTGCGGACCCCAGGGAAGCTTTCGGTATGTTAAAAAGTTTGGCTGGTAGACTTTGTCTACTACATGCTGCCAATTGTCGCAGGGGATCCTCAAGTCGTCTTCGCTTGGCTCCTGGCGGCGACTGCAAAAATAATTTTAAACTTTAAATCAAGGCAAATGCAGAAACGTTCTGTTTGGGTGTTAATAAAGCTTAAATTATGGGGAATATTTTCAAAGAGAATAAAAAATAAACATAACATTAAAACTGTATTACAAAAACTGTGCTCTAATATTTGTGGTTTTGCCATTCTTATGTTTTGGAACCGTACACAATCGTACAAACAAATGTAAACAAAACCTAGTGGGATCGTGTTTCTTATTGGTAATAAAAGAAAGTTTACTTTTCAGTAAACTTAAAGATTTTATAGAGTTGGTATAAAGTATTGTTAATAATATAATCCTATATTTTTTTTAATGCAAAACTGCAGGCGACCTGTTGGCTATGCTGCACTTTAAATTTCAATGAAAATATAAACAAACAAAATCCGCAGCTTCAGTGTGTTTGGGTGACTGCGTAGGTGTGTGCGAGAGTATTGGAGAGTTGCGAGCGCGCGAATTGGAGAGTAGGTTTGATTTCCATTCGTATCAGCGGAGACCACTGCTTGTATTTTACCTGTCATATTGCGTCTTAACTACATTCTCTCCAGGAGATGAGAGTCTCCGAACCGTCTCTCCCACACACATACGCTTACTCTTCCACGCCTAACGTAATTAAAGTCCAATATTTTGCCACTGCAATTGCAAGAGTCGCAAAGTCTCCAATTTCATTGTCTGGCAGCACTGGCCACTTTTGCAATTGTGTGAGTGGGGCTCTGCACGTTCATGTCTGCTCACTCTCAATAAAAGCAGCGCGAAAAAATTAATTCCACACTATGTGAAACACGCACACATTCTCAAGTAGCGAGCCTATTTAAATCCAACTGTACTTTTTTACACACACTGACAGTCCGCACCAGCAGGGAAATCGGGAAATTACCTCTTCATCGGACTCTGAGCTTAAATCAACGCATATCACCGATGCAGACATTATTCGCCAGAAGTTGGCAATGGCCCGCACCGAATTTGTTCACTTTACTCGCAGCTCCTCGATTCCGATTCTCTGGCTTTTCTTGGCATTCGGACTCGCTGGGGTTGTCGTTGTTGCCAGCTAGTTTTTCACGCATATGTACACGGCACGTCTGTGTTTTCTCCAAGTTCTGAACACTTATAACTATATGTGGGAATTCTCCCACATATTTATTACGCTCCCAACTGAATGCACTGCATGTGTTTGTTTGTATTGTTGCCTTACAATTGTCAATTTGGAGAGTTCTAGAGCTGTCAAAACATGTATCGCAGTGCCGATAATATCGGTTGTTATTAGTATAAGCCGGGTAGGTAGGAGCGTGTATTAACTAGTGAGGAGCTTGTCCTTGATAGATTCCTGAGGGTGTGTTGGATAACTGCTATTATTCCCTTAATTTTAAACTTTAATCTTAGTTGTAAACCCACAACGAAAAAAATCGTTATAGTTATAGCTTTTTCAGCATTTTCTGTATATACAATTTTTTTTTTATTATTTTTAAATTAATGCAATATTCAAAGTGAAGGAAAAAATACTCAGAGTTTTTGTCAAACAATTTAGAAGTGTCTAAAGAGTAATTTTCTGACTACACAAGCATTAAAAGGTAAATATTGTCGACGGGCGGCGTAGTAGTGTTATAGCCACATAAACTCTGTTACTTAACAGCACCGTGTAAAGAGGCCGAAAATCATGTGACCAGCATGCAAAAAAGGAAGACCCTAAATAATTTATCCACACAGTTTTGACACGTCGACTTTCGTCTTTCGCTTCGCCTTCCATTCGGTTTCATTCGGTTTTTGAAATTTGACGTTCGCTGTGCTCTTAAGGCAAGACTTTCTGATTTTAGTAGAAAGTGCAGTAATTAAGCCACCCACTCATTTCCCAGGCGAGCAGTGACACAAGTCCGGAAACATGGGGAGTAAGTAAAACGCCAGACATCCTAAAATCACCAAAGTGCAGTGGTTTCTGTGTGAAAGTGCCGCCCTGGCGATGCCGCTCGCACCCCCGTTGCTCATTGCTTACGTATACAAAAAAGATTCGGCGTGCGTTTCGTTGTGACCGAAAAATTGCAATTAAATGCAAAGCCTCTAGAACGCAGTGCCTAATGCAGTTCTTTCCATTCACTTTTTGCAGTCAAGTTCCTGGAAGTTATCAAACCCTTCTGCAGTATACTGCCAGAAATCGCAAAACCGGAGCGCAAGGTGTGTATAAATCTTTTTTTCTAATGATCAAAGTCTATGGTAATAGGCATTATTTGGGTGTTTCATTAAAAGCTCAAATATGTCGAATAATTTGCGGCTTTTTTATGTTGTACGTGTATCTTACCGAGCTAATCTCCCCCTACCTTTGCCAGTGTTGCCAGCGCACGCGTTTCGTGGTTGCTTTCACTTGTCAAAATTGAACATCGCCACGCAAACAGTTTGCTCTTCATTTAGTAGAAGGCAAGCAGAAGCAGCATGCAAACATCCCATAAGAGAAGTAATGTGTGGTGAAATACATTCGAAGATTCAGTTACTTTTAATGTCCTCAATATTCGTTTAATGTTTTTAAAGATACATTTTTACGTCTGTCTAGATTTCATTATTCTTTAGGTTCAAAGTACTCATAAATTATGTATTTACATGCTTTAGTGTGTTTCTTAGTCTTTTTCATTCATAATTAGTTTGATTTCCACCTCATTGCTTCTGCTACTTTTCTTATCACCTGGCTACTTGTTGCCATACTCCTATTTTACACACATATATACACACCACACGCCCGCAAAGTGACAAACAAACGCTACGTGGAAACGTCAAACTTCGGCTCATCCGATGCCGAAACCCGAAGCACCGCCGACGTCAGTTTCGTTTGTTTTTGTTGCTCACAGATGACGTACGATGACAGCTACGAACAACGAAAACTTAACTTGATTTTGTTTAAACAATTCACACACGTACACATATGAATGGTGGGCATGTAGGTCAACATAGCGGGAGTTTTATTTGCAGAGTTTGAAATTCAAGGGTAAAGCTTGAAATTTAAGAAGAAAAAATTTTAAAATTTCGGTTAAAGCTTAGTTTAATTTAAATATCTGTGGCTAACAAATAAAGTTCAGCAGTAATTGTTTTTAATGTTAAATTGAAAAAAAAATCACTAGAATTTAAAAATGTCTAAATATAGAAATGGTTTTATCAAATGTTTTATATATTTCTAATAACCAAATAATGCAGTTTCAAATAACAATTCCACTGCACCATGACTGATTTCCGACATGTTCCCCTTCGATTCCAGATCCAATTCAGGGAGAAAGTGCTATGGACTGCCATCACGCTGTTCATTTTCCTGGTTTGTTGCCAGATCCCGCTTTTCGGAATCATGAGCTCGGACTCTGCGGATCCCTTCTACTGGATCCGTGTGATCCTTGCTTCCAACCGTGGTACCCTTATGGAGCTGGGTATCTCGCCCATCGTGACATCGGGTTTGATTATGCAGCTGCTGGCCGGAGCGAAGATCATTGAGGTCGGTGATACGCCCAAGGATCGTGCTCTGTTCAACGGCGCCCAAAAGCTCTTCGGCATGGTGATCACCATCGGCCAGGCCATCGTCTATGTGATGACTGGCATGTACGGTGATCCGTCTGAGATCGGAGCCGGTGTTTGTCTGCTGATCATCATCCAGCTGTTCGCCGCTGGTCTGATTGTGTTGCTGCTGGACGAGCTCCTCCAGAAGGGCTACGGACTGGGATCGGGTATTTCCCTTTTCATTGCCACCAACATTTGCGAAACGATCGTGTGGAAGGCATTCAGCCCCACCACCGTGACAACAGGACGTGGTACCGAATTCGAGGGCGCTGTGATTGCTCTGTTCCACCTGATGGCCACCAGGAACGATAAGGTGCGCGCACTGCGTGAGGCTTTCTACCGCCAGAATCTGCCCAACTTGATGAACCTGCTGGCCACCGTGCTGGTATTCGCTGTGGTCATATACTTCCAAGGCTTCCGTGTAGATCTACCAATCAAGAGTGCCCGTTACCGCGGCCAGTACAGCAGCTACCCAATCAAGCTGTTCTACACCTCGAACATTCCCATCATCCTGCAGTCTGCACTCGTGTCCAACTTATACGTCATCTCTCAGATGCTGGCTGTCAAGTTCCAGGGTAACTTCTTCATCAACCTTTTGGGTGTGTGGGCTGATGTTGGAGGCGGCGGCCCGGCCCGCTCCTATCCCATCGGAGGTCTGTGCTATTACCTGTCGCCCCCGGAGAGCGTAGGCCACATCCTGACCGACCCCATCCACGCTTTGCTCTACATCGTCTTCATGTTAGGCTCCTGCGCGTTCTTCTCCAAGACCTGGATCGATGTGTCTGGCAGCTCAGCCAAGGATGTAAGTATTTGAGTATTAGATTTGAGTTTGCTGTGAAACCTTTGGATTCCTCCAGCTGCTTATGAAATAATTTAGATTTTATTGGTTTACTAATTTGCTTTTTGCCCTTCAGGTTGCCAAGCAGCTGAAGGAACAGCACATGGTGATGCGTGGCCATCGCGAGAACTCGATGATCCACGAGCTTAAACCGCTACATCCCAACGGCGGCTGCTTTCGGTGGTCTCTGCATCGGAGCTTTGTCTGTGATGGCCGACTTCCTGGGAGCCATTGGCTCTGGAACGGGTATCCTGCTGGCGGTGACTATCATCTACCAGTACTTTGAGATTTTCGTTAAGGAGCAGTCGGAGATGGGCGGTATGGGCACGCTGCTGTTCTAAGCAGTCTAGAGAAGATTACCCGCGATCCAATCAACAATAACTAATACTTCATCATACTTCCCACACGCTCGCTCCCATTAAAAACAAACTAAATTACCTGTTTTGTTTTTTTTTTTCGTCCCTTGTCAAAACACCCACAATATGCTTAAATTCTAAGCCTTTGGCTGCTATTCCATCTTCCCAACCAACAGAAGCGTACATAAAAAGGCATAAGAGGACCTTTATTTTGAGTAGTTTTTAGTTTTATTCAAATGTGAGACTACATTGCTTAAGTTCAATATTTGTGCGAATTGATTGAATTTCAATGCAATTACTTGTTTTAATATTAAATCAATTGAATTATACTTTAAATACGATCGTGAATGGAGACATTGAAATTATTAAAGCGAAGATGTACATCAATCGAACACATGCATACAAATTGTCATAATAAAACGTAAATTAGATAACTTTTTTAAACGAATTCATTGTTTTATTTCGATTTTATTTTGGGATCAGCAAAGGAAAGCAATATTTAATTTGGTTATGTAAGTTTTCGTACTGATTTTACAAGGCCAAGGTGATTTTTAAAGTGCAAACATTAAAACTGCAGTCTAAAGTTCAGAAAAAATTTGCAAGTATTTTGAATAAATAAAATAAAGGGCGCAAAAATGTAAAAGTGATATTCGATAGCACAGCCTTTCGATAAATGCTAATGCAACCAAATTAATCTTCTTTTAACAATGGACAGCAATAAAAACATTTTTCTTTGATTTTAATAACTTTTATTTTTGATGGTACCAAGATTACGCTTCGCCAGTGCAATATTGCGAAGAGTTTCTGTAATTATATATTGGAAAATGCCATACAGTTTTTATAAATTAAACAATTGCAAAGAACATCAATTTATTTAAATATTAAATGAATTTAAATCATATGCTCTTAGAATAATGTTTAAGTTTTGGAAAAACTGCACTTTTCAGTAGAAAACCAGGGCTGGTCGAGAGCATTTGGTGAAAAATCCATTTCAGCATCTGGTAACACTCCCTGGAGCAAAATGAAAAATATAATATTTATTATTAAAATCGTAAATATTAGCAAATGAACCACTTTGACGCCCCTCGAACGTGTTGAGTTGCGAGGCCTACAAGCACAGAAGCGCATTTAAGCCCTGCCGGATTGAGTTCGGTGACCAGGAGCTCCGAGGACAACTAAAAATCAGTTCGAACTCCGGGAGAAGCGATCGGTGCCATGTCAGCTCCACTGGCCAGAAACTGGCCGTACATCTGGCAACAATTGAACGCCCTGCTGCACAACACCTCGCCGGTCATCACGCTGATCTGCGTGGTGACCACCTTCGGCTACCTGCTGTCTTTCTCAGAGACCGCTATCCTGTTGCTCAGTGTCACGCCCGGATACATTTTGCCGAACGGCAAGTTCTGGATATGGACTGCCTTCACATTCTGCTTCATCGAGCTGCACTGGTGGGAGGTGGCCGTTGACGTGGTCACCGTGGGCCTCTGCGGCAAGATGCTGGAGCCTCTCTGGGGCCAGCTGGAGATGTTTAAGTTTTTCGCGCTGAGTAACTTCGGAGTGTCGCTGTTGACCACCGTCTACTACTTGTTCTACTATATGGTCACCAAGAACCCAACCATCCTTTTCGACGTACACATCCACGGCCTGGCCGGCTACGTGGCCGGAATCTGTGTGGCCGTGCGCCAGATAATGCCTGATCACCTGATCTTTAAGACTCGATACGGACGTCTCACCAATAGGTGAGCCAATAGGTTAAGTTTAGTCAGGAACTATCTATCTAATGCTGCAAAAAAGACACATTTTTGAGGACTATGTGTGTATCTGCCTTGTAGATATGGTGATATTTCTTGGAATCATTTGAACATATTAAGATAAGACGCACAAAACGATGTATAGTGTCCTTTTAAACTTCCTTTTAGCCTAATTTCTATTGAACAGAAAAAAAGGGTAACAATTCTAGAATACTTAAATTACAATTATGAACTTTGTTATTCACAGGAACGTTCCACTCACCGTGCTGATTATGGCTATTATCTTATGGGCCATTGGCCTCCTGGATGGCACTTACCCAGCCATGTTTGCCTCCGGATCGCTTGTTTCATGGATCTATCTCCGCTTCTACCAACACCATCCCAATGGACGTGGCGACAGCTCGGAGAGTTTCACGTTCGTCAGCTTCTTCCCGAACGTATCGCAGCCGTTTATCAGCGTGTTGGTTAATCCCATTTACAACTGCTGTTTGCGGGCGGGCGTGGTCAAGACGCCCACGCCGCTGCGGACGATATCCACAGCCAGCCTGACTTCGATATCGGTGCAAATGCCGGGCGTGGATCCGCATGATATTGAGAGAAGGAGGTAAGTATATGCGTTAAGTAAATATTGTTGCTTAACCAGTATATTCATGGATTTGTAAATCTTTCTTGATATCAATTTAAGTATGCTTATCTTAAGAACAATTTCGCAATTAATCATAACAGCTAAATAATTGTTTTTTAGATAAGCTCTCAATTACTGATCGAATAAGTTCGTTTTACGAACTTCTTATTAATGGTTGCGTTTGTTTGGTTTTAGGCAAATTGCCTTGAAGGCGCTGAGCGAACGCTTGAAGGCGACGGACTCCACTCGTCACTCCCAGCTGCCCAAGTCGTTCCCACAGCAGCAACAGCTGCAACATCATCACCAACACGCGCCACATCAGCAGCAAAAGCATCACAGTCACGGAGGTGGGCACAGTCACAGCCATGGAACGGGTCATAGTCACAGCCACGGAGCGGGACATAGTCAAGGTCATGGTCATAGCCACGGTCCGGGCCCAGCTCAGATGCCACAGCCGGACTTCCTTAAGCCCACCAGCAGCTCCAGCAAGCTGCCCATTACAACGTCGCGAGCAGAACCGCGAATGATCAGCACAATGAGTCCAATCGCAATACCCATGCCTGCGCCACCGCCCAAGGAGGGGAATATTCCGGTTGAAGGCACTGAGTCCTCAACCGGCGGCGAGGCTACACTTATCAACCTGGACGACGTACCATCCACGTCTTCGACGGCTTAGACAGTGGTTCTATGCAAACATAAATGAATTTTTGATATTTAAACGAATGATCTAATGATTTACGCCCATGTTTTGTATGATTCTGCATCAAGTACGTACCAGCCCCCGCCCCTATCCGTGTTCCCCTTTTGTAATTACTCTTCGTGTGTTTCGTAGTATCCTGTAGATTTACGCTTGCTTGCTGCGCACACCGCCGGCCGTGCTCCTAGGAACTGCGAATAAGAGAGAAGCAAAAAACAAATACCTTCCAGGCGAAATGAGAATAACTTGAGCCTTTATATAGATGCATACTTTCCTTTGTAGTCTTTACATGTAATTGAAAATGATGCTTTATTTAGTTAATAACTGTAAATATATTTAAAACTCCGATAATAGTATTGTGTCTTTCATATCTCGTGTTTGTGTCCTAAACTTTTTAATTTCCTATTGCCAACGAGCAAAATGGGTTCTTTAACATATACATTTTTTCGAGTATATTCATCACCTTTGCAATCTCACTGCCTATTGTAAATTTAATGTATGTTTTTGCAATTTACTTCTATGTATATTTTGTGTAATTATACTACATCTATTTTTGTAACATTCTGAGCTAATATGATTTTTTTCTTTAGAATACGGATGTTTGATTCGCTTTTATTTCAACCAGGTTTATAGGTCTTTAGCTAGGAAAATAACAAGAATTTAGAATTTTTGTAAAATTGTAAGACTTTACATATAAATAATTGAAAAGTATATAAATAATTCAAAAGAAATAAAGTTAAAAAAGGATTTTGCATATCAAGACAATGATAGTAATGACATATTTTTTGAATTAAACTGTCTATTAAACCGGTTTAGTATATTTTGGTCACCACCCCCATTGGAAAATCCGGATACTTAGCTATGGTCATACTGTGGCCAGCTGGCGCAACCGTTTGTAATCGATATCGATTCTCCGCCCAGTTCTTGGGGCCTAATAAAAAAAGCCCATCAGTCGTGTTTTGCATTGTGTATTTTCGATTTGCTTGTTTACCCAAACGTCTCTCCTCTAGCTGTAAATATCACCGCATCGGGATAAGGATGAATTCATAGGATCGTCGGCGGGAACGGCACAGTCACTGCAAGAACAATTCGCACAGTGTGAAGTGGAGCCATACAGGGTGTTCCCTGCGAAATGGGTCGCAACAACTTTAGTTCGCAACACCAACAGACTCATGTGAGGCGCCATCGGCATGAAAATGGTTAGTTGGAAAGAACCCTACTCAATAATGATAAAAAAAACTCGGAGCCAAGAGCTGCGATAAGGGAAAAAACGGAAAGCACAGAAATACACAGGCAGTAAGACCATGTAAACAACTGCTATCGCTGTTTCGTTCAGTTTTTGGGGTCTGTGTGCGTTTGTTTGTGCGGGAGTGTTTTTGTTGCCGTTTTTTTTGCCTACGTGTGTGTGGCTTCGTGGCAAAAACAACACGGAAACTCGCAATAGTCGGTTGAGATATACCCCTTTATGCTTAATGGTTAAAATGGATGCATACATCGAGGCGCAATATTTAAAAAAATTCATAAATCTTCAATCATTTTTAAACTGCTTCTTATTGAAAAATGTTTCTTTAGTGTTGTTTACTTTTGTATTTATTTAAAAAGATAATGGTTACTTAATTTATTGTGATGCGATTGTAGTTCCTTCCATAGTTCTTAAAAAACGGTAATATTATGGTTTTTCATATATGTACGATAAACAAAAAATAATAATACACCTGATAAATTGCCTTACAACATTTTTATATACATCATTTTATCCTGAGTTTCTGGTTCTCATAAAATTTGTTTTGCAAATTTTCATCCTTACTTGCTGGATTTTTTAAGGGTTAAAAAAGCTTCGTTATCTCCCTTCCTCACTTGTAAACTAATCAATATCGACGTCTACTTTAAAATCAATGGGTGCAAAAACCAAACAAACCGGATAAACACGGTATTAATATCTTAGTCTTTGTTAAGCCATATTTTTGTCAGTTCTTAGCTCACTTAAATGCCATAACCTTTCCAACAACTCCCAATAACCCACTTAACTAGTTTGTAAGCCAGTGCGGTAACTTGTTAATCAGGAACTGAACTAAATATGTAGGTGCCGCCCTTAAGTGTTTCCTTGTGGCTAGAGCTTCTTGGACTCCGGGCAGTACCGCTTACTTTCACTAAAACTAAAGCCCGTGTTCAGGGCCGTTTGGTTTTGGTTTCGATTTCAGTTTCTGACTTTTCGCTCTGCATTTGCAACACGCGGCTTGGCAAATTCGCCCCGCAGCAGAAATGCGATTGGTATTGCTGCAGCCCCAGTAGCCGTATCGCTCAAAACAAAGCCGTGTAATCACGCAAGCCAGTCGCTTGATCGACTATCTGATACCTTATGAGGCTTACTTAAAATACACATTTTATGTATAGATCTCTGAAAACATTCATTTCTGTATGTCAACAAATAACGGAAACCTAAAAAATCTTCTATTTTTTTTTTAAATGTATGTTTCTAAATTTATTGAAATCGTATAACACTTTTATTAAACCAATATAAATTTCAGTGATGAAGTTGAAATTTCTTTTTTATAACAGCTGATTAAATAAATGCTGACATATATTCCTTATTTAAATTATGCTCTTAGATCTATTAATATTCCTACTCTAAAATAAATTATGGGATCACAGGTGTCAGATAAAAGTATAAAGTTCGCCTTCTTAATCGCCAAAAAGTTAAACGAGGGAATGGCCACTTCGTGATTTTCATTTAAATTTTTCATGAAGATCTTTACCCGCCCTTATACCTTTTCTAGGGTATAGCCAAACGACTGTCGGGGCCGTATTTATATGCGGCTGCAAATACGCTAAGAGGCACACTCTCGCACAGTCGCGCCCAAATACCAATATATGTAACCTGCACACTGGCTACTGCCATTCAGATATTCAGACGTTGAGACAATCGCACAGACAGAGACAGATGGAGGCGAAGGCAGTGACGGCTCCACTTGGAGCAAGAAAAACCACTGAGGGCGATCGCTTGGCGCTCAGTTGCGCTTTGGTTACCACGTATAACGGTTCGCCATAAAGTCCGGACAACCTGAAAACACTGTATATTTTTATCGCACTCGCCAAATAATCAGTCCGCGGGAGAGAAAAGTAAATACACACCTTTTGGAGCGGCTGCTCCATTAGCTAAGTTAACAAACAGATAGGAGCAATTTTTTAACAAGTGATCTTAAAAGATATTTTTGAAAAGATCATGTCTTGAAAACGCTAATAAACTTTAAACTTTAAAGATTTCTCGTTTTAACCGATCAAAAGCTAAGAAAATTGTATACCACCCAGACAAGATCTCACGAAATAAAAGTTTAAGATAACTTAATAGTATCAAAGGGTAGCCATATGTTATTATAAGATGCGAAATAATGAAACGTATACATATAATTTTCCTTTAAATTATCCACTGATATTTTGTCTTTCTACTTATACAGCTGGCGGTGCAACAACAAATTCACAAAACGCAGCAAAGCCTACGCTAACAATGACGGACTACCTGTCGCTGCACTCGCGACTCGCCCAGGTGGGCCAGGAGCACTTGTTAAAGTTTTGGCCGGAGCTATCAAATGACGAACGTGCAGAACTGGCGCGGGACATCAAAGGAGCTGAATCTGGACGAGATCAAGTTTTACTTCGATCGGGCTACTGTCTCTATGAACGAAAATGGCATTAAGCTGGACGATCGTCTGCAGCCGCTACCTGAGGGCAAGCTCATCTCAATCGCAAGGACGCCGTTGGAGAAGGTGGCCGCCTACCGGGATGAGGGTCTTCAGCAGATCAGCAATGGACATGTCGCTGTGTTGCTAATGGCTGGCGGACAAGGTAAGATATCCAATTCCTAATTATAATGGGTATTAAGGGAATATAAAGTATAGGAAACTTAGACACAAAAGCACACTTGTTTTTAATTAGTCTAATTTATTAGGCTTTCCGTTGTTAAGCCATTTAAACCAAAAGTTGAGCAGACTTGTGTTCGACTACTAGGCAGTTGACAATCTTTAATGACGTTTTGGCTTACAATCAGGTGTTTGACTCCTCCAACATTGATAGCGAAAATGATTAGGTTACTGGAAAATTAGTCATAGGGTTTTCAGATTTATCAAAATTCGTTTATATTTTCTATTTAAATGGATTATTATTCGTTTCTTAAGCATCTGCTCGATTATGAAGGCATTAATATATCAGTTATAGTTAGATAGCATTAATATATGTTTGATAAGTTCCTTGCAAAGTCAAGTCCAGCTCTCAAAGAGTTTCAGATATCAAAATACTATGTATTTGTTTGTATTTTTAACACAATTTCCTTTGATAACCCATAAAGCGAGATATTTTGTTTCATTCCGCAATCAGTCATCCACAGAAATTCGTCGTTGGTGTGCGATGAACATAATGTAAACTGAACCAAAGCAACAACTTCAACATTAGCAGACCAGCAACTGCTGTTGAGTGTGTGTGCTTGTATTAAAGCTAATTAACTTGATACAAAAGTGCTCCATCGAGCTCACAAATACACGCAATCTCAATCAGCTGCCCACTCATGCAGCTGCATTGTAATTGTAATTGTAATTCCGTTTGCAAGACAAAAAGCAAAATGAAAATAAAAATAAAAATAAAAAACCGCGCCAGGCCAGCAACAATTTCAAGCCATTCTTATGGCCAGACTTGCCTTTCTTTTTTTTTATTGCTCGGGCCAGTGCTCTTTTGAGTAGAAACATTGAAATTGTGGGCGGCATTTGACATTTCCTTACCCGATCCACGGCCAAACAGTCCAATCACGTAATTGCCTTTTGGGATATCAAGAAAACGAAGTCATCTGGAGTTGGGGCAGGGCAATGGAACCTGCTCAGTCGTAGTATTATTTCTAGCACGTTCAACTTCGAGAGGAGCCATAAATAGTAGACCTAGATAGCGGCTCGATTTCCGAGAACTTTTGGCCAGGAGTGGAAGTTCCGCTTGACAAACCGATAAGCAACATATTGGAAATGGGCGATAATTAACAAGAGGAAACGCTATAGTCGAGTGCCGCGACTATAAGATACCCGTTACTGTTTTACACAATTTTAAAATATTAATTTTGCTAGTGGAAATTCACAAGGCGCCACCTATTGTCAGAGGAAGTATGTTGAGTATGCTTATAGTGACGTCACTGCCCATGTGGAGCCTTATAACCTTAATTTCTTCATAAATAGCGAAATAATGTTCCGATTTGAAAAATCTTTTGTAAATCGATAGATATTAACAGAAATAAGTTACACAAGATCAAACGAAGGCATTCATAATAATATTATAGACCCACAGTTTTCCGCGGTTTGTGGGCGTTAGAGTGGGCGTGGCCGGATGCAACTTCGTGCCAAGTTGCAGAGGCATCACCCAAATACGTGTTCCTAAGCAAAATTGTGTAGCTCTTATAGTTTTCGAGATTTTTGCATTTTTGGTTTTTCGGGTTTTGTGGGCGTTAGAGTGGGCGTGGCGTGATCGGAAAAAAACAATTCGCATTGGGAGCATCGTAGAAACATACGTGCTTAATCCAAACTTTCTATCGCTTATAGTTACCGAGATATCAGCTTTTCTAGAAAATCCGAAAACCGTCTTTTGAGCCTTGTGGGCGTATGGGTGGGTGTGGCCGGATAGTAGTACTACTATAAGATGCGCTGTCATCTAAAGATTATACTTTCTGAATTTCAACTTTCTAACTGCAATAGTTCCTGAGATTTCAGCAATTTTAGTTTTTTGCGATTTGTGGGCGTTAGAGTGGGCGTGGCAGGATGCTGTAATAAACTTGCGCTGTCCCGGGACCTCAAGAATCTTCATGCTTAATCTCAACCTTGTATCTGCTATAGTTCCTGAGATCTCAGCGTTCATACGGACGGACGGACGGACGGACGGACGGACGGACGGACGGACGGACGGACGGACGGACGGACGGACGGACGGACGGACGGACGGACAGACGGACATGGCTCAATCGACTTCGCTATTGATCCTGATCAAGAATATATATACTTTATAGGGTCGCAAAAGCTTCCTTCTATCTGTTACATACTTTTCAACGAATCTAGTATACCCTTTTACTCTACGAGTAACGGGTATAAAAACCGGTAGTGGAACTGACCTTAAGCAAGCAGCTTATAAATGTTAAAATGGTTCAGACAAAAGACAAAATAAAGAGCGTTGGCTGGAAAAGAAACTTGTTTTTAAGGTGAACATGGTGAGCCATCAGAAATGCTGTTTCTTGTCAGTGAGTGATAAATCGATTCAGGGATATTCATCCATTTATTGACAATTTTCGTACAACAATATTTTCTGCAGAATATCAATATGTTGCACCACTGTTTTCCCTATCTCATATATCTTTTTGGGATTTTTAATTACCTTTGCCGTGACACTTATATAATATTTATGTTCTTATCATTCGTAGGCACACGACTTGGCTTCGATCACCCCAAGGGAATGTATGACGTGGGGCTTCAGTCCCGGAAGACCCTGTTCCGCATTCAAGCCGAGCGAATCCTAAAGCTGGAGGAGCTGGCCCAGGAGGCAAACGGCAAACGAGGTCACATCACTTGGTACATAATGACGTCGGAGCACACAGTGCAACCCACTTATGACTACTTCGTGGCCAACAACTTCTTCGGCCTGAAGGCGGAGAACGTGCTACTGTTCGAGCAGGGATCGCTGCCGTGTTTCGAATACGATGGACGCATCATTCTGGACGAGAAGCACAGGATCGCGAGAGCCCCAGATGGAAACGGAGGAATCTATCGGGCGATGAAGCGCCAGGGGATACTGGACGACATGCAGAAGCGGGGTGTATTATATCTGCACGCCCACAGCGTGGACAACATACTAATTAAGGTGGCCGATCCCGTCTTTATTGGCTATTGTGTACAAGAGAAGGCCGAATGCGCTGCAAAGGTGGTAGAGAAGGCGGCGCCAAATGAGGCAGTCGGCGTGGTGGCCATTGTGGATGGAAAATACCAAGTGGTGGAGTACAGCGAGATCTCGGCCAAGACAGCCGAGATGCGGAACTCGGACGGCAGGCTGACCTTCAGTGCAGGAAACATCTGCAACCATTTCTTTAGCTCAAACTTCCTGCAAAAGATAGGCACCACGTTTGAACAGGAGCTGAAGCTGCATGTGGCCAAAAAGAAGATTCCTTTCGTGGATAACGCCGGCAAGCGGCTGACCCCCGAAAAGCCCAACGGAATTAAGATTGAGAAGTTTGTCTTTGATGTGTTCGAGTTCGCTCAGAAGTTCGTGGCCATGGAAGTCCCACGCGACGAGGAGTTCAGCGCCTTGAAGAACTCTGATGTGGCCGGCAAGGATTGCCCCAGCACTGCCCGATCAGACCTTCATCGACTGCACAAGAAATATATTGAAAGTGCCGGCGGCATAGTGCATGGCGAAGTCTGCGAGATTTCGCCATTCATCACATACGCCGGGGAGAATCTCGCCTCGCAGGTTGAGGGCAAATCGTTCACCAGTCCCGTCTATCTCCGGGACACCCGCGATCCCATGCATGGACACCTCTAATCAGGGGCATTTGCGAAGCATAGACTGATGGACGGATGGTAGTTGTTTCGGTTATTTGTAAATTATTCGTTTACCGTTTTTGAACGTTGTAATTCCCAAGCTAAAGTTAGTGCACAGAAATTCCACTGATTTCAGTACTTAAAGGAGACTTGTAAAAATTTGTTACCTATTGTGTCCGTTGTTTTTTTCGTTTTGAAAATAATTGTGCAATCGTAATGTGAATATATACAATATATAGAACACGTAAAATGAATATTTTAATATGTTGTAAAATACAAAAATTATAAGTACGGCCAGCGAATTGATTTTTACTTCTTGGGGAATCGGAATTTTTACAAGATATTGCAGTAAACAAGACCAATCAATATGTTTGATCAGGTGTCGTTCTTTATTTGCAAGGTTGTTAGGGAGGTATCGGTAAAGTATCTTATTTGAACAAAATGTACCCAATGCCCTTGTTGATTCTAAAATTCTATGAGTTTTTTTTATTTATCTTTAGATGTACTAAAATCATAAGACTATCAATTATTGACTTTTTGTCCTATGCACGCCACTATTCTGCAAAAACTAACTTAAGGTACGCATTTAATCGAATTCATAGGTTCTTTTAAGAAATTTTAATTTTTGAACCCAAGACCTTGTGTAAATTGTCACTTACTCCAACTATTAATTTCCAAACCTGTTAATCCGTCTTGATTTTAGCTTGGTGGCTATGCTACCTATGCTAGATGTAATGATAAGGTAGTGTGGTAATGCAAGAGAGCAAAATATGGAGTGGGTTATGATCATGTCGTGATTAATTATTGGAATGTCTATAAAATAAATGGTGCTCGTTGAAATAATCGTAGTACACTAGTTTATATAGGCATGCCTTTAATCTGAATTCTTCCAATTGTGGTTATATAATTATAGTTCCCTATGTTAAAAGCACACAAGTTTCCCTTATTCAGACTATGACATCATATTTGTTAAAATGTCAATCAGGGCATGAATAATTATTAGTGCTTTATCAAAGGGCGATTCTAACATACAGAATATCTCGAAAATTTAAACATACCGCCAAACAACTAAAAAGAGCTGTCATACTTTTTTGCCCAATGGTAACACTTGAAGCGTGAACATTGAGTTGGATTCAAATTCCCTTCAGTATATTATAACGGTTGTGCAACGGTCACGCTGGAACGAACTGTGGGACAGTGGGGTCGTCAAAATTTTGTTGTTAATCAATAGCAATTAGATAATAAGTGAAATATGCTTAGACAACTGACACGATCAGTGGGCATGACCTCGCGGTTAGTCAGGCAGGTCAACTATGCCACCAGCTCCCCGACTGGGCCGTCCCAAATTCCCGTAACCACGGCCCTGGAAAACGGGAGGTGGGCAGAAAAGCTCAAGGCCGCCGGCGTTGAGGACACGGAATTCAACCTAAAGTGCATTGTGTCTCATGTCCTGAAGCAAAAATTCGTAATGTTTCTTTTACAAAAAACCTTTTAGATCAACTAACCATGTTTTTCATCAGCAGAATTCGGTGCCGGACTCCTTTCGACCAGTTGCAGTTCAATCCTGGCCAACTGGCGGACTTCGAGCACTTTCTGGAGGCTCGATGTGCTCGGATGCCGCTGCAGCACATCATCGGCGAATGGGACTTCATGGACATCACCTTGAAGACGTCGCCTTCGGTCTTTATTCCGCGCCCTGAAACGGAGGAGTTTATGCGGCTGGTGATTGATGACCACAAGGATACGAAGCACGTTGACCTGCTGGAGGTCGGGTGTGGCTCGGGGGCTATGTCCTTGTCTATGTTGCACAGCTTGCCGCAGGTGGATGCCACCGCGATCGAGCGAAGCAAGGCTGCCACCGTGCTGGCAGCGGAGAATGCCAAGATGCTGGGCTTGTTGAACCGTTTCAGTGTGCATAACCACACCATGGAGGAAGACAAGTACTTGCCGGAGGAGCTGAAGGACAAGAAGTATGACTTGATCATCTCCAATCCGCCTTATGTCAAGACAGAGGAGTTTCAGTTCCTGCACCCCGAAGTGGTTGTGTGAGTAGGGCACGCTTATTCCAAAAAAATTAGTCCATTGATTATCCATATTCCCTTAGCTATGAGAACCTGAATGCTCTGGACGGGGGCTCCGATGGATTGAGGGTGGCTCGTTTGGTATTTGATCTGGCCTGCCGGCACTTGCGTCCTGGCGGCAAGCTCTGGCTGGAGCTGGGAAATGACCATCCACCGATGGTAAAGACCATAATGAATCTGAAGTACGAGGGTCGGCTCAAGTTCATTGCCAGCTACAGTGACCAGTATAAGCGCGAGAGATTCGTCCAGATCGAGAAGGTCTAGAAGGCGTTACCTCATTAACAGGACAGGATGATATGACTTAGACAATGCAATTAGCTATTACGTTGCCCATGCATTTAGCTGTGATTTGATTTACGACCACAAAACCCCTGCACGCTGCCCAGAGACGCGCACGTATATATATTGAATATATAGCGCTATTATTACTTACGTTTTTAATTTAATCTTGTAGTAAAATCAAGTTCATTGACAGGCATAGGCGGGTTTACTTAATGGATATGCCGCGTAGTTTTGTTATGTGTCGTGATTTATGTCTACGTTGGGTTTTGTATCTAAAAAATATAGTTACAGGCAAAAGACTGAGGACCGCCTCAGGATCAATACTTACTTACCTATCTATCTGGATCATACTGATCAAGAACGTTTAAGACCGACAATTCATGAACATGCTCAAATGATTACCAATTAAAATTTTATTTATAACTAAAGGATCATGTAGTGGGCAGTACTGAGTACTGTGATCATCTGGAGGAAAATACCGTACGGTAACCAATTTAGTGAATTGTAAAAATATAAAAAATTAAAACTCATATCTATACCGGTATCTATTCTTGCTATACTTGTATTGTATACATCCATATGTACAGTGTGGTAAAAGCATTATCTGTAGCGATCAGATCTGCCATTAGCTTTACGAATAAGAATCGAGTAATGGCATTGACAGTCTATTAGGACTTGAAATATGTTTCGGTTAGCTTCAAAATCTGATTTTGTTAAATTTCTTTTGATGGTATTTGATCTGGTTTCCAAAAAGTGAAAGTTGTTGTTATCTAGCGGATAATTTAAAGCTCACTAGAATGCTTACCACAAGTATATATGTTCATACATATATGTATATGTACATAGATATGCATATTGTAATATCAATATAGAAATATAATATTGTTTCGTTTCTGAATATTATAATAACATTGCCGCTGAATGGCCAGCCGGGAAAGCTTTAAGCTGCAGAGCGGACGAAAGCTTCGAGTGACTGGCAGCAACAAGTGGAATGAATCTCCAGCAGCTCATTTGGAAACCGAAGCTCGCGGTGCACGAATCTGCGGAATCCGGGTCCGCGAGTTGAACGCGGATTTTGATTTGTCGCCGTTGTCGTGGCTCTTTAATTCAATTGACGATTTCGAGCTGCGAGCTCTGAGCTACGAACTGCGATCTCCTCCGGGCGGCTGGTGTGTGTTTTTTTACTTTCAAGTATACATTTCTCTGCTAATAAATTATAATTAACGAATGGGTAAAATTATAATTAAAGGCTAAATTTCAACGAAAATCACAATAAGCAGATAATAACAGCCAAGAAGATGAGAGCCGCCAGTTGTGAGGCAAACAAAATAAACGAAAATAAAAAAGTGCAAAAACAAAACAGAATCAAAAACACGTTAAACAAGAAATTGGTTTAAAAAACCTATATAAATTTTAGTATATATGTGCAGAAGTAGGTAAATGATTGAATGTCGGTGCGTAAATGTAAATGTAAATACAATATCTATGTAGCCAAACTTTATGTCGAAGGCGGTCTGGATTTGGATTGGAAACTTTTAGAAACCGATTACACAGATCGTGACATTATTTAATGCATTTGTCCGCCCGATTGACTGCGACTCGCATCTGTGTGGGTGAGCAAGTGCGTGCGTGCGTAAACATGAATGCTCAATAATTGAATATCGAATCAAGTTTAAACTCGACAGCGTTCTTTTCGATGACTGGTTTTCCGCTGAGGCCGCTTTTATCGCCTTACGTTTGTAATTTTAGCACACTTTCAATATTTATTGTCGGTTTCTGCTCCCCTTTTGATAATTGCGAAAAACAAACTAAGTAAACAAGATTCAGCAACGATTTTTCTGCTCTCCGCGCTATGCAAATAATAATAACCACGAAGCGATAATGACAACACACAGAGGCAAACAACGCCAACCAAAAGCTCATCTGCAGTTGCCATTATACGGCTGATAGTTCCTCCTTCGGCGGCGTCTACGTACAGCAGCAGCATTGCAGCCCAGCAGCAACCTGCAACCCCAACAACGGCAGCAACAGCCACGGAGCGAAAGTTTCGCCAAGTCGCACGCCGGTTATGTTAACAAGTGTGGGTTGTTGTTTTTCCCCTTGCTTTTTCATTCATCATCCGCACTGTGTGTCAAGGCACTGCGAATCTGAATGCGAATCCGAATCTATAAATCTGTGAACGTCTTTTCGGCGACACAGTGACCTGCAGGCTAAACAAGCGATTTAAATGCTCCCACTCACACGTCGCAAGGTTTCCCACAAGCACAGAGGTGGACAAATTAGTAGCACTATAAGTTGCCTTTTTTCATCGTTTAAAAATCTGCAAAATTCAGAAGAAAAACATTTTAAAAGAGATTCCGATATTTTAAGTTTATTTTTTCTAGCGGCCAAAGGCTGAACGATTTATTTTAACTATTTTTAAATGTTTCAGTTTGTAATGGCAAAGTTTATTTTAAAATTAACAAAAAGTAACATATGAACGTAAAGACAATATTGAGCTGTGGGCGCTATTGTTTTGACCGCTACTGTACACAAGTGTACAGTGCGAGACCCCTAAGAAAGCCGAATGAAAATCAAGATAGGAGTTATCTACATTAGATGGCCTTTCACAGCCGGGGGAATGTGAAACATTGAAATGCAAATACGCCGCCTTGCCAGATTTGGTTTGTCAAACCATTGCGGGGGATGTAGACGTAGTCTACTGGATTAGGGCAAAGTCTGGAACTGATCGATCGGTGTGTAAACAATGGCTCGAACTAAGTACTTACCACTTTCCCACACTTTTTAATCGCTTCCAGCCCAGTGTCACAGCTGTGCGAGCTTGGGCAACCGAAAATTTGACGACGACCGTCTATGAATACATAAGGAAATGTTGCATAAATAATAGCTAGTCCCGATCGCGTGAAAAGGGAAAACAGAGTTCCAGCTGACTTTTCAGTCTTAAGGCAGCTCACGTCGATACAAAGTCTACATGTGTCACAACAGCAACATCGGCCAATAATTTAAATGCTCCGCGGCGGCAATTGAAGGGGCAGCAATTAACAAAGACCACTGCAACTTAGAGGAATAGAGGAAAATCACTTATAAGCATATAGATATTTAGCTCCTGCAACAAAATGAAGAATCGCCAGCGGCCGCGCCGAATATCGCTAAATGAAAACCACAACAAATACTTGGGCAGCGGCAACATCGATGTACAAATATTTACCAATACAAAAGAGCCCAATCAAGTCAATTTAAATTCATCGTCAAAGCTGCTGACAACTACAGTAACGACGACCTCAGCGGAGAGGCTGCTCTTCCCGCTTCGCTTCCAGCTGCCCAGATAGCGCAGCAGCAACCTCTGAAAGCACAACAGCAACATCTACAGCAGCAGCAGCAGCAACAACAGCTGATTGTGCCGCCCACAACGATGACGGGCAAGTATTTTCCATCGCACGCCAAACTGCGAAAATGCAAATCGACACCGAGTCTCATTTTTGATGGCTTGGAGCCCATGAAGGAGGACCCCCACTGTCATAGCATTTCCCCATTTCCACGGAACCCCGTCTCGGAGGCTAAACAAATGCAGCAAAATGAACAATTATCACGCATCACCAACAACGATTGCTGCTGCAACGGCATCAATGGCAACATCGGCAACAGCAACAAGTGCAACAGCAATGCGACGCCAACGACACCGGAGTCATTGCGCTTTGGATGCGCTCACTACAAGCGACGGGCTATGTTTGTGGTAAGTGCAATAAGTAGTAACTATATATATGACTTGCCTATCAATCGAAGGTTCTGCGGAAGTTTTCCTGAGCAATAAGTGAAAATAAAAGTTTCAGATACAACAGTGGTTTAGTGTAGAAATCTTACTGTTTTGTCTGACCCAACTTCGTATCATATATGAATACAAGCTTAAGGAAGCGAGGCGGGCGCGCTAGTATATAAATAAAGATTAATTTAAATTAAGAAAGGGCCTATTGATAAAGGTAGTTGTTAGATGTTAGCAATGCGCTTTACAGATTCCATTTGAAGGACATATGGCCTTTTAGGTGGAAAACAAGAAACAGTTCTGACATTTTAAGATACGTACTGGCAATTTCAATAAATACATTAGGCTTATTAGTTTGCTTAGAATTTTTATTGCTAATTATAAATTTGTTATTTAATATTAATAAATATTTTATTCAATAGGTGTGGTTCTTACGTTTAATGAATGTTAATCAGTTGGTCAGTTTCTAATAACTGCAGCGCATTCTGCATCTCTGATTAACATTTTTTCTTTACAGTTAAATATTATCTCAATTTATATAGCTAATAAAAAATACCATCTGAAGTTACATGATTAATAGGAAATGCCTTCAAATGTAAATTAACACGCATCATGTTAACGAAGGCAATTTCTCAATTGTGTGAGATATGATGCGGGTGTACATATTGCATTATCTTAGGTCAGGCATAGAAATTCAAAGGGTTCGAAATTATTTTTTATGAAAGTGAGCCCTTATATCTCAATTAATTCTTTCAGAAATAATAATTCAGTCGAAGGGTACCAATAATTACTTATAAAAGTGATATAGTGAATGAAGTTGGGGTTCAGAAAGTGTCTATTGTCTACTTTTCATTGAATCATAACAAATTAGAAATATATAAAGTTTGAAAATCGAATGAATCTTATAACAGCTTTAGGCATTAGGTCGATAAGATCCATTAAGCTTTATTTATTAACTTTGTTTATGACATTACAATAATATATTTTGAGTTTTATCAAGATATTTTCACTATATGGTTAATGTTTAAAGTTTCTTAAACAAAATGGCATTTCAAGCTACTTACATAAGGAGAATGTTTGGAAAGGGTTTGTAAGGCTAATTCATTTTATGATTTTTTTTTTTATGATTAATTTTTAATTTTAAAACTATATTTCCTTATATTCTATTACTTTTAGACTCAAGAATATTTCAATACCTATTCAAGTTTTTGGAATTTTTCAAGAACGTTATGATGGCGCCTTCAGAAGCCATCTGTGCTTTCTGCACATTCAGTGGTGGCTTTATTTGGTCGGCGTCTATCCACCGCCGCTGGAATGGGCATTTAACTTTTATTTATTCGTTTCTAAACAAACAGCCCAAATAAAGTGTCTGAAGTCTAAACAGACACCTTTGGCAATGATTCTTTTGTGCACGGTGTAATTTTAATTCAATTGAAGGGAATCACTAGTTGCACGGCAATTGTTTGGATTGTGTGGACACCATCACTGTGATGGGGTGACTCTGGTGAGGCACACATACGAGTCTGCTAACCAATTAAACCGGATCGGTCTGCTCCAGTTCCGATTCACGGCACAGGAATTCTCGGTGGGCAGTTGCCCGGAGGCGAGTGGCCATTTAACACCTCCATTCTCCATTCATCTGGGCAAACAATGCGTTTATCTTCACCGATCGGTCGGGTTTGAATAAGAAATTACGAAGGAACGTAAAATTGTGTGTGCATATAAAGCCATCGTTCCAGGTATTTACCTTTCCAATTAGGAGGCAGCAGACATAATTATCGGGAGGTGATAAGTACAGGATGTGATAGTACCAGTATAGAAGTTTAAAGGTGAGAAAAGTGACTCAAAGTAGAGGAAAGTATTAAATTGAGAAACGTTTATTAGTCTGTATTAAATATATTTCTTTTTATAATGCAAAAGGTTATTATGGATATATTTATATGTATATATTTTAATTTGTATTATCTTAATGCCTAAGAAAAATCTTGAGGAAGACAGCAATTTGTGGAAACATATGGACAGGAGGATAAGGATTAGGATTAGTATTCTTTATAGTAGCAAACTAATTCCTTATTTCACATTTATAACTTAAATCGTGTTTCCGTTCATTGTAATACAATCATGAAATAATAACTGAAAGCAACGAACTTGTGTATATTTCATTAGATTTCTTTGAAGTTTCGCGATAGGGTAAACAGAAATCAGAGTTTAAGTGGCAATAATTATAAGAAAACTAAAAGCAATCCGTCAAAGTAACTGACAAACTGAAGCATTCCAATTTCACGATATGAATTAATAATTTGACCAAAATTCATTCTTATGCGGACAGCTATGTATAAAGCTCTCCCAAAAATGTCACGTAAATCCGTCCACGCCCCAATCCGTCCTACATTTTCTATAGTCCGAAGGGTCTTGCGATGTTTCTGGCTTTGTGTATTCACGTTTTACACCGAAAGAAATTCGGAAAAGTAAAAGTTGAACTTATTTGCATTGACGAGGGTCGCATTAATTGTTGAATCAGGTGGGGTATTTCGTACCCAAATATTTATATTCGCATCACAATGCGTGAAATTAATTTATACATACCTGTGGACTTAATCCCAATGTTAAGAGCAGTATGGCAGAGTATGTGCAATCCCAAGTGGAGCAATGCCCGCAATTACTGGCTCCTCAGAAATATCTGAGCTTCACCAGAACTTGTATCAATTTGTCTTAGAACCTTGTATTTGCCCAGGGCTTTGTTTCAGCTAATAAATAAAATTGAGATGTCTGGAATCAGCCAATTGCAGGAACAAAAGCATTATAATACGATCATTAGTGAAGCTCGGCAATAAACGAGGGGAAACACAAAGAAACCGGATTCGAAGATTCTACTCCGCTTCTGCACTTCAAGTCTTATCATCTTCTGGCAGAGTTGAAATAAATACTTGTATACGAAAAAGTGTTGTCAAGCTATAAATAATTCCGAAAGATAGTGGAGATGTATGTGAGGCTGGGTGATATAAATAGTTGGGTGTTGGCTGTAACTAGACTGAAGTCGAGGGCTAACTCTGTTACATAACTGACAAGGGGCATAGAAACAAGTCTATCTGTTTAAGCACACAGATTTTTAACGTTTCTAAATGCATCGGCAAAGTCTAAGATAAACATGAGAAACCGGATCGATCTGAATACAGTTTCTATCGGTCTTTAACCAAATTTTTATAACTCGAGCTATATGGATGCGTAAACTAATTAGCAACAATCTAATGAACCGACTCGAGGGGCTTTCGACATCTTTAGGATCGGATTTATTTTCACCCGTGTTTTGATTAGGTTTTCAATTCGTAGTTCATAAAACCCCGATCTAATTCCAAGTGCAATGTTTATGGAAATGCTAAGTTTCCCAAGGAGTTCAGACGTCACTCGCCAATTTGACCCCCCAATTTTTTCAAGTTTCAGTCACCAGGCAGATTGTGTAAATTAGCAACTCAATTTGGGAATTAGGAACCGTGTCACCGCTGGCTGCTAATGAGTTATGCTGCTAGATGATGGGTTTGCTTGTCCTTGACTGGGGAGATTTCCATCAGAAGAGTGGAGTGGAAATTTGCTAAATTTTAGGTGGAATTTTTTATCCAGCCTTTTCTCTTCAGTACTAATTTTGTTGCTTTGATCTGAATATCTGATTCAGACCCCCTGCTGCAACAAGTTCTACAAGTGCCGCTTCTGCCACGACGAGAACGAAACGCACCACTTCGATCGCAAAACCCTCACCGAGTTGATCTGCTCCGAATGCAACACGCGGCAAACAGTCCGAGAACAGTGCGAGAATTGTGGAGTAAGATTTGGCAAGGTAAGTCCTATCCTTCTTGGGGTATATTTCTAAGGTATTTCTCTACGAAATCAATTTTATATTTACTTCATCAATTACAGTACACCTGTCTGATCTGCAACCTCTTCGACGACGCAGACAAGCAGCAGTACCATTGTCATGGATGTGGAATTTGTAGGATTGGAGGTGCCGAAAACTTCTTCCACTGCGAGGTTTGCAACATGTGTCTACCAATCCAGTTGAAGATCGATGGCCACAGGGTGAGTTGGGATTTGTCTGGGCACCGCATTAGGCCCTGGGATTGTCCACTTGGAAAACATTTGGTCTGTAAGTGCGGATGGTGACCTCCGCGATTTGAAAGCAAGTTAAAGAAATAGCCAGCCGGCAAGCATATTCATTTTGTGTCAATTCACTGCCGAAACCGGTTGCCTAATTGCTTTTTGTGGCGATCCGCGATCTGTGATCTGCGATCCAGTTGAGTGGATATGAATGTCAAAACTGTTCGAGGAATAGCTTAATTAATTGGCCAACATATTGAAAGTGCTGTGCAGACGGGTGACAGGCACCGAAATGGGTCGAAGATCTGGTGTGGATTTGCATAGCTGGTGTTGGGAAATCTTTTTGATTAACGCCCTATTCTTTGTCTATTCCGTTACAGTGCGTGGAGAACATTTCGCGATCCCACTGCCCAGTCTGTCTGGGGGACATCCACACCTCGCGCATTCCCTGCCATATTCCCGATTGCGCCCACCTTCTCCACAAGATGTGCTTTGACCAGCTGCTGGCCTCCGGCCACTACACCTGTCCCACCTGCCAGACCTCTCTCATCGACATGACGGCTCTGTGGGAGTACCTGGACGACCAGGCGGAGCGAATGCCGGTGCCGTTGAAGTACGAGAATCAACGAGTGCACATATTCTGCAACGATTGTCACAAGGTAATGAAACGATTTAACCTTAAACAACATTATGATAAGGTTAAGTAACCTACCATCGTAGTACACAACAGCACATTAAAAGCTTAAATAATAATAGCCGTCTAATTTTCAGACTTCAAAAACCAAATTCCATTTCATCGGGCTCAAGTGCGTGCATTGCGGCGCCTACAATACAACTCAGGATGTGAAGCGTCGCCTGTCCTTGGTCACAGATGAGCCATCCTCGGCCTAATGTCCACTGATTCACCCCACACTACTCCAGTATCAGCCTCCACAACAGCATCAGCAACAGGAAATCTCTTGCCATGCTACCCACATCAGAAGAAACTAATTTGTTAGTTAAACACAAACACAACTGAAATCGAAACGCATTGAATTTAGACCGAATTCGAGCTGGTATCGAATATAAACCATATAAACACAATCAAAAGGCTCCCTAAATCGTTCGAAGCCCCTGGAGGTTTAAAAATCCTAATTAGGGTTACTGGTAATAGTTACTTTGAATATTGTGATAGGCCTATAACAAAAATTGCATCCTAATTAGTTTTCAAACCTCTAGGGAGTTCTGAACCCTTTACATTATGTACACCTTACACATTGGTAACTACTAAATTTCACTCGAATTTTAATTTGTTCTACGTGCAAAACATATTTCCTGTAAAACTCGAATTTCTCAGCTCAAATTTAATTTTAGAAAAGAAAGTTCTGAAGAACCTTTGCAAACTCACAAAATTCCGTTACTATGAATCATAATAAAAAACGTAAAAAAACAATATTTTGTATATTTCTTTTAAATATTTTCATTTTAATTTGCAATTCAGTGATCATAGCAGGAGTTATTGACTCGATTTCTATTTGCTTCGGTTAAAATATATAGTTATAGTTATATAATTATCTTTCTTAGTAACATTTAAGATGCCTAATCTATTTATTATTTATAACAATATCATCACCTTCCCCAGAAGAAGTATGGATGGAAGAGCGTAGAAGGCATAACAAGACCACTTTTGTACATAACTTAATTGGTGATTTATACTGAGAACTATGATCTCTCAGAGGAAAATATCGTTTGATCATCATGATTTACAATAGAATTGAACTATTTTTGAAAAAATTTCCAATTTCTTTGATAGAAAATCTATTGGAACACTTTTAGGAAGTTGTCCACGAATCGAGCTACCAATTATGAAGTAGATCACTAGTAGTATAACTACTGCGCCTTCTCCTTCTCTACAGCAGCAGCGATTCCATCTCCGCCAGCAGCTTTTTCTGCTGCACGATTCTTTCTGCGTTCGGCAGCCTTCTTCTGACTGGTCAAGTATAATCCTAACGCAATCATCACCGCCCAGCTGATGTAACCAATATGATAGACCGAGGTATAGAACCGCCAAATATTGCCAAACGAAGAGAGCAGGAAGGCTTCGCCCAAATAACTAAAGGCGAACCACTTGAAGATCCAGAAAAGGACATCGATTACACTGCGCCGAGTGCCGGTGGCGTTCTTGCGAATCAGCTTATCCCACATGTCCTCCAAGGAGACGTAAAAGGGAGCGCCCATGATGCAGAAGTAGTGTCCCGGCCGGAATCCGTGCCAGTAGGCAGAACACAGCAGAGTGGCGCCAGTCCTAGGAAGGTTTTAAAAGCAAGTTAGTATGGAAACATAAATTTAGGTCTTAACATAAGTAACTACTAGGAATACCTGCCAACTCTGCAATCAGTAGCAAAGGGAAAGAACAACAACAATAGCAATTATACAAGAAACAAGCAATAAAATAATTACAATCTACTACGACATTATGAAATAAGTTAATTGAAAAACTTGAATTTTAAGTTTCCAATATACTTTACTGCAATATAATAATGCCTAAAATATTTAAATTATACCTGTACTTCTTGCTGGGGAAGAGTTTGTACACATTGACAGCCAACCAATACTGGACACAAACATTCCAGTGCTTCATGCCCTCGCGGAAGGTCCAGCACCTCTCCACCTCCAGAACTCTTGTGTTCACAATCGTTGTGAAGTTGTAAGTGTGCTTATCCGCATCTCGTTTCAGATGCTGGTACCGTTTCCGTGGTCCCTCACCATTATTGGGGTCCGACTCATCCGGATAGGCTCCAAAGCCGGCCATTGTGCAGACACATTCGCTGAGGGTCAGTCCGGTGTAGATGCGAGCACGGAATGTAAAGAACGTGGGCCACACGTACAACAAGCGGTAGACGAAGGAGCGGTCGTTGAAGAACTCATCAGTCAACGCATACTAAAATGTAAATTCAAATAAGCAATGTTTCGAAATACGCCATAAAACTCACATCTAGTGGCCAGATATAGTTGGTGGTCAGGTATAGAGCGCAGTAGAAGACGGCATACTTAAGCTTTTCCAGGGTGGCTTCGACACTTGGAGCATGGGTTTTGAAGGGCATCTCAAAGTAGTCTCTGTATGTGCGATACCGATAGTAGGGACCTGTAAATGAATAAACATGAGTGATTACGCTTTAAATGCAGATTTCCAGCAGTATATTATCTACTGCTACCCATGGAAAGCGGAACAAATCGATGATACGCTTGTATGAGTAAAGGCTTACAATCAGTAATTGAAGTGGACTTTGATATCTACATGTGTTCTGCGTAGAGACACGATTCGATTGCTTATCTGGACCTGATCTTCACCTGTTAGAACTCCGATGTAGTTGAAGCTGTAGTGCAGGATCTCTGCGGCAGTCAGGGTCTGCAGCTCCTCATCGTAGTCGGTAACCTCTACAAGACTCTCCTGGTTTACATCCCGCTGGTCGTTCTTTTTCTGCTCGTCGCGTGCCTGAATCCGTTTCCAGGCAGCTGTCTTTTCAAAAGCAATGCCCGAGACCTGCCGATGCAAGAATTGATTGTCAAGTAATTCATGGTTATCATGGTTATGCAACTCACCTTTAACGTCAGTATCATTTGTATCATGTTGGTGTGGCCGGGAATGCCGAGGTAGAAGTCAAACATGCGGAAGAACACTAAGTAGCCGAACATGACCGCAAAGGTGACCAGATGGCCCTTGCTGTAGGTGGAACCATATTGATTATTGACCAGATTGAAAGAATAAGGATGACCCTACTCACCTCGGATGCACCAGAAGCACGGCGGATGTTCCCAAGGCCAAGGAAGCAAAGCAGTGCAGGCTGTGAAGCCCCGACACAATCACAACAACAATCACGCCCAGAGCAGTGGACACCAGCTTTCGCTGACCCTCGTCCGCGATCTTCTTCACATAACTGCCGGCTCCTATGCAGCCCAGCAGGCAGATCACGTAGATCACGTCGTCGATACTCATCGTGCAATGGATACTCCAATCCCGGCTATTGATTTTAGATTTGTTTTGTTTTTCTCTGTGAATGCAGCGCAACCAATGTTACCAGAGGTTTTTGACCATCAGCGAAAAGCCACCTATCGCTTAAAAATGTTACTATGATGATTTTTGAAGTAAGGTTTCAGCGATGTTTTTCGAAGTTAGCTTTCCTCATACATATATGATTTTTAAGCGGGAACAGTTTTATTTTCAACAATGCGGATTTTAACAGATGTTTTCGAAAGATGCTCTAAATATATTCTTACTTTCGTTTAAATTCATTTTGTCAGCAGAACAACTCTGAGGTTGTTGTCTTCGCTAAACATAGCATCAACCCAAATAGTTTGCAAGAAAACAAAAGTTGGCTGATATGAAGCATCAAAACGTTTCCGTTATTTTGAAATGTGGAAAAATAAAGAACATTATTTTTCTTAAATATACATCTCATTTACCTTTTTTTGTGGGATATTTGATTTTAAAAATGTTTTTAAACTTCTGCTTATGTTTATTTTTGATATAAATAAATAAAAAGCCAAATCAGCCCCTGTGCACAGAAGAGAACAGCACGTTCATTAAGACGCCTATGTGCTTGATTTACGAAGCATAACACTCCATATTGGAGCTTTGAGTGTGTCAAAAGTGTGTTAGCTCCGATTCGACTTGATAGTTTTCGGTTGACTTCCTGCCATAATTATCATAGATAAGAATTTTGGACGGCTTTAGATTGGTCACCACAAATGCTCTGTACGCCTCGACAGGAATGCATTTCATTTCATTCTTGGTCAGACTTTTCAAAGTACACCATTACCACGGTTTTTTCATTCTTCGTATCCACAAACTGCAAGGAATGTAGGGGAAATCGTAATTATTTTTTATTTATCCATATTAACTAAAAAATCTCACTCACCCGTACTCGTTCAATATCCAGAATTTGTTTATAGCTGGACTTGTCCGAGATATATCCTGAGGGTAGGGACACCTCTAGAATGGCCATACCGGACTTCTTTAACTTACTCTTCTCCACAAAATCCACGCACACGTTTAGCTCCAGTTTGGATGATGAAGTCCTTGGCTTAATTGTAGTCTGAATCCTATAGCTTGGATTGGCTTCCTTCTCCTCCAAATCATACTGATGGCTTATCTGGATGAGAACAGCACCAGTACCCTTTGCCTGAATCTCAACATACCTAGTGTCAGAAGAGAAGCCGACACTTTGGCTTATCAACTTTGTATCGTGCCTTAAAACCAATTTATTGAATCTAATCTCGTTGCTGATGCTTAGTACCCAACCATCTGCGTTATAGCCAAATTTTTGAGCGAACATAATCAATGCTGTTAGACCCACAACTGTTTGTTGACTGGAGGCAAATTCCCCGTCAGTATTTCTTTGGGCCAACAGCCAACGAACTGTGTTTATGGCGGATTCTGCCAAAATCTGTTCTGATTCCATAAGGGAAAGCAAGGCATAGGATGTGATCTCGATATCTTGATGGCTGGGCTTCTGAACATCCTCAGCCCACCAAATTCGATCTTCCTCCTGTTTGGAAAGGGATTTAAGTTCGGCCGCAAAACGACCTGAGTCTGCGGCCTTTAATTTTTGTATGGCATAAATGGCAATTGACCCTGGCAATTGTAGATTATTTTTTTTGGCCATCTCTGATCTAAGAAAACCCACTGCTTTGTTTATAGCTTCCATGTTGGGATTGTCCTGTGTCTGAAGACCCAGGAGAACACTCGCTGTAAAGAATACGGGCCTGTCGGCCTCTGCAAAATATTCAAAATCATCTGTGAAACTTCCATCATCTTTCTGACGGCTCAGTAAAAATTTGAATCCTGCCGATAAAACATTATCATCTATGTATATGATCTTCTTGATTTCGGTTAAGTAACGGACGACGTAAGAGGTTAACCAAATGGAGCCGTTGCCTGTCGGTGGACCAAAATAACTGAAACTTCCATCCTTGTGGCGATAGTTAAGTATATTCTGATAGCCCTCCCGTAAGTTGTTTTGAATTCGGGTGTCCAAATCATCATCCAATTTTTTGTTTCCCTTGAGGTAGTCCCACACCAGAAAGTTAATAACCATTTTGGACATAGTCAGTTCACCTGAACCACTGGGCAATGAGTTATCCAAATTTGAGAGGATCAGGCCTAATGGATCACCAAATAAACTAAATCCAACGTAGTCTGAATCCAAAATCATTTCCTTGGGAAAATCTATGTGGAACGAACTATTGTATTCCTCATTATCTCTGAGATTGATTAAAATAGCTCGGTTTCTATATTGAGTATTACCTTCTGAAGTAACTCGAAGTGATTTATCCACAGTAGTATTTTTGGCTGAAGAGATTATGGTAAAATCGAGTGGAAAATAACCGACCCATTTTGGAAAAAAATTCGAAATCCACACTTCTTGCTCCAAATTCTTCGATTTCGTATGCGTACGTTTCCTTGTCCATTACTATCTCAATTTTCAGTGGATCAGGAAGATGGTTAACGATCACAACCGGAACATTGATCGATTCGCCGAATTTCACTGAGATGGGCAAAGGCATGGAAACGGAGTAAGGCTGCAGTGCTTTGATTTTGGTAACGTTACTTTGGAAGACACCCAATCCCTTTTCCGGGTGTAAAGAGATACCGGTGATTTCCCAAGTGCCCAAGGAGTCGGGCAACTTCGTTACCAGTTCCGTCATCTCACTGCTTGTCTTTTTAATATCCGTAAATAACCAAATTTCCAAAGGGTCTAATGGGGGACCCAGAGACTTAACATTTCTGACAAATCTCTTGCGAGCGGAAACGTCTCTATCTAAATAAAAATGTTGTATTTTATAAAATGCGTATCAATAATGTAGATTAACTTTTACCTATATCGAACGGTCGAAATTGTCTTCCTTCAATCTTAGCATTAGTCATGGTAATAAGTCCAAGATTCGATCCAGGAACTTGTTTATAGGTATGCAAATGATAATCCCGTAAATGCTCATCGAACCCAGAGATATCTATATGATAATTACTTAAATCAGAAATCTTTTCATTAAGCGCTAAAACACCGACGAAGGAATCGGGTTGTGTTTTAATTTTTAGCTCGATTTCTTCTCCTGGATATCCAGTATTCGGTGCAGATATGCTGATTTCATTTGGAAGGCTAACCGTGACTATATATTGAGTGTTGGTGTACTGAAGGATTCCCTTGTCATCTACATAATACGCATAAATATAAAAATGGGGCGAAAATAGATGCGTAGCCTTCAGGGTGAAGTTGTAGACCATCTTGGGTTCAGGCAACTCAACACGTTCAATGTGCAGTATAAGACCTCGGGCCACTATGTTATATATAAAGTACTTGATCGGTTCTTTGGAGTTAACTGTCACCAGGAACTCATCTCCAACAGACAAAGCAGCTGGTAATCCCTTGCTATCTTTCGGTCCATGGATCTGGAGGTAAGAAATTCACGTCTATCCGGGGCGTGAAATAGGCATTTGCCGCATCTATCATAAAGCCCACGGCTTGCGAGACTGTTTTCTCGAGTTCGTATCTTTCACCTTTGTATTCCGCAAATATATCATAGTATGGCCATTCGTTATCTTTTGTCTGTGGTAAGTCAGAAAGGTTGGCTTTGAAGATGTACAGTCCTGACTTATCCAAATGTCCGACAAATTCATAAACATTTTTTTTAGCATCGTCTTTAACATATTTCCTGAAATAAGGTTGAACTTTTTCCGTTCCCTCGCTGTAAATTAACTAGAAAATATAATCAACAATAGGATAACGAAGGTCTTTCTATGCTTATAACAGTTTATCACCTTAACAACAGACTGAGTATCGTTCACCAGAGATCCATCTAAATTTGCTATTTTTATGAAAACATTATTATCCTTTGCCTTCCAAGGTCTCAGGCATGAATAATCAGCACATGTTATGATATGGCGATGTGAAAGTATGTAAACCTTTGATACTTTTGAGATTTCTTCCCCGGTAATATCATCTTTCACTGTAGCATTTATTGTGGCCAAATAGATCGATTTTATAGGGCTTAAATGTTTGGCAACATCCGTGAAGATTTATATTAAACACCACCTGACCTTTGACTAAGACACCTTTGGCTGTTAACGTCTTATTTAATAAGTGATTCCTTTTCTCATCTGTTTTAAAATTAACATTTATGATACCTTTTCCATTTACGGGGCTGCCATAAGAGTGTCTTAAAAGGGTAAAAGATATTTAAACTAATAATTTTAAAAAAGACTTGCCCTTCAATACTCACTTGGCTATAACCACAATTTTCATTTCGTCATCTTGTATACTGACATACTTTGGAGCATCTAACTGAATAGAGAATCTTGGCACTTCGTCAGGAATTACTTCAAAAAATGTAAATGTACTTGTATCTGCCCTGTATTCTTCTCCTTTGGGAATCTTGGATACTAAACTCCCATTGCCCCAGAGCTGCTTTTTTAGACAACTGGAAGTTACCAGAGTATACTCCGTCTACTACTTTGCTATTTTTAGCTTTATCTACGACGATTCTTTTGGGATCCAGTAGGCAGATAACCAAATCATCGGCGTATAAATCTGGTCGAAGCTGTTCGTTTAATACCAAAACGCGGTAGTTTATTCTATCGCCAGGCCTGTAATGATTCTTGTCTAACAGAATAAAAACGACTGGATCATCGCGTTTGAAATAAAGACCAATTGAGTCCTGAAACTTTAGTCCTGATATGCCATCAGCTGTCAAGCTATAAACGCCCTTGGTAAGATCTGGTACTTGAAAGGTGACGCCTTTAAGTTCTTGGCTTGTTTGGAGTTCCACTTCCTGGGATGCATTGTATGAGGGTCCTGTAATGCCAACCTTTATGGTCACTGGCTCTTGGATCTGATAAACAGCAACTGTTATTTTGAAGTCACGATTGGGCACTATTGCTCCAGGTGCCACTATACTATAAAGTCTGAGTGGAAATAAAGACACGTTAAATATGTATTAACAAAAAGTTTATGTCTTGAGTTCATTTTGTCACTAAAATAATAATTGAATAATTTCAAACTTGCCCATTGCCACATGCGAATCCAAAAAGATGAAACCACAAATAAAAAACAGCAGCAATAACTGTTAAGTTATTTATTAAACTCATTTTGATATACTTTTATAATTGATTAGACATTTTTAATTGATTTCGTAGAAATGAAAAGCAACCTACGGCATACACAGCAGAACTTTGACTGTTCAAATGGGAATGGGAACCCTTCCACTTAGGATGTGGCACCTCCCATCCTCCAATACAAGTCATTCCTGTTCTTCTAGTTTAGACACTCTTTTCTGGATTCCATTGCATTGAACTTTGGCTATACTGCATATTATTATTTGCTAGGGTCTTTTATAAGACGACATCAAAGACTCTGTTTATGTACTTGTTTATATTTAGCAAAATCAATTTATATTTTATTGTTACCTATCAATCAGAAATCTTAATTAATCCCTACAAACTTTATGTTTATTTCGATCTTATTTATTATTTTTATATAAAAGTCTCTTTTGTTAAGTCTGCTTGATATTTGCTTTTGGACTTATGATCTTAAAAAAAGCAAAGAAACTTTTTGATTGATATTAATAATTATTCCGTCTTTCAAGACGGAAACTGATAGGGTTTCGTGGAGGACGGTGGACGTGCAAAAATCAAAGCCTCAAGATATGAAATCACCTTTTATGGTTTTCCCATTAACTAACAACAATTAAATTTCTGATAAGTAACCAAATCGCAAATAAAGTTTTTGGATTTTATTTTTAGATTATTCAGTAATACATTTTTAAATATTCTTGACAAACTTTATATAAGTTTACAAAAATGTGAACTAAGAGAGAAATAAGAAGTATAAAATCTTTTTTCATCAAGAGCCCTGCTGGAAGGTTGTAACCTTGACCATTTCCTTGGCAACACCCAAACCCTTTTCTGGATGCAATGAGAAGACTGTAAATGTCCAGCTACCCAGTTTGTTTGGCAGGGTTATTGGATATTTTGTAACTTCATTTTCCGTTCTCTCGATATCAGCAAATATCAAGGTTTCCGCACTGTTCCAAGGAAGGTCATCTCCAACTGCAGATCTTTTCGGACGAGTTACAGGTTTTAAAGAAGTCTCAATCCGAGATTTTGTTTCTATTTCAAAAAAATGTGTAAAATCAATAGGTATTATGGTAATAATTAGTATAATCTTTCTGGCAACTTACCAGTGTGGATAGAACGGGAACACCTTTTCTTGGTCAAATTGGCATTGGTCATGAGGAATAGACCCGATTTCGAGCCATCAAGAGAGGAGGCAGTGTGGAAATTAATTAATCTTTCATCCAAATCATGGGGTGGAAAATCACCAATTATGTAATTAAAGTTCCTTAACCTTTCATCGACAGCCATAATACCAATAAAAGAGTTCGGTTCTGTTTTAATAAGCAAATCAATCTTTTCCCCGGGAGATCCACTTTCAGGAGCAGATACAGTGATTTCATTTGGTAGGTCAACAAGGACCTGGTAGTTTGTTTCCGCATATTGCATAACTCCTTCCTGATCTACATAAAAGGCATGGATATACACCCTAGGCGATGTTAGATGAGTGGTCTTAATGGTGAAGTTGTATTCCCTTAGAGGTTCAGTAAAGTCGATTCGTTCATTGTGTAAAATGACTCCACCCCGACCAACTAAGTTATAATCAAAGTATTTAAAGGGACGTAGAGAGCTAAGTGTGACTTGATATTCGTTTCCAATTTTCATTGGTACTATTTCGCCTTTGCTGTTCCTGGGTCCATGTATCTGAAGGGTTAACTCTTTCTTATTCTTTACATCATTCTGAGTTTCAGTTGGTGCTGGATCTGGATTTGAGCCTGGATAGTATAACTGCACGGCAAGTTCTTCACCAGCATATTCCAGCCAAATTTTATAGTCTCGTAAATAAAGCTTGTCATTTGGAGCTTCGGGTATCATTACCTTGAAAACAGCTATGCCAGATTCATTCATTTTACCATCGAAATAGAAAGTTCTATTTTCAATCTCTGGAATACGAATACTTCGCTCATACCGATTAGAGAGAATCGTTAGTTTCTCTAAATACTTAAGCTGTAATGTAAGATATTATATTCAAAGTCAAAATCGAAAGTCTAGGTATACGAAAATAACTTACCTTCAGCGGTGCTGCAGTATCATTTACCAGTGTACCGTTCAATGTTGTGATCTTAACAACAACCTCAATTTCTTTATTATACGGAGGTCGAATACAGGAGTTGTTAATACAGGTAGCCTTATTGCGGTTACGAACTAGATGCAACAGTTTCTCCTTAGAAACCTTTGCTCCACCTGGATATTCGTTTATGATGGCCGTTACGTTGGCCATGTAATAGGAGTTTGTAAGATTGAAATGATTGAGTAAGTCTTTAAGGCTGGCGTCAATCTTAGCCTTTCCATCGATCAGGTTGCCACCGTTGATTGTGACTGTTTTCCCTAACGGCTGATAATTGTTAAGTAGTTCAATGACTACCACAACATCGCCATTGACACGAGGTCCATAAATGTATCTAATAAGTATCAACCTTAAAACTAATCAAAGTGTTGCATAAGATAAGGCTACTCACTCTGCATTTATTTCAAATTGCAAATAATCGTTATAGGAGAAATATTCTGGAGGATTCATGGTCACCACAAACTTGGGCAATTTATATGGAATGACATCTACCGAGATGTCTAAATGATCATCACTTTTGTACTCATGTCCTTCAGAGTCCAGGATAATAATTTGCCATCGTCCCAAGTCGGCGTCTTTTGGTATATTAAACTTTCCTGTGTATACTCCAGTTTTTGTTTTTTTCGGTCTAACTACTTCTACATTTTTATAATTGTCGTCCCTTAGAAGTACAACAACTTTTTCCGCATTCAGATTTGGTCGCAGTAGCTCATCTAAGACCAGAACCCGATAATGAATCGTATCACCCGGCTGATAGGTAAACTTATTGGTTTGTACGTATACGATCGGTGTAGGGGACTCCCAAATGATGTCCCTTGTGTCTCGATACTCCAAACCTAATATTCCTTCTGCTCTTAGATTGTATTCACCTTCTTCAAGATCGGGTAGTTTGAAAGTAACTTGTTTGTTATTGTCGACCTTGTCAAGTTTGACCTTTTGGGACACGTTGTACGAAGTACCGGTGATGGAAATCACAAGGTTTATCGGTTCTTTGATGTCGTTCCCGACAACGTTAAGAATATAGTCCCGGTTAGATTGTAGGTAACCGGGTGCCAAAACAGTGAATACACTCCAGGTTAAGAAGAAAATAAATTTTATCAATTTTTCAAATCTCATTTAGGATTTATCGTTACTTACCTTTTGTTTTCCAACGATTTTGCGGTAGGCAAGTAGACACAAAGGAACAAAATCCCCCATATAAGGCAGTCATTTTAAAGTTAGTAAGCTAATAAATCACTTAATAAAAGAACACAACCAAGTGCGCTCAAAGTTGAGCAACGACTGGGACCAAGATTCCTGCGACCTTAACTTAAGGCTCTAGAAAACCATTGTAATTCTTGTTATTCCTGTTTTTGCGTGCTTTGTTAAGGCTGTCCTGATTAAAAAGTAATACATTTTCTAAAAATAAACTGTAGGGCAGAAGCATACTGATTGCCTATTTTTAGAAAGAGATTACATTTTCTTGTGGTTTCTCACTTTTTCAAGGCAACCAAGACTGGGTCTGACTGCATATGTTTATTTTAAAATAAAAATGATAAAATCGCCCTTTTATATACATTATAATCACAATATTTTATTTGATGTTAGACAGAAAGTATTATGGTTTCATTTTGGTTTGGACAATTCAGCACTTAATCTTACAATCCTCTCCTTCGCAAATATCGCAGAGCTTCGAGTCGATGGAGTAGTATTCGGTGGCCTTCTTGTTCGTGTCATAGTAATCGTAGAGGACCACAGAGGATGGCTTCTGGTTGGCCACGGCATGTGTTCTGAAGGCTTCAATGGGAATGCATTTGTTTTCGTTCTTGACCAGATTCTCAAAGTAGACAACCACTACGGAGTCACCGTTCTTGGTCTCAACCAACTGAAAAGGCAGATAAATGCAATGTTATTTATAGAACTTAATCATAAAGAAATATAAAACTTACCCGAACACGTTCGATCTCTCGGATGTCCTTGAAGCTTTCCTCATCGGCAGTATAACCCGAGGGCAGGGAAACCTCCAGGATGGCCATGTTGGATTCCTTGGACTTGCCCTCTTCTACATAGTCCACGCAAACGGAAAGCTCCAGTTTAGCTGGCGTTGTTTCTGACAACACAGTGGTGTCAACTTTGAAACTTTGCTTTGGTTCCTTCTCCACCACGTTGTACTGGTAGCTAATCTGGACTAGAGCAGCGCCAGTGCCCTTGGCCTCGAACTCCAGAGATTTGGTACCTTGCGGGAATTCGACTGTCTGGAGCAGCAAATCATTCTCCTCCGATGTGGTTAACTTTTCGGTCTTTTCCCGTTTGCCCTTATTGGAAACAGTCACGTCCCATTTGGCTGCCTCGTAGCCAGACTTTTCAGCAAACTTGATCAGAGCCGTGAGACCCACAACTGTGTCCTGGGTAGAGGCGAATCCTCCGAAACTATTACGTTGAGCCACCAGCCAGCGAACCGTGTTCAGAACTGTATCAGCCGTCTCCTCGTCGGATTCCAGAAGGGAAAGCAGGGCATAGGAGGTGATCTCCACATCCTGACTCCAAACCCAACACCACCAACGTCCGCAGTTCTTCGAGGTGCGCAGCTTATCCAGATCCTCGGTCCACCAAGTGCGATCATCCTCCTGTTTGGCCAGGGATTTGAGGTTTGCCACCTGCTTGGCAGCTTCTGGGGCCTTTGGCCTTTTGCAGGGCATAGATGGCAATGGATTTGGGCAAAAGTTCCTCCGATTCCGCTGTATTGGAGCTCAGATAGGACACTGCTTTATCAATGGCAGCCTGGTTGGGTTTCTCCTCCTCGAGCAATGCCAACAGGGAGTTTGCGGTGAGGGTCAGTGGAGATCGCTGAGAGCCATAGAAGTACTCTCCCTTCTCCGTAAAGCTTCCATTTTCCGCTTGGCGGCTGAGTAGGAACTCATACCCCTTTGTCAACATCTGTTCATCCAGGTCAACGATATCCTTGATCTTACTAAACGAGCGCAGGACATAGGCAGTCAGCCAGGTGGATCCATTGCGTTCAGGTTCATCATCCCTCCACTTGTAGGGTCCAAAGGAACTGAAGCTTCCGTCCTCATGGCGATAGTGCAGCATGTTCTGATAGCCCTCCTGCAGATTCCTCTTGATGCGGGTGTCCAAGGCAGGTGTAAGTTTCTTGATGCTCTTCAGGTAATCCCTGACCAGATAGTTGGGCACTAACTTGGACATGGTCTGTTCCCCACAACCGCTGGGCAAACGCAGAAGGTTCTCCAAGTTCTTGACCACCGGACCGAGGAGATCGCCTACTACTCCGAATTCGACGCGCTCCGAATCGGGAACCACGTCCTCTGGTACTTGTAACTCAAAGCTGTTCTTGAACTCACCGGTATCCTTGAGATTGATAAAGAATGCCCTATTCTGGTATTGGGTGATACCTTCGGGGATTACCTTGAGTGCCTTGTGCACAGCATCGCCGGCTAAAGGAGAGATCGCCGTGAATTTTAGTAGAATATTGCCAATAACCTTTGGTCTGATCAAGAATGAGGCTCCGGCGGCTTCGTTGGCACCCACACGGATTTTCTGGGATCGCTTTTGATCACCAATTACCTCATTTGAGGCATCAACGAAGTCGTATTCAGCATCCTCGTTATCCAGAGTGAGTTCCACATCCAGGGTCTTGGGCAGATAGTTGAAGACCAAAGCTGGCACATTGATCACCTCACCTCGTTTCACGGAGAAGGGCAACCGAACGGAGACGAAGAACGGCTGGAATGTCTTGATGTTGAGTTTATCATCTGTCACACCTAATCCCTTGACCGGATTTAGCGAAAAGCCGGTGACCACCCAGTTGGTGATAGTATCGGGAATTGTCTTCACCCACTTAAAGACCTCCTCCTCCGTGCTCTCAATGTCGGCGAAAATCCAGGTCTCTGCAAAATTCTTTCGTACAGTTGGAGCTGCTGATGCTCCCGCGCCAGAGAATCCCACGGCTTCAGGTGCAGCAGCTCCTAGGGCGGCGGTTGTAGAATGCAACACTGCAGTATCTTGTTGAACTGATGTTTTCCTCATGGCGAACACGCGCCTCCAGAATCCAGCGACTTCTAAAAAATGGATTTAATAATTATATAGGGGTTTTCCATAATACCTTGTGTACTTACGTAAGTGATGGACGGGTGCGGTGCGATTATAGAAGAAATTGGCATTGGTCATAGTCACCACACCGCTTCGTTCCCCAGGGAAGTAGGAGTAACCACCCTGCCAGGGAGTGGTGGTGTCATAACCGTTCAGACGCCAGTTAAAGGAGTCCTTGTTCAAGTCGTTATTGTTGCCCAGCAGGAGCACACTCTGATCGACGGCCAGCAGTCCAACGAAGGACTTTGGTGGCGTCTTGATCTGGAGTTCAACTTCCGCACCCGGTTTCACCTCCTCAGGACCCGTGATTTCGATCTTGTTCTGCAATTCCACCTCCACGCTGAACGTTTCCTCGGCGTATCGGAATTCTCCAGTCTCATCCACGTAGTAGAAGTAAACACGACCATTAGGAGCTGTTAGGAAAGTGGGCTTCAAGGTGACGTTGATGGTGTTTTTAGGTTCAGACAAGTCGACGCGCTTCGTTTCCAGGATGTTACCGCGTCCAACGATGTTGTAAACAAAATATTTAAGTGGACGACTGGAGTTGAGAGTCACTTGATACTCCTGACCGATCTTTAGGCTGTTAAAGTTAAAAAGTTCTCATTGATTAAGGTTTTTAAAAAACAGAAAAATGACGTGCACTCACTTCCAGCTGTCCTTCGGCCTCTGTACTTCGGCCTTAAACCACTCCTTTTCTTCCTCGTCAGTGCTGGGATTTTCGATCTTCTTTGGCTCCCTATAGGGATAGGTAGTGTAGAGTTCGCGCTTCTCGTCAACGAACTCCAACTCAATGCTGTAGAAACGGGTGAAGTTTTCGATGTCCGGCAAGTCGGGAAGAGTCACCTTGAAAGGCGCCACACTGGACTCATTCAAATGGCTTTCAAACACGAAAGTTTTATTTTCAATCTTTGGCAGTTCCAGATGCGGTGGCTCATTTCCATAGCCGTAAAAGCCGTAATTGCGCCGGATTCCCTCAGTGAACTTGGCCTATAGTTAGGAATTATGTATTGATAAGTAATAGATATTAAGAGGTTAGAATAGTTAACCCACCTTCACCACAGACTTGGTGTCTGTGACCAGGGTTCCGTCGACAAATGTTATCTTAAAGGATATATCCTGTTCCTGGTCGGGCTTGAAAGAGAAGCAAGTGGAATAGTCTGTGCAGGACATCTCATAACGATATGGATACAGTTGGACACCGCCCGTTTCGTTGAGTTTCACGCCGGTGAAATCTTCCTCCACGGTTGCCGTTATCTGGGCATATGAAGATGATGTCTTGTGTGGCAGATAACCAGCGAAATCCTTGAGATCCAGGGTTAGTTTAGCCTTTCCACCGACCATGTCAGCGGTTCCAATAACCGCATGTCCGGGGAAGTCTGTACGAACGGTCTTGCCATCAACATTCTCCCAAGTGCTCGTCTCATCCAGATGAACATTTACCAAAACTTTACCATTTACTGGCTTGCCATAAGTGTAGCTGCGGGATAGTCTTAGTATTAGAAACTGATATTGGAAAACTAAATAAGCGGAATACTTACTTGGCCTTAAGGACAACATTAAATTCACCATCTCGCACTGAGACCTGCTGCGTGGCATCCATTTTAACGGAGTACTTGGGCAGTACGTACTTCTCCACCTCGAAGTTGACGCGTTCATCCGACTGACGCCAGAAATGACCAAATCTTCCGAAGGGCCTACGACCGCCATTGCCTGTCTTCTGCTCACCATTCTGAACCTGTAGGGACCACGAGCCCAATGTGGCGAACTCAGAAAGCTCAAACTTGCCAGAGTAAACACCACCGGTGATCTTGATGTGCTTCTCCTGCTTAATGCGATTCCTCTTGGAGTCCTCAAACCACACCACAACCTCATCCTCCGCCGTATCTGGCAGCAAATTCTCGTTGAGGAAGATCACACGGTAATTGATCGTATCGCCGGGCTTGTACTTGCCCTTGTCGGTCTGGATCTTAATGTACGGCTTGAAATTCTCCCATGACAGTTTGGTGGAGTTCTTGAATTCCAGTCCCTTGACGCCCTCGGCCGTAAGATTGTAGTCACCCGACTCCAGGGGAGGCAATTTAAAGGTGATCTGTTTGAACTCATCGGAATTGACAAACTCTAAGGTCTGGGTTTCGTTGTAGGAGGGTCCAGTGATGCCCACTTTCAGGGTGACAGGCTCCTTGGTCTGGTGAACAGCCACAGCCACATTGTAATCACGGTGGGAGTGGATAGTTCCGGGACCCACAATGGTGTATTTACTGTAATTGGAATTGGAAATAAGGTTATTTCAAATTGAAATATAAAATTCGACCCAAATAAAGGTTATCAATGTTTAATATATAAAACTATTTTCCCCATTTTTAATTACTTTCAATTTTATAAATTTCTTCTAATCTCAAGGCAAAACCCACACATATATAAATATGCCCTAATATTTGGTTTACGTTTAAGTGACCTTTAACCTGGTAAAGATAATGAAGCTTCTTTTTATGATTAAAAACAAAAAACTGTTATTTGTTCTTTGGCAGCAGTTTGTATGTACTTAAACATGAATTTATAAAAGTCCACAAAGCGAGATAACGGTACACCTTCCAGGAACCTGATGTGCTTGAGAAATGTTTGAAACCGGCTCAGAAATTATATAAGCCGCGTTTTTTGTTAACGAGCAGCCATTTTTCTCGCACTTACAGTCCTCGATCACGTACACAAATGTTTTTAACTCAATCATTCATCATTCATTTGTTTATGATGACTTTGCTTCGCTTCAGGCCTCAACTGGTATTATTCTAGCTTTTGAATTGTTTAATTCTATTCAATAATCCAACTTTATATTCGTTTCTAATTACTGATAATTACCTACAGTGTAAAAAGTACAGATACCAGATGGTGTCACGGTATTAATGAGGTAAATTCATCAACAAAAAAAAGCATTAAATCAAGCAAAATATGTGACGCGTTAACTTGTTTAATTAAGAAATATAGAAATCTGTGTATAAACGGTTTACTTTGAAATTCAATTAGCATCAAAAGTTCATCTGAACAACAAATTCAACTTAGCGAAGTGATAAAGAAAACGTAATTGATTTCCATGTAAATCGTTTGATAAGTACGTCTAGCAAGGCTTAATTTTACTTGAAAATATGTAAGGTTTTTAAATAAAAATTTCTATATATTATATGTAAACTAGAGCAATCACTTAATTCTGATCTCGGCAAATAAAATATTTATAAACCCTCCAACGAAACCCCAAGGGCAATAAAGATGAAGTAAAATTAAATTAATAAACGATTAGGCATTTAAAAAAAGGGAACACAAAAATACAATTTTATTACCTCGACATTCATTAAAAAACGGACCTATCTGCCTATATACATATGCATAATAAGTATGCCTTAATTATTTAAAATATACACCGAAAGCCATACAGTTACTGCTGACCTAATAGTAGCCATAAAAATAAAATGTAGGAATTATGGTTTCCATTTCAGTAATTTGTGGGATTTTTAAATATGCCATTTAAGAGACATTTAAGATTTTACTTTTAGGTAAAAATGGAAATAATATCTAATGTTACTTACTGATTTATTTTTAATTATCAACCCGTTTGATATTAACCATAAAAATATATAATTTTAATTCTTAAATTTCGACCAACTTTCTTAAGAATTTTTCAACACACTAATCTGATTTTGATTATCACCTATGTGTTCTACTATTATTTTTACCGCAGCTGTGTTTTTCAACCGATTCGATCACATAGTATATTAGAAGTTGACTTACCCCTCGGCCTTTACCGGTTCCATCATCTGCAGCAGGGCCAAAATCGCACAAACCGTGACAGCAAAAGCGTCTGCGCGACGCATTTTGTTTACGTTGTTGGTCCAAGGAGGGCAGGAAGAGAAATATACAAAAAAAATACAAATCAAATCAAATTAGGTGTGTGTTGCGGAAAATATGGTAAGCGCGGCTACAACCGACGGGGCTCAGAGCCGAGCTGAGACTGGTTCGAGTTGATGCCCCACGGATTTGTTATAGCATCGAGACTCTACAATCGCAAGCCGGGCGGGCGAAGCCGACTTCCCATGAGTTGAGCAATGTCGTAAAAAAAAAAAAACTGATAAAAATTAAAGTAAATAAACCTGGGAGTGAGAGCGGTGTATATAATCGTTTATGTGCCCACTGAAATCGATGACGAGTTGGGCAAACAAAACCAAAACAATAACACTGACCACAAAAAAGCCGGCATTCGGCACTTGAATATCAATATTGGTGGTATGTACTACGAGTATATATTCTTGGGCCACCTCCAAAAATATATCATTCATAATTGGTTCTGAGAAGATTTTCGTTTTCATGTTTTTATGAAACTGATCTTGAAATTGCGTAATAATACAAGAAACTTTTATAAAACAAATTGAAAATTAATAAACATTCTTTGCAGCAGAATAAAAATGTTGAAGATGGTGAAATATTTCAGAATAAAGTAAAACTTATCAAAAGAAATCATATTCAAGTCATATGTATTTATTTATTTTTAAATCCATTGACAAATTTCTTATTTCGTCACATCTGGAAATGGAATATAATGTAAAAAAAAAAACTGACGTGCTGATCGAAAATGTTTACATAGAACAAAAGAATATAGGTAACGCCCCATGGGCTTAACTGATTACCCATGAATGATATTTGTCACAGAACTACAGTCATGCAATAATGAAATTATACTGGGGTTTTTCAATAATTAACACTTTAATTGTCACTAATAACTGTCGCTTCGTGTTTTCCGCAATAGTTTAAAATTTAGATTTTTCGGCCATTTAAATGATTTACGTACATGAGCAGGCAGGCTTCTTGAAAAACCCAAAATCAGTTTACCAACAATTTATAATACTCGCGAGAAATCCGAATGTATTTTTATTGGAATACAAATATTTTTGTTATTTTTTGGGTGTCAGTAAGAAGGGGTTGGGTTTTTTTCTTTGGACTTGTTGATTAGCAGTGCCAACAGAACTGGCGTCTGAATCGGAATACTGTGGCAAACTGACTAGGCGTTATATATAACAAAACTCTCTCCCACTTTCAGAGTCAGCTGTTGTTGTTTTGGTTGCTTACCTCAGTGGGACGCTATTTGTGGCTCTCTCTTGTCTTGCCAAAGAATGACGTCACTTGCCTGTATTTCACATCGTATTGCAAATGAAGGAGGGTAAATAATATACAAATGACTAATGCCAGAGAGATATGTATCTTCCGTATATATAAGAGAGCTTCGCCGAACTGGATTTCTGCTTGGTGATTCCCCTTGTACTCTCTCTCTATCTTCTGCGGTACATTTCCTAGTAATATATGTATGTATGTGTAGGCATTGCGTTTCTGTGAATACCCTGCATTCTGGAAAAGATCACTTCAGGTCGTAAGAATTATGAATATATTATGATTACAAGAACTTCGCCTTGAAATATTTACATACCCAGTTTGAATCGAAGAAAACATATTATATGTGATAATAGGTTGTAGAAATGAATAAATTTTTTCAACGGAAAAAACGATGCTCCATTTACATTCTTAAGAAGTTTATTTTTGTGTGAAAAAGCTATACAAACAGAAAAGATAATATACATATTTATGCAAAAATAAAAAAAGAAAGCCTTTAGCATAAAAGGAATAGTTTGCATAATAACACAACGGAGTGGACCAATGATAAATTTTAAAATTTCTAACACAATTATTTATTTAATACAAAATGAACCTAATCTTGTGTTTATGATTAAATTAAGCCTGCATCAGAATTCCGTGTAATCACCTTTATAAATATAATATAACCTAATCAATCATTGAGTTCACAGAATTATCTGTATTTACTTTTCATTATTATCTATGAAGATTACAAAAATACGATAGAGCTCTTATAGCACAAACATTCATAATACCCTAACTTGAAAAATATAAAGCATACGACATGTTGACAACTGTGACCTTTTCATCTTTTTGGTCTCGCTTAAGTTATTATTATTATGTATGCAGGTACAATGCTATGTACATATCCTTTGTAAGAAGTTCGAAATCTTGGTAGGGGAGTGTTATTATTGGATTTCCCCACACAAACATTTCTCGTTCCTTATCTATTTCTCTTCGCTTGCCTTTAGCTGTATATTTATTAGGCATTTGCTTTTGTTCGACATTTCACAACATCGAACACCAACTTTGTGTTTGGGGTGGACCAAAGAATTAATAGGGAAACTGAATATAATACTACTATTATATATTATATATTATTTTTTTTTTTTTTGGATATTTAAAATGCCTTGACACTGATTTTGGGAATCACTCACGGTTATAATCATGATTAATTCCGGACACTTGGCACGGGCCACTTATCCAAACTGGTTTTAGAATGCTCCAAAAATAACAATAATCACAGTCCGTCCAGCTGGAGAGCAATGGCAATCAATACCACCTGTGGCTGCTGCCGCCTTTCCCGCCCCAAGGTAAAAACACGTGAACGGGGGCGCTCCGCTTAGTCACCTTTTTGCAAACGCCGCGCTCCAATGGCTTTGAAAGTGTGATTTTTTCGGAACGGACTACGCTGGCAGAATTCACCGGCGAGAGCGAATCATGAGCTTTCGATGGCTTTTTTCCAGCTGTTCCATGCCGTCAGGCCGTCAAAAGCGTTCTAACAGTCGCTCCGAGCGGTCGCGATCTTCGGTTTTTAGAGTGCCAACAACTAGCTTATCGCTTTTACGTGCGCATCTCACGTAGCAGATAAGGGGATTTTACCATAACATCCAATACATAATGATAAGTGCCGAATTACAAGGCTCCTACGGATGGTTCTACTTTGGCTTTTGCACGTGGATATCCCACATTCTTCTGGCGGGGATCACCATAGCCATTGTTTACAAGTGTCTGGTGCTCAAGCTGGTACACACAGCCGGCCATGCGTTTTATTGTACGATCGCCGTGAGTACTCCAGTTTATATTCGCAATTAGATATTAATAAGTTATTTATGAAAGTCACTTTAAAAGGGAAAGGTGGAGGTCACATGTATAAACTTTTCCTTTATAAACAAATAATGCTTCTAAATATTTCAAACCACGTTATGCGGTTGTTGTAGGAACGATTTTGAATAGATAAACTTCGACTCTCCGAAGTTTAGTTCCTTTCTTTTTTAGCTGAATCACGATTACAAACATCATCTAAATTCTCTGTTATATCTCCATCACAGTTTGTTTTCTTCATGGGCGAGGCGCTGCTTGTGCGGAATAGCACATATCTGGAGTCCTGGTTGGGTCCTCTGAACCTTAACCGCCTGCATGCAGCTTTGGGGCTTTTGGCTTTCGTGGTCGGAGTCGGTGGGATTGGGATCAAGACATGGCAGAAGCTGGAGCGCAAATGGGAAGATCCCAATGCCAATGTCAGGCACTTTAAGAGCAACCACGCGTTTTACGGTGAGTTTTGCCTGATATTTCTCCAAAAACCATGATAATTTATTCCTCCATCTCTTCACATCAGGTATTGTCGGCTGTGGTCTTCTGCTAGGCAGCGTTCTAAGCGGTCTTCCGCTGTATTTCATCAACGGTGGCTTCACCTTGAAACTGCTTCATCGATTTTTCGGATTGTCTGGATTCATAGCCCTAATGGTATCCCAAATGTTTGGCTACAACTCCGGATTTGGTCGGCGACAGTGGAAGGCCCATCACCAGAAGCTCTTTAAGTTTTTCACATTTATCGCTACCATAACGACTGCCAATTACGAGTTTCGGAGATTTGTTCGGGATGTTGCTGGAGTGGCCACCAATTACTTCATTGGATCAGATGTAGCTGGTGCTAGAGAAGATCTTTGAGGCTATATCAGGGTATGAGTATTTTGACTCTGGATCCTCATTACTTCTGGGCAACTTGGATATCGAATTCCGCAACCAAGTATTGTAGATTTATCAGTCACTCAAAAATAGTTTATGCATAACGCGGAACTGATAAATATCCCAACACATAAACATTCTTCATTGTGAATTGTGAAAAATGTTAATATTAAGTTCGCAAATGATTTGCACATTTTGTTATCTAGTTTGAGAGGGCTTTGGTTGTCAATCGTTCTCTACTTAACCATATCATTAGCTAACGAAAAACTAGCCAAGAACATGACTCATTTTGACTTTGTGCCTTTATTGTAATTTCACATACATATGATATTTTGTTGATTATTTAAAACATAAAATACACACATTTTCACTTTTTTTTTTTGGTACGATTATTATCAAGCACCATAGACAAAAAACTAAAGCTACTTAGTAAACAGATACGATAAAATAAAATCCCTTTTTCTTTGGGTCCTATAAATATTGAAGATACATAATAGATATATGGATATTGAATATGCATATTTAGTTGCGGTTCTGCGAGACATGCATGATGTCCAATGCGGCTGGAATATTGCCTTGAACCGACTCCAGAAGCTGGGTGAGCCAGGCGCCCTCGTTGCTGAAACCCATTGCCATCATGGCATGGATTGATTGATTGATGCGTTCATCTAAAAGTAAAAAAAAGATAATTAATAATAAGCTTACAAGGCATCATATTGCGAACTTACCAGTATGGTAGACGGGGATGCCGCGCTTTCCCTCGGGAGCTGCTGGAGAAGTGCCGACGCTATTGGTGGACACCGATGTGGTCGAAGTCGACGTACTCACCGTATCTACTTGAGAAGTCTGGGTGTTGGCTGTTGCTTGCTCCACACGAGCCTCCTCATTAATGTGCTGACGCAGAAGTTCGCCCAGTTGACCAAAGTCACGCACCGGCTGCTGTGGAGCAGCTGTGGGATTGGTTGTGTCCAGATTGATCAAGTTGCTGTTGTTTGCAGAGTAAGCATTGTCGATAACCTGCCAGTCCGGGTCCAAGCTGTCTGAATGGCGCCTTTCTTCCTCCGGCTTGCTGGTCGAAACCGAAACTGATTCAGCCTCAGCTGGCTTGGGAATTAATGGCTCTGTCTCAAGAGGAGCATCAGAAATGGATCCAGAAATAGATGGATTAGCAGAGGGAGCAGCTGAGGCAGCAGCTGAGGGAGCAGCTGAGGGAGCAGCTGAGGCAGCAGCTGAGGGAGCACCTGATGGGGCAGCTGAGGGAGCAACTGATGGAGCAGCTGATGAAGCAGCCGAGGGAGCAGCCGACTGACTGGCCGAAGTTGATGGTGATTGAGCCTTCTCCTCCGGTTGCTTGGTCTCAGTATTAGGAGTCATTGAGGGAGCAAATATTCCCGAATCACCTGCCTCTGTGGGATCGATCATCTTGGCAAACATTTCGCTGAAATTGTTTAGGATTTCGATACCAGCGCGCATGTACTCGGGTGGCACGATCTGCGACAGGTTCTCTAGATTGATCACTGGAGTAGTTGGCTCTGTGGAGCGTGGAGTAGTCACTGGGTCCTCGGAGGAGGGATCAGTTGGAGCGGTGTTCTTCTTCGGCTCAGTTGGTTTGGCCTCGGTTTCGGCTGACTTTTGAGCAGTTACAGTTGGCTCAGCTTGGGGAGCACTTGGTGATGGTTCTGGAGCCTTGGGCTTTTCCGGTACAGCTGGTTTTGCCTGTGCAGTGGCCGCAGTTTCGTTTAGCGGTAAGTTAGTCATCATCTCCATAAATTGAGACAAGACACCACCATGGCGACGGTGGTGACGACGTTCTCGACGACTGTCTTTGGAGGACTCACCAGTTGGTGTTGCCTGGGCTGCCTCCTGGAATACACAATGACCTCTGGAACGGCGACTACAGCGTCGACCCAACGGATTCGACCCGGTTATCCAGGCATCGATTGTACTGGGACCATTGTTCGTCGGCATGCGAATCATCAAGTGCTCAGGATGCTTGTGGGCCGCCTCGCATTTCTGGCAAAGATCAAAGTTGCTGCATTGGATGCACTTGTAGCGAAATCCAATCAACGGAGCCAATCCGCAGCCATCGCACTCGACGGAGTCATGGATAGTAAAATTACTCGGATCATCGACGGACGGAGCCGAAGAATTGCTTGTCCTGCTTGGTGGCATTCGGCTCCTCTTCAACGGGCATTAAAGGCGCCACCTGTACATGCATATTGTTCTCGCATTTGGCCAGGAAAATCTCATAGTCATTTTGGTTGACAATTTCGATTTCATCCTGATCGTTATCTGAAAAGTTGAAGGAAAAATATATGAAACAATCATGAGTCATGAGTACGTTTGTTATCACAGGTGAATCATAGAGGGGTTAAGCTAGAAAAATTAGCTATAGTTGTTGTTATACCGGCATAACGAATTTAATATATTTGTTTCCAACGATGTATATATATAATATGATATACATTTTGTCCACGCCGATAATGAATAAGTAGTTTTAAAAACGGAAATAATATACCGTCATTGCTGAGTGCAACTGATATAAGAGTCTATAAAAACATTTATCAGTTAATCAAATGTGTCAACGCATTTCTGCCATAGATAAGAAAGTATAATATTATTTATGTGAATCCCACACTATTGTGTAAAAACGCAATTAATTTGGCTACTTTAATAAAAGAAAACAGCTATATTTAAAAGCCGAATTGTCAGCACAGTTGGATGCAGTTACATTTGTACATATGTACACACACATACATATATGTATAAAAGGTGTTGCAATATTTGAGACCCAAATGAAATTGTCTACCTGAATGCTTATATATGCAGTTATTTTCAAAAGAGTTTTCATTTTAAAACTTACCAATCCAGAAGGTCCTAATATCGCATCTTGGCAACTGACGTTCTTGGAAAAGATAGAGCTCTATTTCGCGGCGCAGTATGGTGTAATTCTGAGAGGGCATACGCAAGTATGCATTAATTTTCTTCGGAGGACCAGTGATAGCGGCTCCCTGATAGGTGATTTTCAAGAGCTTTTCCGGCATTTTCGCAATATCTTCAATAGTTTCTGTCGATTTTTCTTTAATATATTTCGTTTCACTAACGCGTTATATTTCTCGTTTAACTTGTTGCTGCGAATTTTTGTGATAGTTTATAAAAATTTGGAGCTCTCGACTACTGCGTCGTAGTTCGTCGGGTGTTCGGTTCTGTATACAAACACGGCTGCAGCGACAGCAAGTTTATATGCTGTTCGAACTAGTTACTGGAAGGTTCTTGAACGGACTGACTCTGAATTATTGCAAATCACGGTCCTATTTGCTAGGCCCACTGGGTTGATCTGTCCCGAAATTTTGTATAGTAATGCCAAAGCTGGTCTTTGACAAAGAATAATAATATTTTGGTTATCGATAATTTGAATATTTTTATTTTTATTCGAGTCACTACTTTTGGTATTCACGTCTTCGTTCGCCTGAAACAGCTGTTATTGAATTCGCCATCTCGCACCTGACTATTCTTTACACAAGGGTTTCCCAGTTGGCCAAAGTGGCGCTTTGATCGAAAACTTTTTAACAGGGGCAGATCACAGGACATTGTATCTTAACATTTCACTTTGTTGAATTCGCCGAGAATTAAAAGTTGATTTGCAATGTGAAAAAAAATCGTAATACTATTATATTGAAATCATTTATAAGGTATTTTCCATTTTTTTTTGCTTTTTTACAAATTAATTGCCGATGGTAGTATTTACATATCCCATGTAAAAATTTGCTGATTCAATTCAGTAGAGTCACCCAGTTTTTTATTTTAAAAATACCGTTATTTGGGATGCAACGGATATTTAAATTTGTAATCGATTTTTTATTCAAAATAAATCATCTAATCAACTTTTAAACATACGTATTTTTTCAAGATATCAGTTTCGGCTCTAGAATTTTCAACATTTCGAGTAATACAAGCAGTTGAGATGGAGTCCTGAAATGGCAATTAAATAAATTGCAGTTTTAATGACAGGTTTAGTTTAATACTAACCGAATATAACTTTTGATATCCTTTTTGGATTGCTCTGGAAATTTAGTAACACTTTCGGGAGGAACAGACTCTGGATCTATAACCGGATCCTTCTTCGAACATTTGTGTTGCTGAACCCTGTTGCCGTAACATCAGTTCACCTAAAGGAGAAGATAGTTTACATAGAGAATTGGCCTTTCTTCACCAAGTATTCACTTAAGTAATATTCGGCAATGAACATAAAGTTGGAACCCAATTGCGGAGCCACTCCAATGACCATCCCATCAACTTTTAGCTGATAGTTCTCATCGCCCTTTTGCCTTTGATCGTACAGAATATCCTCCCGTTGGAAACCATCCTCGGAATAATTATCCAGGAAGTCGCTGATTACGTTTTTCGAATTCCCCGCTCTAATCTTACCACCAAAGGGCTTGGTCTGTATTTCAGCAAATGGCAGAAGCAACAGGGCAAAGACAAACAACCGATTGGTGAACTTGCACATTTTTCCCCAAGCGAAAACAAGGCAGGACCGATGTGCTTGAAATGCGTGCGGTGAATGATTCCAGGTTCTTAGCTGTAGTTAAGACGAGCCCACCTGGACCAGAAGAAGAGAAAAAACCATGAAAACCCGATTTCTGGACACAGTTCAATGGCCACCTATAGTCCCAAAGACTTCCGCATTGCCATGCTGCTATGGGAATCTGCAGCTGAGCGCATTTCTAATACTTCCCAGCAGGCAGCCATATAAGTTAAAAGTTCCATTCGAGAGGTGCTATCTGCAGAGCAGATCTGTGTTTGGCCATCTTTTATTCCAAATTCCTTTCTAATAATTAAACAGTTTTATTTTCTTAAGAGTTTTTATTTGTTTCCTTTAGAAATTAAAGAGTTCTCTACTATCAGCTAAAGAAATTTTGTAGTGAGCTTGATACCGAAAAATATTAACCCAATAACCTCGATTCAAGCCAAGACCAAAAAGAAATAGAAAATCTTCATAACTATACTAATTTTCCCGCTTGCAACATACATACGAGGTGTGTTCAAAAAGTAAGGTGACTCTTCAAATTTCAAATTTTCAATTTTCATTATCTTCAGTTTGGAAGAAAAGTCACATGGGCAAATGGTGAATATGGTGGCTGAGGCATTATTGTGGTGTTGTTTTGGCCAAAAATCCAAATCCTTTGATCCATATTTTCGATAGAAAAATCCCGAGCTCGCAAAATAACTTGACTTTACGCCTCTCACAACCAAACAAAAGAGGATGTTCCATGAAACTTGAGATGTTAGGAAGAGTGTACCAATATAACAAAACAAAAAAATCGATAATCGAAAAATTTGAAATTCGCAAGTCACCTACTTTTGAAACCCCTATGCGTCAATTTAATGACTTGACCGCAGGAAGAGGCTGGTCTGGTGCGCCCACCTGCAAACTGGTTGAGCGTAGAAAACATGCTCATCGCAAATTACGGAGCAGATGACCTTTATCTCTGGAGCGCACAGGGGTTCCCAGTTGGTCAAACTGGCGCTTTGATCGGAAAAATTTGTAACAGTGGCAGATCACAGGACATTGTATCTTAACATTTCAGTTTTTGAATGTCACTGAAAATTTAAACCTGATTTACTATGTGAACATTTTTACTTTTATATGAGCTAAAGTCGTTTCCCAACTTTTGGTATTTTGTAATATGTTTAGTACGAATGTTCACACTAAGCCTCCACTATATGGTATTATACATTTTTAAAATGTTCCTTTAATAAATATATCGAAAATCGTAATACTATTTTATTAATATCATTAATAAGATATTTTGCAGTTTTTTTTACTTTCTACATATTAATTGCCGATGGTGGTATTTACATATCCCATGTAAAAATTTGTTGATTCAATTCAGTAGTCACCCAGTTTTTTATTTTAAAAATACCGTTAAATGGGATCCAACGGATATTTAAATTTGTAATCGATTTTTTATTCAAAATCTAATCAACTTTTTAACATATGTTTTCAAGGTATTATTTTAGGCTTTAGAACTTTTATCATTTTGAGTAACTGAAGCAGTTGCGATGGAGACCTGAAATGACAATTAAATAAATTGTAGTTTTAGTGACAGGTTTAGTTTAAGACTAACCGTTTAGAACTTTCCATATCAGTTTTGGATAGCTCTGGAAAATCAGTAACACCTTCGGGACCAACAGACTCTGGATCTATAACCGGATCCTTTTCGAACATTTGTGTTGCTGAACCCTGTTTCCGCAACATCAGTTCACCTGAAGGAGAAGATAGTTTACATAGAGAATTTGCCTTCCTTCACCAAGTACTCACTTAAATAATATTCGGCCAACGAGTACATCAAGTTGGAACCCAATTGCGGAGCCACTCCGATGACCATCCCATCAACTTTTAACTGATAGTTCTCATCGCCCTTTTGCCTTTGATCGTACAGAATGTCCTCCCGCTGGAAACCATCCTCAGAATAGTCATCATATAAGACATCCAGAAAGTCGCTGATCACGTTTTTCGAATTCCCCGCTCTAATCTTACCACCAAAGGGCTTGGCCTGTATTTCAGCAAATGGCAGAAGCAAAAGGGCAAAGACAAACAACCGATTGGTGAACTTGCACATTTTTCCCAAGCGAAAACACAGCAGGACCGATGAGCTTCAAATGCGTGCGGTGAATGATTCCTGGTTCTTAGCTGTAGTTAAGGCGAGCCCACCTGGACCAGAAGAAGACCATGAAAACTCGATTTCTGGACACAGTTCAATGTCCGCCTATAGGCCCAAAGACTTCCGCATTGCCAGGCTGCTATGGGAATCTGCAACTGAGCGCATTTCTAATACTTCCCAGCAGGCAGCCATATTAAGTTAGAAGATCCATTCGAGGGGAGCTATCTGCAGAGCAGATCTGTGTTTGGCCATCTCTTATTTCAAATGCCTTTCTAATAATTAAACAGTTTTATTTTCTTAACAATATTTATTTGTTTACTTTATAAATTAAAGACTTTTTTACCGAAAAATATTAACCCAATAACCTCGATTCAAGGCAAAGACCAAATAAAATAGGGAATCTTCATAACTATACTAATTTCCCCGCTTGCAACATATGTGTGTCCGAAATCTATTGACTTTTCCAGTTATCTCGTCTGGGTGCAGTTCTGGGCGCAGGTTCAATGACTTGACCACAGGAAGAGGCTGGTCTGGTGCGCCCACCTGCAAACTGGTTTAGCGTAGAAAACTTGCAACATCGAAAATTATGGAGCAGATGGCCTTTATCTCTCTGGATAGTAATTGCTTGGCCCCCTAGCTGTCAAGATTGTAGCCTTATCCTTCAGCGCATTATTAACGTAGTCTAACCGTTAGATCCAATGCCCACTTCCGCTTTTAGCCTAAGGTCAACCTCCAATTTGTGATTGGCTGGTACAAAGGAATATGATTTTAACTATTAAATGATCATAGTCCACTTTCTAATTAACGAATAAAATTGTTAGAGATTTTCTACATTGGCGAATATGTTTTTGTATTTATTGGTAAGACGATTTCGTCGGCTTAATTCTAGATTTTTCAAAGTATGAAACTAACATTTAGGCTGGCAGTCTGGCGGTTCTCACTCCTCCTCCTAGTAGCCCTCGATCTGGCGACAGGCTCCATAGCTATCCCGCCGCTCTCCACGGGCACAGCGAGCCAATCCGTCTCGGAGAAGGGTTCGGGATTCGGCCAGATCGTCATCGGCCAACAGGTCAAAGCTAACTATCTCCGGTTCCATGGCTTGTGCCCTGGTGGGCTCCTCGTCCAGCTGCCAGGAGCGAGAATGATCCGAAAAGTAGGATGGAACATCTATTGGTGGGTAAATACCACTAGCGCTTCCAAGATCGCTGCGGTATATTGGAGCACTTATGGATCTCGGGCTGGGAAAGTCACCACCTGTCAGACGATTGGTATCCAGATAGGTATCACCTCTTAGAGAGCGGGAATTACGGAAATATTGTGTTCCACGATGATTGTAACTCTCCAGAAGATTAGAGCCTGCACTGCTGCTGGCTGATACGGGTGGCAAGGCCTGAATTAGCTCTGGTTCCGCTTCCAAATGAAAAGGTTTTATCAACTGCGGCATGGGAATCAATTGGGGAGGTAATACGTCTACTTGCTGACGCTGCAGACGTTGTGCCGGCTCGGAATCGCTGGCTGAGATATCAACGTGATACGGCGAGCGACCCTCAATAAATCCTGGTAGAGCTGCCGCTGGTAAGGATTGTTGATGATTCTGTTGCTCTTGCAGCTTTTGGAGCTGGCTCTTTTGGTAGAAGGACTTTAGGGAGTTGCTCCTTAGGGGATGTTTGCGCTTGAGCGATCCACTGCCCTTAGTGTTCCCGCGACCTAGCAGTCCCAGAAGGTTAAGGCCCTCCTGTGGTCCTGGTGGGATCAGTAAGATCATAAAGTTCTCAAGATCAGCGCGAATGTTGTACTGTCCCTCCTGGCGTTGATCATATGTGATAGTTCGGCGTCTCAGCGCATCCTCATCTCCGTTTGGAGGAATCGGTGGAGGTTGCAGTAATATTGGTTGGCCATTGGAACCGCTGGCCTCGATAGCCTGAGGCGGAGCCATTGCCGGAAAGTGTTCCTCCTTGATATCTTGAATCTGCTCGTTATTCAAAGCTGGTTGAGTAGCTGGCTCCGTTGTAGTACTCAAGGGATTGGCCAGAGCAGCTGCCCATATCAGGGGTAAAAGCGTGAAAGTCTTCCAGGCCATCTTTTTTAGTTGATCTCAGGTCTCCTGGTCAGGTTGCTCCGCTCGGCGTTCTTGACTCGCGCGCTTCTGCCTCGCAACTGATTCCCAATCCGATGGGAGAGTTCCGATGTCAGCGCAGGCGCAACTTTCATATTCTGGCGCTGCCGTCGTCGGTGCACTGAGAAAAATTACATTAAAATAAGTATAAGTAAAATCGTTGATTAAATACTTAAGAAAAATAATAGTTATTTAGAATTAACTTTTTTTTTAATATATCAAACATATTTGTTTAAAATCTATATTTAAAGAGTTCTTCTCATCTTTTCCGTACACACTTTTCTTACAATGTAACTCCTCTGCTACGGCGGCTTTCTTCTCTCTTCTCGATTCTCGTTCTGGTTTTGCTTTTATTTATGCCATTTACTTTCTGACCGTCTCTTTTTGTTCGACCGTGCCCATTTCGACGGCGTGACTTGGTAGCCGGTGTCCATCTCCATCTCCGTTTATTGATATTACCCAGCCGTTAGGCGGGGTGTGGCGGAGGCGGGTCTGGCGCTGTCACCGCGGTTCCCATCGCCCGGCACAGTGGGGTTAGTAGTTGCTTTTCACGCCAATTAGCTAATGAGGAAGCGTTTTGTTCGTCCATTGACTGGGCTAACAGCCACCTCACGTACGCATGCCAGAACAAAATCACCTGAGCAAACGATATCAATCCGATCATGAGGGTTCTATTAAATTGATTTATGCCTTGGCCAAACATAGGCGCAGCATTTATGTACTTACAGGTGTGGTCATAAATAGAGTACAGATTCTGACAATAAGTTAAGATGATCAACAGAAGAATTCTAACAAATTCAAAATCAGTCGCAGTTAGCCTTAGCCAATTTTCATCCTTAAAAATTAAATATTTTAAGTGCTTCGATAGATACACATCACGTACAACTTTTTAAATAGATGTTAAGTAAATCCAACAATCTAAATGTTGTTTTAAACATTTAATCTGATTTTAAAATGAAATCCAAATGAAATTAGGGACTTTCAGCTGTCATCATGGCCTAAAAATGTATTTATAAGCAGGCAGAATGTTCACTTTGAGATCTGAAATCTCGATGAATGCGGTCAGCTTATAATCATAAATCAAATGACGAACTCATCTCAAAACTCGGCGTGATCATTTTAAAATATTTTATTTTTATTTGTATACTGTCTTGACTTTTACACATGGTAAGGGGCGAGATAGCCCGGTTTTCGGGGGGCACATGAATAGATTTAATACAATAAAGCGTGCAGTGGCGCTATGGACGACGTCACATTTCAGTTGAATGACATTGGGGTTTGCTTTAAAAATAATGAATATGTTTATGTGTTTAAATAATTAGAGGTCTTTGCGGTTATTTTAGTTAGAAATGTTGCTGTGGTGAGTGTATTTGTTTTTGATATTTTTTGTTTTTTTTTTTTTTGGAACAGTTAAAAGTAATACAATGGAAATAAATTAAGCATAACGCATGGAAATTATTCGATTATGTCTAGACGAATATAAAACATTGAAATATCGATTGACATTTTAAGGTCAGCGGAAGCGAGCGGTATTTTTGTTTTAGTTTAAGGATTATGCGTAACCACTGCAATAAAATTGGGAAGCTAAAGGCTACAATAAGTAGTAGTAAACTGCACTGTTCTTGCATAATTGAGTTCATGGACTGGAACTTGTCTGGCCTCTATTATAACCTATTAACTAATACTTATTTGATATCTTAGCAGCCGATCAAATCACTTGTCATGCTTACTTGTTCATAAAATTGATCTATTATGGGTCATCAATGTTTAAATACAATACAGATAACGTCAAGTTGGGATTTAAAAATTATCATTGGAAGAGAGCATTACGTAAATAGTCATTGGGAATATGCCGAAACAAGCTCCAATATTACTGTAGCACTAGGATAAAGTCCATTTTTAAGTATATTCTAACTAAGACAAATTATACATAATCTCACAAGAATTGTTTAACTAAACAGCCTCCTTGATACACAAAAAACTTGCAAAATAAATCGCAACTAAATAATAATCGCGCAATCAGATGCCCTAATCCGTTTTTTTCAATAACTCTTCGTTTTGATTTTCTGACTGACCGATATCCTCTGCCAGCAGAGTCTCCTTTTTAGAATGCTCCTCCTGCGGCACACGCTTGTGGACAGTGAAACAGATCCGGTTAAAGTGCTTACACATCTGGTTAACAACGCTGGATCCATATTGCCAATGACTTAAGGTAGTCACAATCAGGAGCATGTACAGCAAAGGCCTCTCCAGCAGCGGCAACCACAGGCTGAATAGGAAGGAAATGACAAACATGGGGGTCTGCCAGTGAAACGCCTCACATCTCGTCACGGACATTTGAGAGACAATCAAACGGCACTGCAATAAAAAATTAAACAAATATATTACTAGATGTGCTAATGGAGGTCGGTCAAAACAACAACTTTTTACACATTTTTAAAGCCATAGAAAAACTCATTAAAGGTATGCTTCAATCTGTCGAATCGGAATTATATTTCTATTAACAAACTAAAATTTTAAACACGGCTAAATCTTTAAGAGCGTTTGAGCTTGTTTCTTAAAATTTGTTCAATCATTGGATCATTCTCGTGGGGAAACACGAATGTTCCCCGATCACATTTAAGATAGCGGGGAGCTCTATCCGAGTACCATCCGTAGATCTGATTGACTGTCATTGGCTGCGGCGTCAAATGCTTCAATTCGTATGCCTCCTCAATACCCTCATCGTGGCTGGCTATTTTTTGGCTATTCTTCAGTGACCCCGGGTCAAGTTTCTCCCGTAAGTGCCGCACCTCTTGGCTGGTGCAATTGAAATATGGCCAGTCGTGGCGGGCGTAAAACTTAAGGGCCAGCGGACGTTCATATTCCGCAGTCGTAGTGTATATAGTTTCCCTAAGTGATTCGCGACCACCTTCATTTAGTTCTTCCCTTTCCAGATCCTTCGCACAGCGTCTGCCACCACAACAAAAGGGTGGCATTTTGGTGTTTTTTTCTCAGGTGTACGTTTTATCAAAGTCAAATGCCGATATGGGGCAGCCAAGTCAAATGACTCATTTTAAGTGGTTTGTAGCTGTTTGGCAGTAAACTCTGTGCCAAGGGGCCAGGAAAAGATGTAGACACACCCGCTCCTTATCTTGATTGCGTATGATTCAATACACACGCGACACGGTTTGATAAGTGGAGTGGAACACCAGGGTGACTGATTACATTTCGAACAATAATCATAAACAATTTATACGAAATATATCCAAAAATATATCAGAATATCTAACAGATACAAAAAACAAATATGCAATAAATGAAGGTTTAAAACGGAAAACTAAAGAATTTAAATACTTGCTATCAAATTTAAAACAAGGAAACCAATAAATCCACATTTATACTTTTATCTGTTCAAAAATCTAATATCTATTCATTAACTTTATCATCATATCATATCAAATGTTTTTTTTATACCTACAGCTTTTATCCCCATATTAAGTTTGAAGTACTTACGCTGACATTGGAGAATATGGTGCCGCTGAGCATGAATATGGCGCGTGGATCCTTTTCCATGATATCGTTTGGCGAGACATATGGCCAGACCAGCAGGATGACGAAGTAGGTGAGGAAGGGCCACATCGGCCGAATAGCCTCCCAAAAGGGCAGCAGGCGTCCAGTGCGATGCGCATATGAACTAAAAATGTTAATAAGTAAATAATAAAATAAATCTGTAACTAATTAATATGCAAAATAAGTAGTCTTACTTGTAAACATTAAGGATGACTAGTGGAAGATTCGCCATAGCACTGACATGCAGCACCGCCTCCATGACGTTGCCCAAAGGCAGGGTTCCATAGGATCCCAGTGGCAGCTCAAACTTCCAGCGTTCGAAGCCCATATACCAGGTGACCAGGTACATGGCCGTGCTGCCCCACATACTGAGATCGTAGCCCCAAGGCAGATATAAAATGCCGGTGTTGTATTTTTCCCAGTGGGAAACGAAGAAGTTAAAGTACACTGTCAGGCAGACATAGTACATCCTCATTGGCCGCACAGAATACACCCGGCTTCTGCCAAAAATGCTGTACAAGCACGTGGGTATCAGCATGGCGGTGTATGAATCCAATCCGTGATCGAAGAGCTCCCCCAGCGGGCCAGACAAGCCAATTCGACGTGCCTGTTTGCCATCAATCCCATCCAGCGTGTAGGCCACAAAGATATTGATGCCGGTGCACAGCCAGACCCATGAGGGAATTGGCGTAGTACCCTCCTCCCCGGAACTGGCCTCGAAGTTCCAGTCATAGTACGAGAGCAGCACCAAGTTCATGGCGCTGAACAGGAAGCCCAGGAAGGTCATCAGGTTGGGTGCAAACCAGCGCGGGAAGAACTGCAGTGGGTGGATTGTTTGGTGGGTTGATTAGTTGGCAGCTCCCTTATGAATATTGATTTTTGCATGATATAATTCTGCGTGGCACTCACCTTGACTAGCCAGTCCCAAAAGGGATGCATCACATATTGACTCAGCGGCGAGGTATCAATGGCACTGTACTGTAAGTAAAAATTTCTGATTAAAGTGGTGAAAACTCATCATCATCATCCGTTTAACGACTATTTCAATGGCTTTCTTTTTTTTTTTTTGCTGTTTTGCTTTGTCCGGTCTGCTGGCTTTCTATAAAAAGAATTTTAATTGAAAACAAGTACGGTGTACCGAGAACAGGTTCTGATTTCTCGGCCTTAAGAAGGTCACCCCCTCTCGAAGGAAAGTACAGCCGCCCACGGAAATCCTTCTTCTTTGAATCCTTTTGCCCACCTTGTAGTTGTCGAATCCATTGATCTGGTCCCGCGTCAGATATTGGTGGTCCATCAATCGTCTGAATAGTTTCTGCATTTCGACAGGGTTCTTTATAGAGTACCAAAATGAAATCGGAATTTCAAGTATTTTAATCTAAGCGGAAAAACACGCGACGGTTTTAAAAGGAGAACGACGGTGGCGGGGGTTTCTTTTGATAAAAGCAACACCTAAGGCCAAAACGCTTTAGTCGTTAATTAAACATGATGACAGAATGGTAACCAAACTTGAAGCGAAAATGCTGGGCACGATTTTCAGCTCTCGGCTCGCGTTTATTTTTATTGCGAAAACTGTTTCTTTTCTGTTTTCTGCCGCTCTGCTGTTGTTACCGCCGCTGCTGCCGGCTGTTATTTTTTTCACGCTCGCACACGCACAACCACCAACACTGATGCACACCACTTGACTGGGGATGTTTTGCAACACTGAAACAGCAGTGCGCGCAAAATTAGCAGTGCTGCAATTCATCACATTTAAATGTGGGTTTCTAACGGTTTTCCCTAGTAAATTAAATGTTAAAGCTTTAATGAGGCATTTTATTCCATTTGATATTTCTTGCAAGAAAATTAAATAAAAAATAGAACTGTTATATTTGTATGTACGCAGGTAGTATATAATGTATATTTTGAATTTCGAAACATGTATATTGTACCTATTTGTGAAAGACAAATGAAAAAAAACTTCTAATGCTATGAGCTGCAGCTTTTCTATTTCCATGGCCGCACTTGTTCGCAAATAGCCATCATTTTTTAATCAATCATGCAATTGTGTTGCATATGCCTTATATGAAAAGCAATTAAAAATTTATTAACGACTGCGGGTTCAGCATATAGATGCGCTTTAAACTGGCACGTTGGAGAGAATAAAGTAATTGTTTATTTTTGATTAAAACAAATTGAAATCTATGTTTAAAACTGTATGGATGGGCTTTATTTATTGTAAGGACGTTTCGAAAATTCGTGTTACAGTTAACAAATCACATTGCTTACAAAAAATACAAAAGAATGCATATAATAAACCTAACTAATTGGCTTAACAAAATGTCACTAAATGAAATGTTGAAACAGTGAATGTGAAACAAATTGATTTAATTAACTAAATGATTAGGTCTACTGCGGCTGCATTGATTTAGCTCATTAAAGTAGGCCTCCTGACTAGTATAGTTGCTCTAATAAATTCGCTACGCATGCCAATAGATCGGTTAATTTTAAGATGCCTAATTTGACTTTTTGAGATTCTTTTTGCGTATGTTCCCGGGACAACCGCCGGCGCTGAGGAGATGCAGTTTCCAGCCGCCATCCTGGGGCAGATGTACATCGTCATGACAGAGGGGACATCTAGCCGCTCCCGTTTTCAGTTCTGGAAAGGAACAATTATTAAAATATAATCCTTTAGAATGGATCAAAATTTTCAGATCCTACCTCGACAATAGTCCTCCATCTGGTGCAGTTCATATAACTGCTTGTGCACAGATTCAGTGCAGCGGGCACACACCACATAGCTCTCCTTGGCATCGCATTCCGCTGTGGAAGATAACATTATATACATAAGTTATATTCCAAAGGGAAAGATCAAACTTACTAGTTAGGTGATAGTTTAGGGCAGCCACCTCCAGCACTTGACTACATTGTGGGCACTTGGTGAGGAATGGGCAGGCCTTCCAGTAGTGTCGGTCCAACTGACTAGCATCACTGCCAACACAAGACCAGTCACAAAAGGGACAACGTCTAAAAAATAATTATTATTATAATTTACTATAAAAGGGATTGGGTGACCCTCACATTTTGGGTGTGTTATCTTCGGTGGACTCCGAGTTTGAAGCGGACCCCTTGCGCGAGTTGGAGACAGAAAGCATGGATCGCTTCAGCTGCTCGTTGTACTGCTGTTTTCCATTGCAGCTCGCATATCCATTATTGGAGCTTGTCGCTGGGACCAAACCATGTGCACTGCGGCTGTTCATCAACCGAGGCGCATCCGAGCTGGTTGACGCCGCTGGCGGCGTGGCTGCATCTCCCGAGCTGTGACCACCTCCGTATTTATTGGCCTCTAGCAACTCCTGCTTGCGGTCCAGATCCAACTTATCGAACTCGGTGAAGAGTTGACGGTACAAGAGATTGCGGCGAGTAATGTCGTCATCTGGAGGCAGCTGTTTACGCACCAGTCGAGGATTAACCTTGTAGACAAGTAAAAGAATACGTTCAGCGACCTTTCGCACAGGCTCTGCGGGATGATGGATGCCAGAGCAGCCACACTCGGATAACGCCCTGCAGGTGAGTCCACTATGCTTGTCCGTGCTGATTCCCTGAGTGTGTACCAGCTGCTCCAGCATCTGCAGCCGGCTCATGGCCAATCGCTGGTGCGTTCCAGATCCAACGCTTCGCGATAGTGCCGGGGCAACCAGATGTTGTTCTGCCACCTCTGGACAAGCGGCGATGCTGAGGATCGTGTGTTGAGCCAGAGTATGCAATCGAGCAGATGGATCGCCGGACTTAGCCAGCAATTCAGGCAGAAGGCGATCCACACAACGTGCCACCTCGTTGGGTGAAACGCGTCCGGGCACGTACTCCAGGAACAGCATGCGCACTGTCTCCGTGGCCTGCCCAAACACGGAATAAACAGCGTCCCTCACAGCACGATGAAGCAACAGAGCTGCGCTGCGTGCCACTTTGTTGGGACTGGCGGCGTGTTCGTTACCCGAACCCTCTGCCAAGTCATGCTCCTTTAGGAAGTTGCGCAGACGCAGCAGGCCGTCCTCTCGATCCTGAAACTGACGGGAATAGAACTGCTCCACCTGATGGATGAAGTCAAAAATTAGCAAGGGAGAGCTACTATATTATTTTTTGGAGGACTCACCAGCTCACTGCCAAAGACCAGTATGGGTAGGGCTGCCTGGCGACGTTCGCGATCATTCAGACGCGAGCGTCCCCGGTTTGGATCTGCTTCCAGTAGGGCGTTGCCTTGGCATTCCCTTAAAAATTCATTAGTATTTGAACTGTGAGCGGTTTGTGTTTGGATGTTTCGGAATGTCAACGTTTACGGATGCGGTTACAATATATAGAAGTAGAAAAGTAAACACACTTTAAGATAAATCAACCAAAACAGTATTAATAATTGCAGTTACAAAATTAAACCTTTAAAAATATACTAAATTTAACTATTTTCGGAAGATAAGTTAGTTCCTAAATGCTGAATCTATAAACTTCATATAGAAATAAAACAAAATTATAAGCTAAGATAAAAGAATATTGGCCATTTACCTAAGACTAAGCTACTAAACATAATCTTCTTGAGGTTTTTAATTCAAAATTTGAAAAAATTGACGGTTAGTGTTGATCTATTCGATTGACTGAAAGTAGCCAGTGTTGACAAATAATCATACTAAGGCTACGAGTATCGGAGTCGTCATGCAACCATTAATCGTCAGCAATGCTGCGTAAACAAAACAAAGTAATTACTGTTCCACAATTGTATACCTATTTACTAGACAACCAGACAACGACTAGGCCTCACTCTACGCTTGGTACTCACTGTCGCAACGTGGGAATAGCCCGCTCCTCGTAATCCTCGTAGGAATTTCGCGGAACGCTTTTGTTGCGCCTGCGCAGCGACCCCTGTCGGCTGGACATGGGTGAACTGTGTCTGGAGGGCAGCCGCGGCGACTGGGGCAGCTCATCGTGGGACTTGCGCCAACCACCAAGTGTGGGGGTAGGCGTGGCCTGCAGGGAAGAGGGCGCGGGCGCCGTTGTGGGAGCTGTCACCACATTATCATTACCAGGTTGTCCCTGGGAGCCATCTGTAGAGGATTTGTCATCCAAGCTTAGACTGGTCAGACTCTTAGGACTAAAAGTGGCTTCAGCTAGTGCCTGGGCCACATCCTGCAAGCTTGGGGCCGCCGGCAAACTAGGCTTACCACCAGCATAGATCTCGCAACTCTGGTCATTGGAAATCAAAGCCACGCCTTGCGGTTCCAGCAACTGATGAACCTGCAATTGTCGAAGAACTGCCGCGCGGTACATTTCGATCTGCTCCTTTCGCAGTCTTGCCGTGGTAAAATCTTCCTGCTGGACAGCTTGTCGCTTGGCAAGAGCATAGCGTCCCAAACGCTCACCGGCAGTCCTTAAAGCCGTCATGCAAAGTTTTAGCTTGCGGGCGTACTCGAATCGCTCTGCGCTCACGGCCAAAACCTTTCGTTGCTCCAGCTCCCGGATGGACTGTACAATGGACTCCTCAACGTACATTGAGAAAAGCAGGTCGTCGCAGATTGACGCAAGGGCCAGTTCACCAGTGGCTGTGTCCAGTGGTGGGGCTTCGCTGACCAAGTGTTCCTCACCGTTTCCATTGTTTGGCCCTACTTCTAATTCCTCACCCAGGACATTCACTGCTAAAAGGGATATCTGACCGGTACCATTGTAGTCATTGCCTTGTACTCCAATAAGACGCAATTTAAGATGTGTGCCACGGCGGGGACACACGGTAACGCTCTGCAGCTCCCGGGACTTATAGTTTGTGTTTGCATTGTCCGCCAAAGCAACGAAACCCAAAAAGTCAAAGTATTGCGAGGAAGGAGTGCTGGGCAGGGATTTTGGCGAGTAATGCAGCCAGAGCTCTACTTTCTCAGCTGTGAAAGAAAGAAAACATCTTATTTGGGAATCTTTAACATCACACTAGCCTATCTACAATTTTTTGGGAATCTTTGTCCCTCTACGTTTATTTAAATGGTATCTATTATTTATAGTAGATTAACTTACGTATTAGATACTGGTGGGCCAGAAGTTGGATTCGATAGATCTTGGCGGGCTGCTGGAAACGGAGGATAATGTCATGTGAGGTGAGGCTGCCGTCCGGAGCACTCCGCCATCCGTGAACAGTAGGTCCGTGATTGTTAAGCTCGCTAGCCGGAAAGTTAACATCCTCGTCTGAAAGGCAACAAAATAATAAAATCATCATTACTTGCATTCGATATTTAATAATGTGGGCAGGTGACAAACATTCTCTTACGTGGCCTCTTTTTAGCACACTCAGCCTTAGCTTTTTTCTAACGATATTGATAATACACTCTTTTCTTTTCTCTTTCACACTTAATAACAACTGCGGTCAACACAAGAGAAATAAAACGATGATAAGTCAGTAAAAAATTAAAAGTTTATACACATATAATTTTTAAAAGACACAGAAAATATTTAAAAAATTATTAAAGTAAAACTACGAATGCTAATTGAATATTCGAAGAAGAAAAATATAACTTAGAGTATGTTTGCTGGAGCTATTATATCGACCCTATCTGTTCAGCCATATCTCACATGTTTTTCTCTCTTTCTCTCTATCTCCAGGTCTCACGTTCTCTGTTTTGTATTTAAGCGATGGCGAGCAACATGTTAGTTTAGTCGTTCCGTGCTCTGTGTATGTGATACTTCAATTACCTACGCTATCTTTAGTATAAATAACTGACTTAAAATCTATTAAAAAACTGAAAATGCCGGAAGGTTATACGAAAGCCACTGCGTGGCTGCAAATCCAGAGCCTGCTGAGCAGCGTGAATCACATGCTGATCTTCCTGGTGGCTGCCTTCTTTTTCGTCCTAGCTCGAAGTCTGGAGTTCAAGGATACGGCCATGCATATGTTTATGACGGGAATCGGAGTAAGAACCGCACGATAAGCATTTGACAACATAATCAATAGTATTAGATTGACCTGGATAACGTTCTTATACACATGCAACGTCACTTGTTATCTTATCTGTTAGATTTAAAAGGCTTTCCCTGCTCTCCACAGTTCCACGTCCTAATCGCCCAGGCCATGATGTCACACTCTAAAGTGAATCCGCTTACCCGCTGGATGTCACACCGCAACAAGTCGCGTTTCCACGCCATCCTGCAAATTGTGGGTGGCTCTATGGTTCTGTTGGGCTCTCTGGGCAAGTTTTCCAGCAAGGAAGTGCACTTTAACACCTGGCACGGTCGAGTGGGTGAGTATATAATTGAGTTGTACTCTTCTGGGAAATTAATTAACGTTGTATTTAATAGGAGGAGCTGCTGCTTTTGGCTGTGCGGCCAGTATTGTTGGCGGATTCGTGAACTATTTCCAGCCTAAGGTCGTCCTGAAGGTGATGCCTCCTTCGGAGCTTCGTTTCCGCCATAATCTATTTGGCTTGGTCACCTTCAGTCTGGGCATGGGTGCCATCTACCTGGGCTACTACTCCAAATTCTTTACCAAGCACGTGGATAACGATTTTATTCCCGGCATGATGCTGGTCACATCGCTGGTTTACGGACTTACCATTCTTGCGCCGGTGTTGTCTCTCATAACTAAACTTAAATATAGATCCAAAAAGAAGGCAGAGCAGAGCCAGTAAGAAAAGCTGGGAAGGATAAGGCCATTGAGGCTAACAGGAATTTGTCAGGTCCTAGTAAATAAATAAAGAGCTTGGCATTTAGCCAAATTGAAATCTCTTGCTGCCACACAAATTGCATATGCAGACGCAAAAAGAGTCGACAACCGGCAATCTGTCAATATTATAATGAAATATTATGGTCATCGTGGTTGCAGTGGTTTAAGACCGTGGTAAATTGGCCGAGAATATGGTAAATTGATTCTGCGACAGACAATATGGAGAAGTAAATACTGCCAGCAGATTAGCTGCAATTAAAAGGGCAGCGCAATTGTATTTTGAATCCCAACGTCCTGGCGCACTAGGCGTATGCGTGTTTTATCGATTTCTCAAGTGCAGTGGGCTTAAGAGGGAAATGGGAAAGTAGAGAAACTTCAGCTTTCAGCCCAATCCAGTCGCAACTAAAACATAATTAAAAACGTAAAAAAACTATAAAATACGGAAAACAAACAAACAAACTATAAAAAGCAAATAAAGGTGTATTTGCTGTGTTTGTGTTCGAAAATACACCAACGTTCTTTTACCTGACGCAAACACCACGTTAAAAGGAATTTTTTTGGCCATGCTGACGACGTCAAATGCGCAAAACTTTGCCTATTTCTTTAATCGCGAACATAAAGAGAACAATTTCTTTTAGCGGCCGTTAGCGAACTGAACTATCAGCAAGCTACAGGAAATTCCTTCACAAAATCGCACAGCCCGCATTGCCAACTAGCTGATAGTTATCGATGGGTCATTGTTATCGTAGACAGCTGTTTTATAATTTGGCTTTAACCAACACTTCTCTAATTCTAATTAGAATTATTTACACGGTTCAAAGAAATAATTAGCCATGCCAACAAATGGCCATAAATACAGCATACTGCTGCCCACCTACAATGAAAAGGATAATTTGCCCATTATAATATGGCTAATTGTGAAATACATGAAGGCCAGGTAAGTGGCGGTTTTATAATGGCAGAAAAAGATGATTTAAATATATACCCTATTGCAGTGGCTTGGAATACGAGGTGATTGTTATTGATGATGGCAGTCCGGACGGAACCCTGGATGTGGCTAAGGATCTTCAAAATATTTATGGTGAGGATAAGATTGTCCTAAGGCCTCGGGGCTCTAAGCTGGGCCTAGGGACGGCATATATACATGGCATAAAACATGCCACCGGTGATTTTATAGTTATCATAGATGCGGATTTGAGTCATCATGTGAGTATTGATAACAGGGTAAACATTATGGAAGAGCTGAATCTAATGATTGTTTATCGTTCTTTAGCCCAAATTCATTCCGGAGTTTATCAAGCTGCAAAAGGAGGGAGACTACGATATTGTATCAGGCACTCGGTATGCCGGTGATGGCGGCGTCTTTGGCTGGGACTTTAAGCGCAAGCTCATCTCGCGCGGTGCAAACTTCTTGTCGCAGGTTCTTCTCCGTCCTGATGCTAGTGATTTGACCGGATCCTTCCGACTCTATAAAAAGGATGTCTTAGAGAAATGCATCGCAAGCTGCGTCTCTAAGGGTTATGTTTTCCAAATGGAGATGCTGGTCCGGGCAAGACAGCACGGCTATACTATCGCCGAGGTACCCATCACCTTCGTGGACCGCATTTATGGCACATCCAAGCTCGGTGGTACTGAGATAATCCAGTTTGCCAAGAACCTGCTGTATTTGTTTGCAACCACATAAAGAACACCCACCATCAACTGAGTAGATTTTTAAATTTTTAATTTTCTTTGGATTTCCTTTGCTTTGTACATTTGGTAAGATTTGCTCAAAGAATTTTACATACATCTAATGAATTATGCATGAGAAATTTGTTTGCCATATTTATAATAATTCAGAGTTCGACTTTTCTTGGGCTCTCCCCCTGATAGGTTTCATTTATAATTTGAATAATGATAACTAGCGTTAATTGATTTAATTACTCAAGTCGAAAACTTTGTGCTGGTTGTCCGGATTGCCGTAAAGAGTGCCGCAGTCATCGTCTAGGGCGTCAACTGATCCCCCGCCATAATTCTTCAAAGCTAAGGTCAACAAGGAGTTGCGATCCTTGAGTGCCAGAACCACGTAGGCACCGTTTGGAAGGATCTCACAGGTGCTGACCTGTGCCGGCGGCTTGAACACGGCTAGGGATTTGGCTGGAAGAAAGAAGTGACTATGTTTATGCAGTTAATTGTGAAGAATCAGGAACGTACCCGAGTTCAACTCCCACATGCGAACGGCAGAGTCTCGGCCCTCTTTGTCATAGGACAGCAGCACCTTGCCCAGTGGATCCAGCTTCAAGAATGTCACGGGAGCGTTGTGGCCGATCAATGTGCTCTTGCAGTTGCCCGTTACGAGATCCCAGATCAGGATCTTGGCATCTTCTAAGCCGGCAATTACACAGGCGTTAACCTGGGAGATGGCCAGGGAGACGGTATTGCAGGCCGGCTTCCACTTCTTGAACAGAGTGCCGCTTTGCAAATCGTATACCACAATAAAGTTGGGCGTTGTTGGCTCATTTAGCTCCTTGGCCACAACGCAAACGTAGGAGCCCTCGTGGGTAATCGCCGACAGAGAGGTGATAAAGTCATGATGGGGGATTCGGAGGTCATAGAGCAACTTGCGCTGCGAAAGATGCCAGACGAGCAGCGGGAAGGGTTTTTGGGTCTCATCACCGCAAACCAATATCCTGAAAGTGAAACCGGAAATAGGAAATTTATTAAATATAAAATATTTTCATTAAATACCGTCCGTCTCCAGAGACCAAAAGGGAATTGAGGAAGCGGTCTTCGCCCGCCTTGAAAGTTGTCACACAGTCTCCCGATTCCAGATTCATGAGATTAACATACATCCGGTTCCGAGACAAGCAAACCAAGTGGTTCTGATCGTGCAAACCGAAATATGGCATCTTTTGGTTCATTACGCCTTTGAGAGTTACCTGTAATCGAAAGGAAAACCGTATTTTATGCCAAATTTATATTTTAAAGACTTAATTTAGGTATCAAGCAGCACTCACCTTAAACTTTCCTTCGTCCAAATTGATGACACGGATCTCGCGACGGCAAAGAACTGCAGCCTCGTAGTTGCCCACAGGACACATCGCCGTTGGCTGTTGAATACCCTGAAGTTCCCGAATACGGCAGCAGTTCTTAACATCCCAGATGCAGATCTCAGCGCGCTCTGTGCACATGGAAGCTACATAGCATCCTGGCTGGGGTAAATTCATTAGGACATCATAACCCTTTACCGGTGTCGAGGACGGAGCATCGTCCTCTGACGGCTTCTCCTGCCCCTGATTGCCATTCTCTGCATCCAGATCGGCGTTCAGAATCTCCAAAAATGCAAACTCCAGCTCGTTGGTATACTCCCACCAGGAACGTATCTTCTCGTCATCCTTGAGCTCTGGTGCCTCCCTGAAGCGTGTCTTTAGATAGTACTTCATCAATGTGTAGAACTGCTGGCCATCGTAGCTCAGCTCATGAAGATACTGCTCGAGGAATTGCTTCAGGAAGTGGATGTGAACGTAGCCGGTGGGGCAATTGTCGCCGCCGGACTTGGCTAGCCACTCTGCCTGCAGAATGTCGTGAAGCAGGTGCTCTGGTCCTGTAGCATGTACCTTGTTGGCGATCCACTGCAGGTCCGTAAAGTAAAAGCAGTTGAAGAGTATGTCGATCTTGTGCGGTGCCGGATTATCTTCGATCACGGCACAGAAGTGATGATAAGGCAGTTTTAAGTACTTTTGGTAATTGTAGCTGTCGAAAGAAAAACTTTTGTTTAGTAAGTTATCTAAAAGCTGTTAACTATGTTGTATTAATTACTAAATTAAAGTGATACTTACGTGTTGGCACCCTGGCTACCCTTGAACTCGCTGTCCTGCCGGTCGAAGTAGTCCCGCAGCGCTTCATGTACCAGCCACTGCTTCTGCGCGTACCTCGCCAGGACCGCTCGTCCAAAGCTCCTGTCCGCTATCCTAATATTCTTAAGACCTAACAACATTGGTCCCATCAGCCAGCAAAACTTGGACCATACCTTGAAGGCGACCTGCGCCTCCAACTGGGTCATTTTCTGGAACACGCCCAGGCAGTCGCTCTCACGGATTCCCCAAGGTGACAGTCGGACGATAAGCAGCAGGAGTTCCACCTGATCAGCGGCGAACTTAGACTCCAGGACCTGTAGTATCCGTCCGGAGATGTCTCCGATTTCGCTTATGGGCTGGGCTACATGACCAAGCCAGGCGAGCCACCACAAGGACTTGGCGTGGTAGGGAGTCTTTCCGTGCAGCGTTTTCCATTCGTCTGGTAGTTTGAGAGCCCCATTGGCCGCATAGAAATCACCGCCACCAGAGCTAAGGATGTCGTGCCATTGGCGTTCCGTGAATTGTCGCAGTCGTAGGAAGCACCTCTGTGGTATGCCCAACTGCGCCAGCGCAGCGAGCATATCAAAGGAATCCTCAGATTCCGTTCCTTCCCCGATCCTCGCACTCATCCTCGCTGATGGTGAGAATCAGTTTGGCACTGCCCAGCTGCTGCGGAATCCAGTCGAGAAGTTCATCCCGTTGCAATTCATCCACTCCGTCGATGATCAATACAAAGAAGCGCTGCTGTCGGTCCAGAATCTCTCGAATCACTCGAGAATAGGCCTCTAGTTTCTAATTTGGAAGAGATCGATGATCATTTTGTCTGTGACTAAAGATTGATATCCTTACGTGTGGTACTTGGCATTGATGACCTGTCTCCAGGACCGACATCTGATTTGCCATTGAACCTAACAGTGAAGTGAGATCCGAGGAGCGGGCACTGAGATTGGCATATCTGAAGCGGTAAGGATTAAGATTAGAAATGATAACAGCGTTATGAAATCGATAACTAACCTTAGTATGAGCTGGGCCTCCGGCTTCCAGCGGTGCACGTTCTCCATAATTTTGGAGACCAGGACGCTTTTGCCACTACCCCGGGCGCCGGATACGACCAGAGGTTGGGCGGTGTTGTCCCGAATATAGCGTTTCACGTCGTTCATAATGTCGAAGTTAGCAGAGTTCTGGGCAAGCAACTTCGAGTAGTGGCCCACTAGGCGGAGCTCCTCGAGCAGCACACGATCCACGCCCAGCGTGTTGTAAGGGATGCTGCTCTTCTGCTGGTGCTCCTCGAAGATTCCAGCTAGCGCCTTGTCCAGTAGGCTCTCAATTACCGCCGACAACTCCTCATCCAAAATGCTCATCGTGGGCAGCAGCCGGATTAGGTTCTTCTCGCTCAACTGGCTCTTGAGACCGGAGTAAACATGGCTGATCCTCCTCTGCACCTCAAGTTCTAATTGGCTAGCATTCTCTGCCGGCCGAGCCATCTGACTGCCCGTCTGAATCCAGATGCAGCGCTTCGCGAGCTCCTGGCTCATCAGCACCGTATTGTTGATCTCCTGCTCCACCACGGTGGTCAGATAAGAGTCCTTAACGTCATCGGAGAATAGACGCAACAGGACGGCCAACAGTTCATTTAGTTCACCGTTCGCCTGGCCGGAGTACGGATCCACCTGCTGGGCATGAAGACGATGGCACATTGGCTGGTATGAGTTGTCAATGGTGTACCATTTCTCAAGAAGCAGTCGCTCTGCCTCACTGGCGGTGCCCAGCACTGAGGTGAAATCCTGGCTCTCTATGGTCAGCGGCAGCATCGGAGTTCCTAGGGTGGCACCCAGGAATAGAACCGGCACAACATACGCTCCAGCCGAATGACGCGTGATCTCGCACAGACAGTTGGCCGCCTCCTCGTGACCACCCTGCGCCTCCAGAGGTGTTTGGGTCCAGCGTTTAACCTCCTGCAGGCGCGAGAAATCCTTTCGGGCATTGCCATTGCCTGGCTCAGTTTCCGGCTCGCTGTCGTGGACATCGGCGATAATGAAGTCGAAGCCACGACTTTGGCACTTGCTTTTGAAGTGTTTGTAAAGGCTGTGGACGACTCGCTTGTGCTTCTTGTACTCGGTGCTGTTGTCGGCCAATATATAGACCACGATCTTTTTGTCCCGCTCAATCTTGCGGCCGGGTGGCGGCTTACCCTGCAGCACGCTCAGGTTTCCGGCTCCGGGATTGGCATTGGCCACGTCACTGGGCGCCTGCGCCCCCTGCGGTGTTGTGCTATTTGAATCTGTTTATGAAATTTAAATAAGTATTTAGGATTAACAAATACATATACTAAACATATGTTAGTGATGAGTCTTAATACCATAATCCATGTAAGTATAAGAAACATCATTTGTATGGACAATGTATCTTACCCTTGTCAGCTCCGCCCGTCTTGCCCGAGGCCGAGGGTTGCTGCTGCTTCTGCGGCTGGTTGCCATTGGCCTCCGGCAGTGGAGTCACCTCTGGCAGTGCCTCCACAGCCGCCAAGGGAGCCCGCTTCTCGTCGCCAGCACTTGAGTCGGTGGATATTAGGTTGTCCTTCTGCTCCGCCTCCTGGTATGGAGGCGAGCTGTAATTCCAATCAAAATTAGTTTGATTTATATGATTATTTCCTTGAGCCAAGCTAACTTACTCATCTGACTTCTCGGAGGCACTGTCCTTGTCCTTCTTCTTCTTCTGGCCGGAACTGCACACGTTGCCCATTGCGGTCCTTTGATTCCCTACTCTTTAAATTACAATTGACTATTGATGACCTGGAAAGGGTAATAAAAGATATTTATGTTTTAAAGTTGAATCAGGAGTAAGTAGAAGCAATAATGATTAAATTCAGTGTCAGGTTTTATCCTTTGAAAAATGTAAGTCCAAGAAAACCAACGTCATAGTTATCTTTTTCAATCAATGGATGAAATCCTTATAGATGTACATATGTTGTTTGGTTTTCCAACTGTTTATCAAGCTCTTTATTAATTATCCCGTTTATTTGCTGAACATTAATTAGGTCCCACAATTAATGTTCAATATCTGTGTAATATATGTGGGAATCCCCAAGCTGTTTACATTATCTCCTCCCCATATCGATAAGGGAATAACTTTTTTAATCACTTTCTGAAATTGTTTTAGAATCGCAGTATTAAATTGTTAGCTACTGCTATCAGTTTTGGGCATATCACTAAGCTCTTAGTAATTGCTCACAGCTGTTGCAGGATACCGCAAGCCCATATCGATTTAGAAACACTTAAGGGGGCAGATTTCAGAGATAAATCCTTCTAAAAAGATGAATCCTTATTTTGCCAGTATAGAGCCTTTAATGCTTTTTAATGGTTTGGTTTGGTTGGTTGGTTTGGTAATCATGGTCGTGAATAGTTGATAAACCTGCCATATATAATTTTTTTCACAACAGGTCAATGACAAAAACAAAGTGCTTGGGGGATAACGGGGCACATCCTGTGCGAGTGAGAGAATGCGACACGGGGTAGAAAGAGAGGTGGCTAGATGAGAGAAAAGCTTTTCTCTGAAGAAGCGAACGCATGCTCTCTGCGGGAACTTTTATAGAGATTTTCTGCGTTGAATTGGCATTGGCGTTAATCAAGTGGTCGAGTGAACTGGCCCAAGTGGGTGGTGGTGGGTGGTTGTGGGCGTCGGGTGGTGGGTACTGTTGGGTCTGGGTCTGGGTCTCGTCTCGGATTTATTGCGGGCAATGCGCTTGGCTGGATTTTTGTGTACGCGCTTGAAAATTGTTGACGCGCGAGCCCCTCTTTGCCCATCGATAGCACCTATGGATGCTCGACCATTTCCCCCCCTTTAGTTAATCATTTATTGGATATTAAAATATTTTCGATCGCCCGACCCACAAGACACATAGCATTTGTGTTTCGCGACCGATTTAAATTCTTTTCAGGGGGGTATGGGGGTGTAAAAAAACGCTAAAAATAAATTCCCCCCTATATACACAGAATATATGTTTTTGAATCTGTTAGTTCGACATTTTGTCGCAGCGGAATTTCGAAATGGTTCAATATCAATTAATTTGTCAAAGATGCCGTGCATTTTTCGCTGGCAGTCTCATTTTTTTCGCATATGCCATTTGCAGAGCACTTAGCTTGGTTCGGTGTGTATGCATCGTTTAGTTGGTTATTTGATTTATTTTAATACACAAATTTCCGTCACTTACTTTTCTTTACGCGCTTTTCACATGCGCCCCCGGAACACCCGCCGCACCCGACCCCGTCGTAATCTGGCGAAACGAACCGAGTCTAAAACATTTTCCACCCACTGCACTTGCACTTTGCTCAATTAATTGCCTAATCAAAATGTTTGTTACACACACGCCGCGAAGACATTTCGTCCGAAAAGTGTATCTTTCGAGTGCGTTTTTCGTTTTTTCCGCTCGATTCTTTATCGTTTTTTTCCTTTTATATTTCCTTTTTTTTGGATGGCAGTGCGCGCCTCGGCTAGTTTTTCCTTGTCCCGCCGCTGTGCGTCGACGTAGTGCTCGGCGCTCTGAGTTTTCACTGCTTTTGATTCCGTTGGAAAATCGGTCGCCAGCGAGTGCGTATTGCGGAAAGCTTCGGAGCTTTTCCGACCTTCTCTCTCGAAGCTCAATTAAGACGAGGGCTGCATTTAGTTCAAAGAAGTGGCTATAATGGGCTTCCCGCGAATATCCGTTAAGCGGTACGATGCAAACAATGGGTTTTTAAAGAACTAATATCCTTATTTAAACGTATTTTAAGGGTTAAATCTATCTAAGATATTTTCATTTAAAAGCTTTATTTAAAAAACCTTAAAAATATTGTATATGTGTTGTTGCTGAAATTCATATAAGCAATAATTTTTATGAATTCTTTCTTAAAAAAAACGAAAATTAGCATTTTAAACACCATCAATTCAAAATACAACTCATTTCCTATATCATCGATAGCTTTATTCGGTGTAAAGAGCAATTTAGGCCCCACTAAGTATGCTTACGTTTTGAAAGCATTCGAAACCTTCTCCAGATTTCCTTTCGTCCACTTACCTTTACCGTTAGAATGACCAACCACCATCATGAGCTGTCAAATCGGTGCTTCTCGCTTGATCTGTCAAAAGGCCAGAGCCAAAAAGGGGAGAAAGCAGCTGGCGTGGCTGCATTTCGTTTCTTTGCCTCAAAGTGAGAAGTTTCGGGGCGCCGAACTTGTCGGAAAAGTGTCCAAGAAATTGGCATAGCAGAGAAATTTTCCCAAATTGAAAGCTAAAATGCTATAAATGCAAAGCCGATTAGGCAAAAATAGTTAAATCAAAAAAGAAAAACCCATTCAAATATAATCAAAATGAATCGTCTACTGCTGCAGTGTCTTGTGACAACCATTCTGGTCTACAAAGGTCAATAAGTAAACCTAAAAAAGAATAATGCATCCATTACTTTAGTCCTAGTGGAGTAGTTAAGAGGATAATCCAACTAATAGCAGGGTTAACTTGTTTTAAATTTTTGGTAATCCTCGAAAATGCCAAGATGAAAAATGTATATGCTACTGGATTATATAAGCTGGTGTCCAATGCGCAGACTCCAAAAGAGTCTGGGACCGAGCCATCAGACATCTGGACCAGTCATCAGGGGAAATAGGTCAATGTTTTTGCCCGCACGCAAGGCGGAGCAAAATAGACGCGAATCCGTAACCAAAACAGAAGCCTTGATAAGGGGTGGATTTCTTCTATTTGTGGTCATAGGGTTTATTTTCCCAGATGACTGACAGCTGTGGTTTCTATGCTTACAGTGATTTCGGTTCCAACCAGCACGATGAGTACTAGTATCCAGACTACTTCGGAGATTCCGCAACAGGATGACGATGATGACGACTGGGAGGAGGATGATGACTCCTTGGAATCAGACGACGATGGACGAGTCTATAAAAATCCACGCAATTCGCCCTCAACCGAGTGCCCGCGGGATGAAGAGCAGGCCACTCTTCTTGGCCAGAAGTGCTTGAGGAAATGCTCCTCGGACGAGGACTGCAAGAGCAAGAAGAAGAAGTGCTTGTGCGATGGTGTCTGCGGCAACTCTTGCATTAAACCAGGTGAGATTAATATCTTCTTTAATCCTTAGATCACAGGAGAAATGTATAAATATATATTTTCTCCAGATCGCGAATGTCCTGAGCTAGCCCAGCCCAGTTTGGGTCAGGTTACAGTCGCTGGACGCCACTTTGGAGCTCGGGCCTCCTATGCCTGTCCACATGGATATCATGTTGTGGGTCTCCAGAGTCGTCTCTGTCAGGCCGATGGCAATTGGGCCGGTGCTGAGCCAGCATGCAAGCAGAACAGTGAGTAAACTAATTTTAAGCTCTTAAAAAATGAATTTAAAACATTTAAAAACTTTTTAGTTTACTGCTTGAAGCCGCCGCAAATAGAGCATGCCCGAAATTCAGCGTTGCCGGAACAGGAAACGTTTGATCTGGACTCTACGGTGCAGTATCATTGTCACACCGGCTATGTGACCAATGGATTTCCTCGAGCCAAATGCCTGGCCATTGATAACCTGGCCAGTTGGTATGGACCGGATATTCAATGCGAACGTGAGTAAAAAAGTTACTTTAGGAAGGAATCCTTAATACAACCTGTATAACCATAACCAATTTCAGCTCGATCCTGTGGTCAGCCACCGGATCCGGCCTATGGATGGCATGCCGGCGAGTGTTATACCTATGGATGCAAGATTACCTACAATTGCGGAACCGGATATGAACTGGTGGGCAAACATGAGCGATATTGCCAGTCGGATGGATCATGGACGCCCAAGGAGCTGCCCACGTGTGTCTGTGAGTATTGCGATGGCGCCTGTAGAGTTTGTAACCGAACCTATTTGACCTCTGACCTTTAAAGCGGATAGCGCAAATGTAACCACCACCCAAGCGTCGTTGTCCTAGGCGAGGCGACCCTTTGAGTTTCGTTACCGACTCCTTGGAGCTGGCAATGGCACAGATCCCCAATATCCGTATCCGAAAAGAATATATATTAAGCGTACTTTGGTCAGGGCTCAAGTTCTCCAGTCGGAGTTCTCCGATCCTGTTAACCACACACATTCTCTCTCTATCTCTGATTTGATCTAGCGTTACAAACCGATTGTTCAAATTTTATGCAATACCTTGTTGTTGTTGTTGGCCTATTAATGTTGAATGAATAAATAAAAGTTACCGCAAATCTTGAGCAAAAACAAAATGAACAAAAAATAAGAAATTTATTCAAATCGAAACCGTAACCATGAAGTTGTTTTATTTGGTGGATCAATCACGAGCTTCTTCTTAAAGATTTGTGGTAACTTTTAGCGTACCCCCCGTCCATCCATCCCCAATGCTAATCAACATTCTTCCGCTTCACGCACAGTGGTCACCTCGGTTGTTTGTCCGACTCCAGAGAATCCTAAGAACGGTAAGGCCACCTACACTACCCTGGCCTACAACTCGGTGGTCAGTTACGAATGCCGATATGGATATACGTTGATGGGCGAAAGTTCCAGTCGCTGCGGTGCAGATCGAAAATGGAGCGGCACATTGCCCACCTGCAAGGGTAAGTAGGCTCAAGATCCTTCCTCTTTCTTAACTCCACATGGATCAATGAACTAATATCCTAACACCTTCAACAGAGATCAACTGTGGCCATCCCGGAGTGCTTTACAATGGCTGGATAGAAAACATAGAGGCGGGTACTGGACTGGGTGCTAGTATTATTTTCCGATGCCAGCCGGAGATGATGATCAATGGACTGGGTTCCAGTGTCTGCCAAATCGACGGTAGATGGCGAAATGCTCTGCCCGAGTGTTTGGCGCCTTGTGTGGTGCCCACCATTTCGCAGGGTAATGTCTATCCTATTGAAATAACCACGGATGAAAACGGGACGACGATCATCCACCCGCCTACCACAACGACGCAGTCACCCATTCATACGCAAAGCATTGGCGGAGTGGAGAAAGTAAAGCATGGAACGGCATTGGAAGTTAAGTGTGATGAAAACTATGAGTTCCCAGTCTCACTGCTCAGTCCGCCCACGTGCAATAATGGCACATGGAGTATCATTCCACGCTGTGTGCCCGCCAGGTGCAAAAGTATGCCAAGGCCACCTAAGCACGGAATGGTGATGGCACCCAAAACAGAGCACGGCATGAAGGCACGGTTCAAATGCAAGGATGGTTTTAAATTAGTTAGTCCGGAGGGCAAGGATGTCACCGATCCGCATGACTATGTTCTAACCTGTTCCTTTGGCAACTGGACCGGAGAAACACCAAAATGTGACGAGGTTTTCTGCTCCTTTCCCGGCTACATACCCAATGGAAAGGTACTGCTCGTGGGCAACATGGGACTGTACGACTACCGACCCTATGTGAAGAAGATTGTGAACAATAAGCAGATCATGTACGATTGCGACAAAGGATACGTCCTGGAGGTATCTTAAATGGAAAACCTTATAAAGTATAAGATTTTAATCTTTCCTCCCTTAGGTTGGTCCTCCCGGGTGCCACCTGTGTAGGTGGGAAATGGCGACCCTTAGATTTGCCACAATGCCTTCTGGGTCAGCATCCTCGACTCCGATGGAATCGTCGCAGACGTCGTTCTTTACAGATTCGCCAGTTGAGATCTATGTATCTCCTGCGTCGCCAGAGACAGCTTCAAAGGCAACTGGCGGAAAACCAAAACTATATCAATGCAGGTAAGTAATATACTTTGAAACTGGTAGGATAGGAGCTTATATTGTCTTCCAGTTATAAATACAGTTCAGACTCCAGTCCACCGGGTAAAACGTAGTGCCAGTCCCGACCCGAATGCGCAGCCCTATCACTTCGGATATGGATCAGGCCTACTCTAAGTACATCCAAAAAATCAAGGAGCGATATCAGCGTTACGTGCGGAAGATGTTGGGTCATGACCGGATCTACCAAAAGCTCCACGCCCAGGACAACGTTGGTAGAGTGGGAAACAACCTTAACTCACACGATGGGGGACAGGTTACGATGCGTGGCAAGTCCAACTTTAGGGAATTCGAAAATGGAAACAATTACCTGGGTGGCGGTGGTATTGGATCAGGAGGAGGAGTCGTTGCCTTACCTAACATCAACCAGGCATCTCGGAATCATAAACTTCACATAAACCGCACTCCCAAGGACGAGCTACTGTCCAACGGATCTCCGCCGGTAGCATCGCGTAGCTTTCACTTAAATGCCACCAGGTCTTACATGGATCAATTAAAGTCCCAAATAGTTCGTCGGAGGCGCAAGAGGAGCTCCAGCATTGGACAGGCACCTCCTTCGGCAGCAACTATTCCGGATGCAGAGGTTGACATTAGTGATGGAGGAGAGGCCGGAAAGGGTGGTGGCAAACGGTTACGAGGACCTTGCGAGGATCTTGACTGGGATTCGTTCGGAAACGTGACCACTGTTCGACCCGGTAAAGTTCCGGGCAGAAATGCCGTTGGCATCATGCTGCATCTTGAGTGCAACGCTGGATTCAAACTGAACATCAAGGGGGAAAATGCCACGGCACGCTGCATCCGAGGAATCTGGAAGCCGGAGACACCCAAGTGCCTATCTGCTCCTTGTTTGGTTCCTGCCGTTGAGCATGGGCAGTATTACAAGGTGGAACCTCACACAAAGCAGTTAAGCGATAAACCTTCGCTGACGCCGCTCTCCACTTACGAGGAAATCCAGTCAAACGAATTCATTACCCTGGAGTGCGAGGATGGCTTTAATATCCAGGTGGGACAGCTTTAATCTTATGAGACAATGTAACATAGTTTACATATATAAATTCCAGGGCTCGGCTCAACTGCGTTGTGCCCATGGATCTTGGTCGGTGAACGCCTTCTCCGAGTGCACATCCGTACCCTGCACGCTGCCCAATATTCCAGGAGTAATCTATGATGTAAGGATTCATAAGGATTTATCTTTTGATCACATTTACATATTATTTTTTTTTAGGGAGGTTATCGGGCAGGGCTTACCATTGGACATGGAAGCAGTGTCAGCGTGCGCTGTGAACTTTCTACGAACGCCAATCCTATAGAGATGTCATGTCACAAGGGCATCCTCACTCCTCCCAGTATACCATGCGAGTCCGGATTAAGAAAGTCTCGACAGGAAGTAGAGCACGTCACACCCACTTCACATTCCAAAGTAGAGCACAACGAACTGGACAATGATCATGATCACCATGACAATACTACCGATGAACACGACGATATGAAGATGTGCGGTTCACCCATGCTATTGGAAGGCGCCCTGGTTTACAAGTTAGTTTTTATATATTTTGGTCATGATGTCTTATCAGTCTTTAATCCCTGAAGGAATGCCGATCATCCAGAGCTGGATGGGGCCTACGAGAGTGGCACGGAGATCTTCTTTAACTGCATCCCAAATGCAGCCGGCGATCGGCAGACATGGCGCATCATTTGCGACAACGGGCTGTGGATAGGACGATCCTATAATTGCGGTGAATTTCAAGAACTATTGAAATATTTTCCAAATTTATGAATTATTTGTATCCCCAGAAAACGGAACGTGTGTTTTCAGAAACAACGAAGCTAATGTAGTTAGTTTTTATAACGACCTGGAGATTAGGGAAGACGTTGTGGACTTCCCTCCAGGAGCCACAATCATATCTAGGTAAGTTTTAAGTATAAATATTGATTTATAAATTATTATTATTATATAAACTTCTTTCCTTTCAGATGTATGGACATTGGAAAATTTTCGATGACGGGGAGCCACGAGAGGACCTGCATCCACTCGGAATGGACCAACACAAAGCCCGTGTGCTCCGGCCTAAACCAGGAAAACGACTATGCAAGTAGGTATTATAAGTTTATAGAAAGGATAAGTAAATCTGACCAGTCCTAAAATACAGTGGAGAAGGCCCCGACAATCCTGTTCCGACACCAAAACGGACCCATCGCCCAGAGCAATGATGGCAAACTGATTGTCTATCCAGGAACAACTCTCCACATGGAGTGCCTGTGGATGCGACGCTTCGGAAATCCAAAGTGGAACGTCAGTCATACGCACAAGTGGGTATCGGGGGTTTTGGTATACTTACTCCTAAAGATATATATTATGCCTTTTTTTTTACTGACTATTTAATTTTTCTTAAAAATGCTGGACCAACTAATTTTTAGTCGTATTAGGTACTCAAATTATTTTAGATCCTTTTTGATTTAATGGAATTTTTAGAACTTTTAGAGAATATAAAAAAGTTTTTATTAGCAACATCTACTTTAGGAAACCAAGGTCTATGTGAAAGACTAATCGACTTTCGTGATTTGCAGAAACTACACGGAGGGCTGGGTGACTGAGGCAGATGAGGGCCGCGACTCGACGCTGGAATATCGCTTGAGCATTGTGGATGCGGCCAGTGACGACTCTGGGTTCTACTCGTGCATGACTCCGGCTCGCCATGAGCACGCAGTAGAGGTGGTGGTGCGGGCTATTAACTGCCCGGAGATACCGATGCGGCGTGGCCTGATCGTGAACACCAACGATACCAAGCTGAGCACACGGGCGCTGCTGTCCTGCGCGAATGGGAACTCCTTGATTGGCGCCTCGGAGCTATTCTGTCTGCCAAGTGGCAATTGGAGCGCACCGTTGCCAGTTTGCGAGAGCGTTGAGTGCGGCGACATCCCGCTGGGGATGGGCAGCAACGCGAGCTCGCCTCGCGTCTCCGTGCTGTCGCGCGAGGTGGGCGGCCGGGCGGCCTTCTCGTGCTCCTCCGGTTACGGACTGCGCGGACCGGCGGAAGCCATCTGCAATCCCACGGGCGAATGGTCAGCGCCGCTGCCCACCTGCGTCGAGGTGCAGTGCGACAATCCGGGAGCGCCGCAAAATGGTTACGCCCAGGGCTCGGCACCTTATCGTGCCGGCGATGTGGTCCAGTTCAATTGCAATCCGGAGTATATGATGCAGGGCCAACCGATCATTGCCTGTCAGGACAATGCACGTTGGTCGGGCGGCCTGCCCAAGTGCGTACAGGCCTGCTCGTATCCGGGTACCGTCATTAGCGGAAGGATGTCCTCCGTTAAGTTTTACTACGCTATCGGTGAGAGCATCACGTTTACTTGTGATGCCGGATTAGACCTGCGCGGGTCCAAGGTGCTCAAGTGTCTCAAGAACGGCAAGTGGTCAAGCGCCATTCCAACGTGCGTGACCAACGAGGGCCCCGTTGGAGGAGGATCCGTTACCTCTAACAAGCACCTGGCTACCACCATGGGTTAAAGGGATACGAATATAGGTGTCTTTAGCTGAGGTCGAAATTGCACATCGATCAACCGCAAGAATAAGCGTTGCACCAGAGTGATACTAATACATATTACCTACTAACTAATGCACATTCCAGGCGCACAGTCACGCGTTTACTAACTAATAACGACATTCTTGCGATTCAATTGTAACTATAACGTAACTGTAGCCCCGTACTGTATCGCACGGCCATCATTTTACTATAATTAAATGTTCGTCAAATAAACACTTCTTTACACATGTTCTTATTTTTAACTCAGGAGATCTCCACTACTTTGACGACGATAAATATTTAAATTTGAAAATAAATTTAAATATAAATTAGTGTTGATAATGGTTATAATTCCACTTGTACTTTACATTACTCATCATGTTAAGTGCCTTGAAATTTTAACAGTACAGCGATGGTCACACCACCTGTTTGTTCTGGCAACAACGATAGTATCGTAAAAACAACGATTTTTGTTCCAGCACTATCTCAAATCGCATTTAAATTTTAAAACGCTGGCAAAAATCTCACTAGCTTAAGATTCTATTTAGTTTTCGGTTAAGTGCAACGGAATATCCTCCCTCTCCCTGCTCGCAAAACCTTCGTTTGGTTTTATCGTTTTCGATTTCTGCATTCCATCGCCCACGCACTGCTGTTCTTGTTGCTGCTGCTGCGCTGCCTTGTGTTGTTGTTATTGCTGATGTTGTGTGGCTGCTGTTATTGTTGTTGTTGGTGCAAGGACGAGTGACGTCCTTCGAAAAAGGCGCAACAATTTACCCCGCGCAACAAGGTGTTCTCGGGGGGTGGCGGGAAAATCAATAAATAGCAAAGAGCAAGTGCATACACAAGTGCTATTTCGCTGTGTATGTATGTATGTACCTACACAAATATACGTCGCGATTTAGTGTGTGTGCGTTGTATACTAAAACTTTCTTTTTCTAGGCAGCCAGCTGTAAAATAGAACAGCCAGCTAAACAAAGGAAATTTAGCCCAGAAAAGCTAGCCCTATTATGGACAACACGGGCGATGATAGCGACAATGATGTGGTCACCGATTTCCTGAACTCCAACTGCAGCGAATCCTTGGAAGGAGTGGTAAATGGTAGTATTGCTAACCGCAGTGCCTCCATCGAAAGCCAAAACTACTGCATACCCGTGATAAACGCACCAACGCCTGCTCCAGCGCCCGCTGCAGTTGGTCTTCCTTCCACTCCTGCTAGCATTATCAATAACAACATGATACCCACTATCAATGTGACACCACACAGTCCGGCTTTAGCCTCCAAGTACAACAACATATTCGAGGACACGCTCAGCCAACTGCAGAACATTCGTGAGACGGTCGTTCAGATGAAAAATTCCTCCTCAGCGGGTCAACACGTGCACGATGGCAACTTGGCCAACAATGGACTTCTTAACGCCGCTATACTGAGCACCTCGCTGCCCGATCTCACGGGCACTGGAGCAGGACCAGCTACTGGTGGCGCAAACTATGCCATGTGGTCGTCCACGGCACCGCAGCAGTGTTTGCTTCTTCACACAGACCGTAGGAAGTCCTGGACAGCAGTAGACGATGCCAGTGGCGGGGGCTGACTGCACCAACAAAAGTGTAAGCCTATCCAGCCTGGACAGTGAGGAGCAGGAGACCATTCGCGTCACCGAACAGCGACGAAGGTCGGCCAGAAACAGCACTGGAGGTAGATATGCACTAAGGTTTCGGGGGTGGGTTTCTCTAAGCCATAAATATAGAATGACACTATATATTTTAGTTGCATAGATAGTTTGGTGCCCCTAACATGCCAGAAAGAAATCTGTAATTTCTGCAATTATGAGGAAAATTACAAATTTTATCGATTGTTTTTTGGTTTTTTGATGACAAGTGTCGGTTTGAAGTGATTATACACGGAATATTAGATAGCATTGAGTGAATGAAGTTACTTGAAAAGGTATTGTAGCTGCCTTTTATCTTTATACCCCTACTGGGTTTGTTTTTATGAACGCCAGTTAGGTGAAAAAGTAATTATAAAAACTGAAAATATATTTTCAATAGCTATAGGAAAGTTAAAATGCCCTACAGAATTCTATGAAATATTTTAAAACATATTAGATAAGTATTTTGAGGACTTCATAAAAAGATCTTCAAAAACATGATTTTAATATTATGGATAATAGTTATTAAACATTTTTTGTTTGAAAAAGATATGCCTCCGATCCAAAGCGTAGGGGCTGCTACCAAGTTAGTTTCGATTTCGATAAGAAATTCCACAAAAGCCCGTTATCTGGAAGCCCCTATAGAGCTTTGACATTGGTAGCTCCGACCAGAGGCATGAAAATAGAAGCCCCAGCGATTAGTTATTACTAACCAACTCTCTAACTCTGATCATTTGCAGGCATTTCAACGCACTCGCTAAACGAGGCGGAGTTGGCCCGCGACTTTGAGAGGATTGCAGCCAAACGAAGCCTGGCCACAGAAATCATCAGCCGGATTCCATTGCAAAAGAGCATATCGACGAGCTCCATTATCGCAAAGGAGGATATCAAGGCGATCGCCCGTCACCTTACGGATAGCGAGGATGAGAACCAAAGTTTGTTGCGGGCTCATGCAAAGATCGAGGTGTATGATAACGTAGAGAAGCGTCCGAAGCGAGGTTCGATATTCTTCCGAAAGAAGAAGCCAAAGGCAAAAGCGAAATCCTTAGTAGGAGGGCAACTTAGTGCTTGCGACGTTTGTGGGGCTGCCATCACACTGGCGCAGATCAAGGAGCACCACCTGGAGTGCAAGGTGAAGAAAATGGCTGGCGGCCAGGACTTCTATGACGGACCGGATGCCACCACCTTTAGCAACCCAGAGGATCAGCCGCTAATTCGTTCCGACTTGCAGTTCCTCAACGAACCGCCTATCGAAGCGCAGGATTTAGGTGCGGATCCCACTCTGGGCATCGTTCTCAAAGAGCATGACTCCTGGACCCCAAACGTGCCCAGGGAATTACTCAAGACACTAAAGGAACTGCAAATCAAGCGACAGGAACATATCTATGAGTTTATTATGACCGAAAAGCACCACTGCCAGACCCTGATCGTCATGCAGAAAGTGTTCGTGGAAAGTCTGGAAAGGCACTTCCCATCTCTTAATCTTAACAGCATGTTCCCACGCCTACAACAGCTCACTGATCTGCACACCTGTTTTCTGCGTCAGTTGCGTCTTAAGCAACGTGAGCAGCCTATGGTGGACAGCATTGCCGATATTCTGCTGGACTTCTTCTCGTTGGAGCAGGCCCAATGCCTGCGGTTGGCCTATGGAGAGTTTTGCGCAAACCATCGCAGCGCTCTGGACCAGTTTAAGCTGTGCCTAACCGAACCGAGTTTCGCCGAATGGTACAAGCACTGTCTCCAGAATCCGTTGCTCAAAAAAAAGGGCATTCCCGAGTGCATCTTGTTCGTGACCCAACGCCTAACGAAGTATCCTTTGCTTATCGAACCGCTACTAAAGAGTGCCAGGGATAACAAGTTGGAAACAGACAAGCTGCAGCATGCTCTCAATCTGGTCAAATCTCTCCTGGTCGATGTGGATGCATGTGTAGCGGAGAAAGAATTGCGTGAGCGACAGTTGGAGATCTATGGACGTGTGGATGCCAAATCCTTTGCGATTTACAAGAATAAACCCTTCCGTAAAACTGAGCTTGGGGTGGAGTCTCGACGACGTCTTAAATTTGATGGACTAGCGACCCTAATGCAAGGGAGGGCCAAAACCCAGCTAGTTCTAGTGGTGGTCCTCACTGATTGCCTTTGTTTTCTCAGCGAGAACTCAGGTCACAATAAGTACTCCTTCTTTACACCGGAGCATAAGGCTGGAGTTGTTCCACTCCAGAAACTTCTCATTCGCGAGAAAGCGGGCACCGAGTCCAGAGGAATATATATTATTAGCTCCAACCCGGACTTTCCCGAGATGTACGAACTGAAGGTACAGACACCAAAGGACAAAAACACTTGGATTCAGACTATTCGTCAGGCAGTACTCGACTGTCCAGCTACTGATATAATCGAGGCGGAGGATTTGACTGCAGAGGAAAAGCTGCGAATCGGCGTAAATAAGAGGGAAACCATCGAGAAGATGAGACAGAAGGACATTGAACAGGCTCTACTGCTAGAGGAGAAACTAATGCTTCAGTTTAATTTGCTCAAGGAGCAGCAGCCCTTTGGAGATATGCCGGGCTCCAATTCCAATAGCAGTGCAGCCAACTTTCTGGCGGCCTTTGGCTCCTACAAGGATCTCGTAAGCGCTGATTGTGACACGGCGGAACTCTGGCGTAGAGTACTCAACACGGTGCAGGACATCAGCCAGCTAGCGTCGACCGTCTATTCAGCGGCAACAGGCCAACCGGTGTCTAGAACTCTGAGTAGCGTGGGCGAGAAACAAAGTGAGCAGTATGCTTCGCCCACTCTACCGAAACGGGCCGAAACATTTGCGGGCTTTGACGAGAAGCGGGGTAAGCTGGCTTCAAAGCTGGTGCTTACTCCCCGTCTTCAAGAACTGGAAGAAAAGCGAGAACCAAAAAGCGTGACAAGCTCGGTTGCGGAGCAGCCACTAGAAAACAACTATGCTGTGCTACAGGTGTCGCACCATCTGCAGACTTTGCTATGCATTATTTCCCAGCAGATGACAACCATCCATAACTTGCAACTGCAGTTGGCTCTTTACCGGGAGAGTCCTCGCTCAAGTGCTTACACGCACAAAGATCAGCTGGAGGAGTTGCGTAATTTGCAGGACAAACAGCAGGAGGAGAAGACCGCTTGGCAGCGTCAGCAGAAGCAGCAACAAGAAGAACTCGCCGAGATGCGAGCACAGCAGCTGCAGTTACAGAAACAGATTAAAGCCGAACAGGAGGACGTGCGTCAGCAACGTGAACAGTTGTACAAGAAGATGGAACTACTCTCCAGTCAGGGCCTGCTGCTGTCGCCCAGCACTCCGTTACCCCCGGTTAACACCAATCATCATCCTCCACTTGCTACACTATTGGATGATAATCATGAGACGGACAATGGATTTAGTGGAACCGGGAGCAATACTCCCAGTATAGCTGGAACCGTAGATCGACGAAAGGAGAAGTGGCTAAGTGGTTCCTCCAACTGCAAAACTCCACCTGTAAACTTGCTCAGCGCCAACAATGCACCCAAAGCTAACTCCACTCTGGTTAAACAGAAGCTGCCTATGAAACTCTCATCGTTATCGTCCACCGGCAGTTCTAGTTCCCGCGTGGACAAGTCCGCTAGCTTCAACAGTGCCTCGCCGGCACCCTACTCCTCCTCTGGCAGTGTCCAACAGATGTTTCCCCTAAAGTTGGCAGACCGAAGAACTGCCACGCCCTCCAATTGCACCCCGACCCCCATTGGAATAGTTCCGCAGCACTCGCGAACAGGAAGCTCGCCGGCGATCATCCAGCAGACAACGACAACTGCAACACCCACTCAGAACCGCGGTATCAAGAGCAGAATCCGCAGCCCAATATTCAAGGACACCAACGAGCAGCCGGACAGGAATTGCTAGGACGACAGGAATCGGCGTGACCACTGGCACTGCTCCTCGAGCAAAGCCCGAGGAAGAGGAAATCTACTTCTGACGCCAGTTCACGCCGGAAGTTGAAATATAAATGTTGAATCATTTAAAATCAAGCTTTCCTATGTTCGATTTCATTCCGATCGACATAGGAGTTCTTTCAAACCGAAAACCTGAATATCTTAAAACAATAATTCGATCCAAAAGAATGGCAATAGAAAACCATATCTCTTAATCTGTACTTAAACCATTCCAAATCCAACAAAGCATATTTTCATACTGCCCTTTTTAGGCTCAACATCGCATATATTATCATTAATTTAGGCAAAATGTACTGTACTTAATGGTATTTTCACAGACTCGCTACCAATCCAATGCATCTCAAACTGTTCAGTAATTTATTTTAAAATTTATTTATTTAACAATTATTTATTTTAAAGCAATTGAACTTCAGACAAAAGCAAAATTACATTAAGTGTGATTGTTTTCTAACGAATTTTACTTCTTCCAATAAAGAAACCTATTAAATATTTATTATATAACCAAAACGAAAATGTAATGTAAAATGCGTTTAAGCGTTTATCCAAATTAGGTTTAGGAACATACATATATACCTGATGTATATGTTTATATAAAAATATATAATCGCAAGTAATGACATTCCATCGAGATTGCTCCAAACTTTTTATTATTTTAAACCTGTTGTTGCGTATCTCTGATTTTCAAGTTTCGCTTTAACAAAATTATACACTTTGTACATAAGTTTTAATAACTGTGTGTATTTTACATTTCTAATCCTCGCTATAAGTGTTTATGTATTGAGAGGACACTCGAACCTGATCCTAATCCCTCTCATCTACGCAATAATTTAAGCTCGCTCCAATAAATGTTTAAAATTATAAAATCTACAGTTACGTCTTTTTCTTGTCAATGGTAATACGTAAATTACATAATTAATTAAAACAAAACATGGACATTCGATTTCGCTAAAACGGAGGCCATGAGTAAAAGATTCTATTGGCGCAAGATTCATTGCTTGTAGTTTTTGGAAAAGCAATGATTTAATCATATTAAGAAGGGAAAAACAAATTTAAAAAAAAAATCATTTCATAAAAACAACTTACTTTTATATTAACTTTATATACATTGTAGAAGGAAATACACCTCAGGCTGTTCTTGCATTTGTTTCTCAACTACATATCGAAGTCATTCTTGCGTGGACACTTGGCTCTGGTGTGGCCTTCCTTTCGACAAAGTCCACAGCGGCGAGATTTTGGAGCATCTGAAGTAGAAGCCGTGGGTTGACTGCGGCCGGGCGGATTCCGGCTGCCCGATCCCCAAGCGGAACTGGAACCGCTGCTGGAGGCTAAAATAAAAAAGGAATAAGGTTATTCTGTACATTTTCGATTTAAAAATCGTACCTTGGTTCTGGTCCTCATCTCCCCATTTAAAAAAGCCACAGGATTTTTCTCGCGTAGGGCACGCAAAAAAGGGCCTACCCTGGTTGGGTCCATCCTTTCTTACGGTCAAGCTACTGGCCAACTGCCCGCAATTGCACATCACCTCATCACCATCGCCTTCAGACGTGGCCGCGGAACTTTTTGGCGGATTTTTCGTTTTCGTTTGAGTGATGGTAACAGTGCTGCTAGAGTTGGATCGCATTGATGACTGTCCGCGCTGTGAATTGCTCTGGCTAATGCTAGGAAGTGTGACTACACGGTTGGAGCCCCATGAGGAGTTACTAGTTGTGGGGCGAGCGGAGCTACCCCTTGCTGGCTCATCAGCCCACTGGAAAAAGTTGCACTCATCTTGGTTTGGACACTTGTAGAACTGCCTTCCCTGGTTAGGCCCATCCTTACGAACAGTATTATGTCGAGCTGGCTGCTGGCATCCTGTACAAAGTACTGTTTCCGGTTCAGTTGTTGATGATGGTGGTGCATTCCATTCGGCATTGTCCCACCTCGCTCTTTTAGCTGCTGGTTTTGGAGGAGGAGTGGGAGCAGCAGTGCCGAAAGATGCTCGTTCCCGACTTCCCCAAAGCATTGGGCTCTCATCCGCTTGGTCTATCTCCTGTACCCATTCCGACAAACTTTTCTCAAGGGGATCGTTCACATTCCCCCCGTTTACCAGCGCCTCAAATTCAGCATCATCATCTGCGGCAAATGCGGCGGCTATGTCGTCGTCCAGAGGTACCGTGTTAGAAATTTTGGGTTTGTCAGTACTCAATTCCATGGAGTCAGCAGCAGCCAACATAGCATCCTCAAAGTCATCGTTGCTATCGAAGAACCCATCTAGTCCGATGGTAGGAGAATGCGTTGTACTTGAACTGGTAAAGTAGCTGCGAATGCTTCCAGAAGATTTTGTACTTGGATTTTTATTGGCAGTGATTTTCGGGGCTTTTTTGGGCTTTGGCTCACTTGGAGGTTTTTTGCTTGCTGGTTTTAAGGGTCCCTTATCAGGTTTTTTGCCTTTTTCTTTTGGATTTCCGCGATCACCTGCAGAGCTCGAGTTACCACTTGAACCGCTGTGCCACCCTCCAGAACCACCTCCTCCGCCGGAACTGCCTCCTCCTCTCCCGGAACCACCTCCTCCGCTAGGACCTCCACCACCTCCTCCGCTAGGACCTCCACCACCTCCTCCTCTAGGACCTCCACTTCCTCCGCCGCCAGGACCTCCACCACCTCCGCCTCCTCCAGGACCAGGACCCCATCCACCACCTCTTGCTTCGCCCACGATTCCACCCACTCTCTTCACCGAATCCAAATTAATGTTGAAACGTGGTTCGAAAAAGATTATCGCAGGGCAGACATGTTTTGTACCATCCTTGAGGAGTATTAAAAACTCCACGATAGTAAGGTGTGCTTAGGCGGAACTTTAGCATTCGGTGGCCATCGCCACATTTGGGACAACACTCGTCTAGCACGGTAACGTCCTTACACTCCGTTGGGATCCAAACGACGTTTTTGCAGTCAGGAAAGTTGTTGCAGCCAATGAACCAGCCCTGCTGGTTCTTTTTTGGCTTTAGCGCCAAAGGTGCCACATCACATTTTGGACATTGGAAGAGCGTTTGCATCGTGTGTTGACTCTGACTACTTCCATCGGTTCCCTCCTGACCCGAAGGATTCGCTGCAGGCGTTTCATTGATGCGAGCCGATATTTTGGCATCCATAGGCGGTGATCTTGTCGGTTATTTGTTGATAGGACTGCTTGTATTTTGCTATCTGCTCGGTTAAAACCACCTTTGGATCCTTCTGTCCTTGGCAGATTAATTTTAGATCCAACTCAAAATCTGCTCGCAACTGGGGTTTCGCCAAAGCCAGTTCCATAGCATCATATCCCTCGTATAGACCCATTCCAATAACACCGGGCACTAAGAAACCCTTGTCTAACACCCCGATATAACCACGCTCCTTGATCGTATTTATATGTTCGGCGTGCGTGGCGTCCGTGCCAATACCATGCTTTTCCATTAAGGCAATCAGATCAGCTTCCGTCAACAAAGGTGGGGCAGTGGTGGCTCCTTCGTGCAACGACACCTCCGTGGGCTCGAAACGCTGTCCGTTTTCGTAGTGGTGGATCTGCTTGGCACTCCACTTGTCGTATACATAAACGTCAAGGTAGTTGCGCTCGTGAATGACCAGACCATTGGCCGAGAACTTTTCACCGGCAATATCTATGTGAACAACAGTTTCAGATCCGATGCCGTCTTTGCTGACACAGGCTAGAAAATGTCGAACCACCAGTTCATATACTCGAGCCTCGTTTCCCTGCAGATCTATAGAATAATTTATAGTGTTGTTTATTGTTTACTGTTGGTTTACTCACTTTCTGTCATCTTGGTAGGATGAATGGGGGGATGCGCCTGATCCGATTTGTTACCGTTGCGTGGATTGGGTCCCCACTCAATTACTCTCTGGGCAAATGCTCCCCAAACGCTGTGACCTGTGTGCATTTCAACGAGAGGCACCAGATCGAACTCCTTGGAAAACTGATTGGTTTCCGTTCTGGGGTAGCTAATAAAACCCTTGCTATACAGTTTCTCTGCGATGGTCATCGTCTCCTTTGCAGACAGTTTGAGTTTCCTTGAGCCGAGTTTTTCCATTTCCACGGTATCCAGTGGAGTTGGACGCCACTTGTGTTTCGGCTTCACCGTAACGTTTTCGACGAGTGCCCTAGGTTCTGGTTCGGCCAGGCATAGTAGTAGGTAGTTCTCACAAGCCTCTTTATCAAAGAGACGGTTTCGAGACCAATTAAATTCCACCGTTAAGTCATCAATTGTGTGCAGAACTAAAAAGAATAGAAATATAATATAACGTTACAATATTAATACTCTTACCTTTGATCTTCCAAAATGGCTCGGACACAAAGGCCTCAATCTCTTTGTACCGCTCAGCGACGAATCCAAGAGTGGGAATTTGGCAACTTCCATACGAGATGAGTTTGTTTGCAATCTTCTCGGGAAAGAGTCGCTGCAGACGCATGGTCTGAAAGCGGGTGATGGCTGCTCCCGTTCGTAGATCTAGTTCAGTACGGACATCCACAGCATCGCTTTGTCTTTTATCCGGTTGGCCTAGTTGCTGGAGAGCCCGACGCACTGCCACAGAAGTAATCTCCGAAAAGGTTGCACGATACACCGTAAGATTAGGCTTGATAGCACGACATACATTAATAATCTCATAGCCAATGTTTTCTCCCTCGCGATCGCAATCCGTCCAGACAATCAATCCGTGACAGCCGCGCACCTCGCGTTCCAAGGTCCTTTTTATAGGTTCATAGTCCGGACCCACAGCTTTCTTCACCGGTGCGTCGAATAAGGACCGTGGATCCACCACTTTCCAATTTTTATAAGACACCAAAAATTCCAAATGCATTAGATGACCGGATACGGAGGTCATGACCATTTTTGCATTCTGCCCGCGCACAGGGGCCTCGAAATCGAAGACCTTGTTGTAGACCGAGAAGCCCTCGCGCTAAATGCATATAAACAAATAACACATTACTTAATTTTGACCACATTCCATACCCTTCGTGCTGCGCCATTTGACAGCAAGCCGGCAATTGTTTTAGCAGCGTCATTCTTCTCCGCCACGTTGAGGAACTTCATCTCCTGGCCGGGACTAGCGCAGTAGCATCTGTGTACGGCGATGACAGGACGAAAACATTTTAAGACAGCTTTCATTCAAATAAATTCGCAGGAAACCAAACATTAAATCGCGCCATAAGAAAAAGAAATAATATCGATATTTGCATCTGTGTTTTTGGTATAAATATCGATGTTTTGGCAAGTCAGCTGGTCCCACCAAACATCGGCGCTAGTTTTGAAAAAATATAGTAGGAAAAAAGTCATCATCATATCATATGCAGTCCGACGACACATTTAAAATCAAATATGTTCCCCTCTTCTCAACCCAAAAAAAGATTTGTTTTCTCCTGAAATACGAAACTATTTATTTTATTTATTATATCTCTCTATATAACTTGCTGTTTTGCATTCACGTTGATACGTTTTTTTTCTTGTTTTTGACTTCTCATTGCGCTTGTTTTTGGGGATTTTTTCTTTGCAATTTTTTTGTTCTTTTAGTGTTTTATCGTTTTAACTCAACATAAAATCTTAACAATTATATATCTGCATATATATATTTGTATGTAAGAAAAGGATAGATTGAAAAATGTGTAAATACAAAGGTAGTTTACGATTGTTAACCAATGTTTCGTCTCGCGCTTATTTGCATCGAGCCTTGGAGTTGGTTTCATTTCGTTTTTGAAATTGTAGTTTCAGTGTTATTATTTTGGACTTAGACTTAGCTAAACTCATTCGTATTTGTATGCGGTTCATAACTTATGTTCATTAAAATATTAGTAATATTTAGAGCGTTTAATTATGCAGTAAATGTGCAAAGTGCTTTTCTTCTTCTCAGCACTTACCGCACACTCCGCAGTTAGATATAGAATAACAACAAATACATGTTAAGGGTTTCTTAACACTTGTGAGCCAATCGGAGTTTCCCCGGCCGCATCAGCAGCGCAGGGCGATGCATCAACGACGCCAGGAACGATCCTCTGACTCCTCTTCCTCCTCCTCATCTTCCAGACGCAGCTCCGGCAGCGTGTCACTGCCCAACAGACTCTCGCTCTCGCTGACGGACTGAATCAACTGTTTTGGGTTCTCTAGGCTAACGGCCATGGCAACTGGTGCATTGGACTTATCGACCGGTGCCGCCATCGGAACCGGTGCAGGTGTCACAACGGGCGCCCAAGAAATCTAAAGTTTCATTGCGAATAAATAAAATGTTCTGATATGGACAGAACCTTTCCCCCATCATTTACCTGCAGACGCTTGTCTTTGTACATTTTCCCTCGGAGCACGGCCTGTTCGGCGTTTAGACGGGTTGCATACGAAAGAATTAACTGTGGAATCTCACGGTCAACATCATGCTTAGAAATCTCACCAAAGTTCTGTGGATACATACAGAAAAATTGTTATTATTATTTATATTTCTTAACTTTTGATTGTAAACAATGAAGTTAAACTGTTTCGGTATGCTTACTTTGAAGTGCCCCAGGACAAAGTCGGCCTCCTCGGCTGCAAAGCCAGTGACTACAATAGCCTTTGGACGCCTATCGACCCGCGTTGGACCCTCAGGCAGATTCGGGCGTTTTCGACCTCCACCGCCAGGAGCTCCAGATGCTGCTGCAAAGTGAGGAGACTTGTTGTTTGCGGCTGGGCCAACGCCAAGATTGCGCTGTAGCTCTTCGAGCCGTTTTTGTATGGCCGTAGTGTCATTGCCCTCTTGCTGCTGGGCAATCAGCTCCAGCTCCATGTCAAGCAACTCTTTCTTCTGCTGTTCCTTGGTCTTCTTAACGGGCGGCTGTTGCTGCTGCTGTTGTTGTTGAATTTGTGCCTGCAGTTGGTCTTGGTCGGCCTGGATCTCCTTGCCTAGTTTGTCGATTGTCATCTGCAGCACTTTGATTGTCTGCAGGGTGGGGGCCCTCTGGGCATCCTGCTGGTCCATGCGTTCCACGAGTTCTAGGGCAGTTTTCATTTGTTTCATGTAGCTCTGGAGCAATTCCTGTTTGCGCTTGCGGAGTCCATTGGCTAACTGGTGTACCGCCTTTTGCTGCTCCTCCTGTTTCTTACGGATGATGGCGGCATTGGCAGCCGGATTCAAGGGACGTCCCGATGCTGCTCCACCCGCACCAGATCCTCCTACAGGTGCGCCTCCCGCCGTCGTTGTGTTTAGTTTGAGACGCATAGAGGCAGGAGCCGCTGTGCTGGCCTGCTCCGTCGTAGGTAATCCGATGTTTCCTGCTCCCGCCTCGGTCAGAGGGTTGGCGTTACTGATCTTCGCACTATCAGCATTAGGCGTGGGTACTGCAGGAACGTTATGAAGGTGGTACTGACTCGCGTTTTTACGTCCACCACCTCCTCCATTGCCGCCCATTTGATTCATTTGTCCCACATCCGCTCCGTTGCTATCGTTGTGCCAGAATACCTTAATAAATCGATTGTTCAGCACTGCCTCCGTGCTCCTGTAGGCCACATTTGCTTCGGCATGGGTGGAGAAAGTCACAATAGCTGCCTCCGGGTCACCTTCGTATGATACCTGAATATTGACGATCTTACCAAACTTGGCAAAGTGGTTGTTTAAATGAGCGATGGTGTTCAGTCCTCGCGGTACTTTTCTCAGCTCCAGCGAGCTGTTGTGCTGCTGCATGTTTGGATTAACCCGTGGACCAAGGCGACTGTTAATTGGCACTTTACGCTTGGTGGGCACATCGGCAATGGCAACTGTATCCTCTAGTTCGAAACGACGCTTACCAATCTCCGCAACGCCTCCTGAGGGAGCGCCATCAACCACGGGAATGGGTATCAGTTGACGCTGAAGCGGAGTTGTCACCGCAGTGGGATTAAATGGGAATGGCATCATGGCAGGCTGCGGCGGAGCGCCTGGGTTGCGGGCATAGTCAGCGGGATTCGGAACACCCATCGGATTGGGTCCAGAGCCAGTCATTAACGTACTTGGTCGCACATTACCGCTAAATGGATTAATGGTCGTTTGCCCCGGCTGCGCTGGCGGAGGCACTGGTCCTTGGCCAGCACCTGGTGGCGGTGCTCCGCCCCTCGCCCATATTTCAGGGGCATCCGGATTGTACTCACGCATGGACATCATTAGGGCCGAATTGTTGATTCCCTCAAACACTACTGGGTTGATTCCGTGGTCCCAAGGACATGTTTCGCCTCTGACACAGTAGCCCTTTTCGTCAAAGTCCCGACACCGCTGGCGAGGATGAGCAGCGGGGTGCTCTACAGGGAGCAGGCGGAGCCACTGGAGCGGGAACTTGATTAACTTGGGCTGCTTGTACTCGGTCGGGGGAGTTCTGGTTGCGTCGAGCGTTTCGCTCTGGTGACATGGATCGACTATGGGAGCGTCGGCTCTTGTTGTTTCCAAATCGAGGACGTTCATCTGCATTACCACCGATGCGCCGCCTATCAAAGTTGCGGCGGCCATGATGCCGATTGTCGGTCTGAGAGCCTGGTGGGGATTTGTTGCGGAACTGTCGTTGTGTTTTCTCGCGTTCGTTTACCCTTCGGTCACGTGACCTGGATCGTCGGAAGGCTCGCTCGTTAGAACGAGATCGGGAACGAGAACGGGACCGCAGAGAAGCACGTCGCCGACGACTTTCGCGTGGCTGATTTTCCTTGTCAGCATAGCCTGCCGTCAGACCCGCTCCTCCTCCACCAGTCCCACTTGCGCCGCTGCTTCTGCCTGGTGGACTCGCACTGCGCACATGGTGGTGTTGGTAGTTGGAGGCGGACTGTGTATTGTGGGACTCTTTGGTTTTGTGCTGCTGGGGAAATAAGGCAAATTATAAACCATGCCACCACTAAGGTTCATTAAGACTCACATCGAAGGCTGGCTTGGCATCTGTAGAGGCGTGCGAGGCAATGCCTGCCTCCTGGCTGATAAAGGCCAACGCCTCAGCTTCCCTGGCATTGTGGGTGGCCTGCTCCAACTTGCCCTGGTTATCTGGGTTTATCACATTGTCTTTAGGCGGCGGAGGCGGGGAATCGGCGGCCAGAGCGGCCTCGATATCGTCCTGGGCCCCATCGATGGCCAGGGCCAGTTCCTGGTCGAGATCCAGCTCAGCAGCGGAGGCACTGGAGGCCGTTATCAGGGGGGCGGCAGGCACCGTCAGGTACTCCTCGCTGGCAATGGCATCGAAGAGGCGCTCTACAAAGCGCGTCGTTTCCTCGGAAAGGAAGACATCAAGCTGCTCGATCATGATCCGCTTGAGGTCCTTATCCGATTTGTCCTTTTTCAACAGCGCGATGACATAGCGCGCCAGGGCCGAGGAGTCCGCATCGCAGCTGGAAGTAAGATTTTATTGTAAAAATGTTCGCAAAAATCAATGATTGTAAAGACTTACAGTGGCTCCAGGACCACGCTCAGCCAATCCTTGAGCTTGTCCGAATTCTCCAGTATCATGCTGAGGCGGGTTTTTAGTACTCGATGTTGTATTTCTTTTTTTTTTTTGTTGGTTGGGGGCTACTTGCGTTGGTCTGCGTTAATCTGGGTGGGGGTAATCGTGCTCGGGGGGCACACACGCCCGAAAATGTATTTTTAAGATGACCTCTGCCGCTCAGGCTACGATTCTGAGGGGATATGGGTGGATTTTTGACTTCCGTCTAACGTATTTGCTTCTGCTTATATCCTCTGTAATGAGATATAAGGGGTTATTTCAGTTTTTGCCGAAAATTTTCCTGCCCTTTCAAGTAAATGTCAGTGCTGAGCTGCTTCTTCTTCTCCTCGCTCGGCTATCGTCAATAAGAAAGTTTCTCGATTTTGCTACCCGATACTTTTTGCTTGCGTACGAGCACGAACCACACACATACAACCCCACCGCACGTACACACACAGGCACGCAGGCACTCACTCACACACATTCATATCAGCAGCACCCAGTTTTTTGCGCCCAAATTTCATTACTTTTCCCGACGTTTTTTCCCGAACAAACATTAACGGCACATACCTTAAGCCTTAAATATAACTTATTAATACTATTTGTACAACAAATTTAAGTTTAAACAGCTATTTTTGTAATTTTCACTGCACTTTTCCTGTTGCAAGGTTGCTTTTTGACGACTCTAGGCTGCGTAGTCGATATATCGAGAAGCTTATCGATACCCTCAGCGAATGCCCTCGAACCAGTGCAGTCAGCTATCGATAGCTAATAAAGTTTCAAAATCTTAAATATTTTTTTTATATGTATAATTAAGAATGACTTCTAAATATTCAAGATTCATAGAAAAATACGATTAATATCTTAAGTATTTATAAACCATTTAGTATTATAATAAGAGTATTATAATAACATGTATTTATGTCGCTTTGTCAGATTAAAATAGATGTTTTGGCTTTAAAGCAGCTAGATAATCAAAAAGTCTGCATCCCTGGTAATTTCGTTTATCTGTGAAATTAATTTTGTTGATGAACAATAATAGCCATGTGCAGCATTGGCGAGGATGATTTTGGAGACGACGGGGCCACCCATGGAATGGTGGCAGAATCCCTACCTTCGGGGATCGTTCTAAGCCCAGGAGATTGCAACAAATGCGGCGTAACATCCAGCGAACTGTATAAACTCAACTTTCGGACGGCTGAGTGCCGTGACTGCTTTCTGGCATACGCGAGGCACAAATTTCGGGCCGCGTTGGGCGCAGCTAAGATCCTGCCAAGAAACGCCGAGGTGCTGCTTGTTCTAGACGGCTCGGCGGAGTCTCTGGTGCTCCTGGACATGCTTCACTTTGCCCAAACACAAAACACGTTTAAAAGACTCCACTGCAATGCACGTGTAGTCTACGTGGAGGATCAACCAGTGCAGGGCCGTGATCCAGTGGACGTGGATACGCTTAAGACTTTATCCACACAATATACACCTTTTGAGTTCCATGTCATTGAGCTGGGTGCATTTCCGGATTCCCTACGACAGATCCATTACTATAGTCCTAACAACGAATCGAACGAGCTTGCCCAGAAGATCAAAAAATTGCGAAGTCTCACAGCCCGACAGGATTACCTCCAGCAACAGCGCAAGAACCTAATTGCTTCAGTGGCCCAAAAGCTCTCATGCAGTCATGTCTTTGAGCCCAGTATAAGTGTGGATTTGGCGACTCAGCTATTGGCTGCTATAGCGCTGGGACGTGGGGGCAGTGCTGCCTTGGATGTGGCTCTCCTGGACGATCGGTTAACTGGTGATGTCAAATTACTGCGACCCCTTAAAGACCTCAATGAGCAGGAGATTCAATTCTATATACATGCTCAACGACTAAAGCCGCTATTGCAGAGTGGATCACGATATGGCCAGGATAATGGACCGAGTGCCAGCTTACAAAACCTCACATTCGCCTTTGTGGCCAACCTGCAACAGAACTACGCCTCTACCGTGTCCACAGTTTTTCGAACTGGGGACAAGATAGCTGCCAATGGCAATCCAGAGAAAGTCGTTTGTATTCATTGCCAGTCTGCACTGGATTCTCAGCTTTCCGAAACTTTACTGGCCATTGAGTATTCCAGGACCGTTTCGGGGGCTGGAGCTAGTCTGTATAAGAACGGAGATGACCTCGAGGGTTTGGCCAAGCGACGCCTAGAGTTGCAGGATGGGCTGTGCCACGCCTGCCGTGGCATACAGGCGGAATTTGAGAGCGGTTAATTGTTGTAGGTGATCAGAAAATATATATTTTTCACCAGAACCCTACACTTTCATTACAATTTTGCTAGCTTAGTGTTAACAAGTGGCTGCAGTGTAAGATGACCATCACAGGGTGGAACATTGGAGGCCAGCACGACCTGGTGAAAGTCGTAGACTATATAGCGATTGTATTGCTTGGCTTTTCGATTAAGTTGATTCACTGATCCTGGCAAGATGATTGTTTGTGTACAAGTGCCGGGCTGCTTGGGATACAGCTCATCCCCAGGAAGTACTCCAAACATGCCATCATTGCAGCGATAGTAAACGGGCTGAACCATTGTGCCTCCTTGCAAACTTCGTTTGCGGGTAAAGTTGAAGAGCTTCTGCCAGCTATGTAGGTTCATGAGACGAGCAACGTCGTAGAGCAGCATGAATGGAAGCCAAATAGTGCCGTTTTGCGAATTTAACCAAGCCTCTGTTGGACTCATCCAATGAACTGATGCCACCTCGTTCGGTTCCAGAAGCAAACTAATATCCTTAGCCTGCTCATCCAGCGTGGTGACATAATAAACAGTGTCATATTTCCGATTGGCAGTTGCTGCTGTCCTCCAGATAGACCACTCCTGTAGCGTCCAAAGGTTGGGAATGACATTGAGGTGCCTGCAGAGTTCAAGGAACTGTGAGGCATTATTGTGAACTCGATGTTGCCATTCAGAACGCTCGCTTGGCTCGAGGAGGAATGTACAAGGATGACCTGATTTAGAATCCCAGTCCCTAAAGCTATCTTGATTGGTGCAGATAAGAATGCCAACCTCCTCAAAGGTCTCTCTGAGCGCAGTCAGCCGAAGTGCAATGTCCCTCGAAAAGTTCTTTCCATCGCAAAGAAATTGAGGTCTGGGGGATTCCTGCTTCTGACTAAGAATGTTTAGTTGCCCATCGGTCACCCCAAAAGATTTAAAATATGTTATCCATGCTGGAGATTCATCTTCTCTGGGATCGAAGACTCCGCCAGGAAAAACACAGTGATTCAATGCGTAAGAAGTACTCTCAGTTCGCTTAATCAAAAGTAGCTTTAAAGAAAGGATCATATAATATATAGATCATATACATAATTTTAACAGTATTTCACTCACTTTGTAGTCGTACTCATTTAAAGAATCGTCTTTGGCAGCCAGTATTAAGCTAGCTGAAGGTCTATAAGATCCAGTTTGTGTAGTAGCCCCCATAGTTTAGAGTCCAGTGTCATTTAATTCCCTTTTCTACTTCCATAAACCTTTGATCTTAAGACCCATCCAACTTTAGTGACTACGTTGAGAGGTTAGACTAGTCGATACCCCTGTCGATGGATTTACTGATAATATATTTTAAATGTATACAATATGACAAAAGGCTCTTAAAATATTTAATTTGATATAGGCGTTTTATTTAAACCAGAAAGGTCGATTAAACGAATATTTTTTGTAATGAACGCCTGTTAGAATTTAAGCAGCATATTCCCTTCTCCAACAGGTAGTCTGAATTTTATAGATGTAAATAACAACAGCTGGTGAGTAATCGATAACTTTCCACAATGCTATCGATATCGCCGTGTTACCTAAACAAAGATGTCCAAGCTTTTGCCCAAAATTCGTTCCTCCTCCAGCTTGATCCTGCTGTCCAAGAACCAAGCTCCAAAAGCCAAATCATTTGACTACAATGTAAGCTTTAATGTATCTTGAATTTAAACGGTTGTAACAAAATCTATTTTACTACTTAGGCCTTACTTCTCACGCGAACTCAAAAGTCTAGTTTCATGCCGGAGTCTTCTGTATTTCCGGGGGGAGTTTGTGATGCCTCGGACAGTTCTCCCGCCTGGTTAAATCTCTTTCAGAGAAACAAAATCAGTGCCTCCAAACTCCAAAATATTAGCCACATAAAGGGACCACGTCCGGAGATTTTCCAGACCAAAGCAGATAAGGAAGCAATAGAACCGTATGAAAACGAAAGGTTTCCTTAGAAGAGTATCTTGATCTCTGTATGGATGTTTTATAGATCCCTAGCCTTGCGTCTAACTGCTATACGTGAGACCTTTGAAGAGTTGGGCATCCTACTGTGCAGGGACAACAAGTCATTGACCTCCACCAGCGGCTATGGAAAGTTCCACGATCAGTTTGATCGCGTTCACTGGCAGCACACCGTCCACAATGATGCCAGCCAGTTCCTGGAGCTCTGTAAGGAGCTGGAGGTCCTCCCAGATGTTTGGTCACTTCACGAGTGGTCTGCCTGGCGGACACCATCCACTTTTAAGAAACGGTTCGAGACGGCCTTTTTTATGACTGCTCTGGAACAGGAGCCGAGCGTACATATCGAACCCAATGAGGTCAAGGACTGTGCGGTAAATGCAAAGAACACCAAAGAATATTATAATATTTATATAAATAACTATACTAGCTTAACTTTCTAGTGGCGCTCACCATTGGATTACCTTCAAGCGTGCCTGAGAAAGGAGCTTTGGTTGCCGCCTCCACAGTTCTACGAGCTATCACGCTGCCTCAATTTTTCGACCTTAGAAGGTTTGCGTGAGTTCGCCTCGAAACGTGAGGTGAAAGGGATGGGGCTTATTCATCCTGTGATGTACAAATGCAAAAATGGAACTGTACATCTTTTACCAGGAGACGATGCGTATCCTGCAGATCCTGATGCAAGTAGCGATAAAATCGAGACTGGTTTATCTGTAGAGGAATTTCGTTCGCAGTCTAATGGGAAGTTGCATCGATCGGAGCACTGGAATCAGCATCAGTCGCAGCTTCTAATTAACTTTGACAGGGAGGATGGTCAAGTCCATCCCGTTGACCCAACCAAGCTTTAAGGACTTATCATTTTTTTGATATCATGTGCATTTATCTAGGTTTAATATAAAATATAATCTAGGTGAATATAAAAGAATATAAGTGATTTGAAGTTTGAAATTTCGTAAATGAGGTTAAAAAAAAAGAAAGTAGAACTTTGTGTAACATATATATATGAATTGGTTGAATGACTTTACTTTTATTTAGTTTAAATATGCTTTGAAAAATTAAGAATAAGCTAAAGAAAAATGATTTTTAAAGAATACAGAGAAAAGCAGCATTTAAATGCATTTTCTAGGTTTTGACACGGTTATCCTTTTTTACTGCTGCTGGCCCTTGCCGTACCACAGTTTGTAAAGGTATTCAGACTCTTCTTGGGTGGCATAGCTGTTCTCGTATCCCAGTTTATCTTCTGTTTTCGATCTTTAAAAAAGTAAATAGTTAATAGCAGTTTGAGCATCAAGGTTAACTTAGAACTTACTGGTAACTTGGGACATATTCCGGATGGGTCCAGACCTCATGCGGCTTGTGGTTAGGCGGATTTTTACGCTTGCATCCTTCCACCGTCTTTTCAATGCTTTTCTGGTTGTCTAACAGGGCAAGAAGTTTATGATCGATTTGGGAGGTGGCAACCTGCACTCCATGCACAGTGCTTTCGATATTATTGAGGCTTTCAGACTGGGTGCGATTAAGTAACACTAGACCCCACTCCAGTTGATTCACCTTGCGATTGGCCCGATCAGCCAGGACATTTAGTTGTTCAAGATATCCCACTTGACCAATTATATTGCGCTGCTGTTCCTGGAGAACATTGGCTTTGTTGTCCAGACCGATAAGCTCCCCAATGATACCTTGTGCCAGAAGCTGCTGGATCTCCGATAGGTGCGATTCGACGGACAGGGCAACGGCATCCAAATCCTGCTCATATTTGTTTTGGTTAACAGCTACTTGTCCAAGGACACTCCTGATGTCCAGCTCCACTTTGGTCAAGTTCTGAATGGACTGTTCATTTTTGCTTTGAATTGCCGTGACAAGTGCTGTCAAATTTCCTACTCCTGAACCTGTAGCCTCAAAGCTGTTTTGAACCTTTTTTTCCAGCTGAGCTAGAGCAACCTCCAGTCCGGCAATAAGTTGGATCTCATCCCGCTGATGTTTGAACTTCTCTTCGATGCCCTTTTGTACGTTTTTCACTTTCTCCAATCCCAAATTTAGCTCCTCTGTTCCTTTTAACAGCTCTCCGACTTCACTTCGGATTTCGGGAATTAAGTCCAGATCAAGTGCAGTGGCAGTGCCAAGGTACATGCAGATCGTTACAAATATCAGTTGGACATTCATAGTGTTTCTTTGATGGTTGTTCAACGCTGTGTGTCTTCTTTCCATCTGAACCACACCTTAAGTAGCCCAACTTAAGGTCAGAAACGTGTCTTAGACTGGGTTGAGTTATATCAGTTCCAAAACCACCGACTTGCTCTTTAGTGAGTGCAGCTGCAAACGGTACTCTAATCTTCATACTTTCATTTCATACTTTCAACAGATTACTATCTATATTTTTAAGATAAAAACCAAGTTGCAAAGTTGTTTTTTGGCAAACAACCATAAACGAATTATGTTCCATGTTGTTATACTAAATAATGTTAGTTCATCGACATTTTAGCTAATTTAGAGAAAATCTAGGGATTGTCACGTCTTGAAATTCTTCTTTGTTTCCAAACAGTTTTCTTGGTGCAAAGATTGACCTGGTTTTTTGTGTGTAACAGTAGTAATGATACCACCGACAAACGTGCCCCAGCTGCTTCTTGTTATAGTTCATTCAGAAAATAGGTCTTCGTAGGTATGATAGTAATACCAAAATTTTTAAAAAATCTGCGGGTTATCTAGAACATTTTTGAAATGGTCTAAAAGTCTAGAAAAAGAAAATGTTTCTTTGTTCTGTAAACTCTTAAATGGTTTATTAATAACCTAAATATAATAATTTTGGTAAAAACGCCTAAAACTCAATTCTGCCATCTTGTTTTCCGTATTTCTTAAATTATAATTAGAATATTGATTTTAATCATAAGATTTAAAGTTAAGAAAAATAAAGTTCATTTATGCTTCAGAAATATACCGGTAAATTGTCGAACCTTTTCAGAAAACTTAGCTATTAATTTTTAATAATATTGCAATATGCACCAGTTCGTCATAGACTTTCTAAATGTAAAAAATCTCAGATTTTATTAAATATTCGATTTTATTTAGAAATTGAGGAAAAAATGTTGTTAATTTTTTTTAAATTTAATTTTTAATAATTAGTCTTTATAATGCGATTGTATATTCGTTTTCCCCCTTTCCCATTTAAAACTTATACAAATATTTAATCTTTTTTTGCATTATTTTTTATTTATCAAAACATAAAAATGTATTAAATCGGTTATTAAAGTGTTATTTTTGAGAAGTTCTATTAAATTTTACTAAACGTTTCGGGTATCGGTTTCGGGAATACTATTTGTGCCAGTTTGATCTATCCTCAGTATCCTTGCGGTTGTGAACTATCTCCGTACCAAATCCTGTAGGACTCTCCAGGCTGAAGGGGTTCTGGCTTGTAGGTTTCTTCCTGTTGAGGTTTCGGGGATTGGTCGTGGTTTGATTTCGGCTTATATCCAACAGAAGTTGGGTAGTGGTTCGGGGTTAGGAGATGGGTGGACAGGAAGCGGAAGTCCATAGGTTGCTGGAGAAGACTGCTGTCCTTTGGGACATGGTTTTGACTTGTCATTGGAGATGGGTCCGTAGGCAGGAGCTGGTTTCCATGGCTGGTGATGATGAACTGGAGCGGATTGGTATGGAGAGGGATTCTCCCAAGGTACCGATTGCCGCCAGGACACGGCGCTGGAGCTCTGATGATTCTTCTTTGGCTCGGGGGATTGAGCATAGGCAGAGACCCTATGGTTTCCGGAATATTCTCCTGGGAAATGGAAGAGCGTATTATTATTAAACAAATTCAAGGGCTGTTATAACAAACTTACCTTGCTTGGGCTCCTCCTTGATGCTCCACACTTGCTCCAAATCTACCTGCTTGGGCTTGGGCTGGGAGTACTGCGGCTCTGGAATCTCAGCTCCATAGCTAGGGAGATATGACTCATCCTGATGGCCATATTCCGGATATGGCTGGTGCCGACTGCACTCCTCCAAATCCAATTCAATGCGTTTCTGGGATATGATCAATTCACGCAGAGCTGCCTCCACTTTCCAAGAGCTTTGAGGCTGCAGGCGCTTCACAGCGTCGATCAGGGAGTCAAGGCGCTGCTCTTGGGTGCGATTCAACTGCTTCAATTGGAACTCAAGCACGTCCAGCTTGTGGTTAGAGTCCTCGCTAAGTTCCTTGACTCCTGCCAGGTTCTTTAGCTCCACCTCCACGTTGATTTGGGATGTTTCCAGGTTATTAAAGGTGCACTTTAGCCCATTAAGTTGGGGGAGCACAGTCCTAGTGATCAGTTTGGCCAGCCCATCGATGCTTTTGTCAATGTTTCGCGAACTGTTGAGAACATGCCTCTGGTAGGCTTCCATTTTGGCCTCCAGTGCATTGAGCAGCTCCTTGGTGCCTTCCTGGATACGGACCAGTTCCAAAAGCTCTGCCCCTGTGCGATTTCCGTACTCTTCGCCTTGCCGAGAGAGGTTCAATAGGGTAGCCACCAGATTCTGGGAGCTTGTTTCCAAGGACAGAGTCAGTTTGGCCAGCAGACTCTCAACGAGAGTCAGAACTTTCAGAGCCTCCTTTTGCTCGGCCAAGCCAACTTGGGTCTCCTCGCTAACTACTGCGATCCTGGTCAGGAGCGTATTGGCAGCCTCCACGCCTTTAGCATTATCCTTCAGAAGGTCAGCGATGCTTTCCAGCTCGTCCTCCGCTGGGATGCCACTGAAGCACAAGCCCAGAAACAAGAATGTGATTAAAACTTTCATTTCAACTGCAAGTTGCTTTCGATTGGGAACACCAAATGCAAGTGTTTCTTGTTGGTCAAGGGCAGAGCTTAAATATGTTTGCGACGTGTGGAGAGTAGCTAATCTATGTAGGTTTTTTGTTCTTTTACACAATTGTTCTTTGACTGTTCTTTCGTGGTTTAATCTGGTCAAAAGGTAAAAGTTTGAATTTGGCACGAATTCAAATTTCAAATATTGAGCTTACTGATACGCGGTTATCGATCATTTCCTAGAGCAGGAGGCGGAATCGATAGACATTTGGCAATCAGCTGATTGGAGGGAACAACTTTTTGATTTTGTTTTGCGGTTGGAATTAAATAGTTTAGTCCAATATTTAGCTAAATATTCAAGGTCATGAGCCAAGTAGCTTCTGCGACCAAGTGGCGCACTTCGGCCAGTATAATCCTGGTAACTAGGGATGCTGTCAAAAGCGAGGAGTACAAGGTAAGTACGGGAAATCCTTATCGAAAATGGATATATGTTTTAATCCCCATCTTTCAGTTGCTAATGCTAAAAAGAAGCGATGCCACAGCCGTCATGGTCAACCAAACTGTATTTCCCGGTGGCCTTCTGGATACCGAAGCGGATGAGAACGTGGCCTGGCTACAGTACCTCGAAGAGTTTGGTGTCCCGCAGGAGGCACTGCGTCGCCTAGTGCTCATCCGCGACGATCGTCCTGCCATCCTGGCACCACAGGGAACCGGTTGCTACGATCGGTTCTTCAAGCGCTCCCGCATTTGGGCGCGGTAAGTACAAAGGTTGTGGTTAACTCTGTCAGATTAGGAGTTTAATCTTTGACCTTCGTTTTTGTTTAGGGAGATTACGCTACGACTCACTGCCGTGAGGGAGTGTTTCGAGGAGGTCGGACTACTGCTTTGTCGCAGTCGAAGTCAGCTGGATTTCGGTGCAGTTTCTTGCGTGCAGGATGTTCCTGATCTGGAAGCGTGGCAGCGTAGAGTGCACGACAAGCCCAGTGAGTTCTTGACCCTTTGCCGAGAGCTAAAAGTGGTGCCGGATTTGTGGGCACTACACGAGTGGTCTGCTTGGGCGAGTCCGACATTCATGCGGAAGGGGTTTGTATTTGTTTGAAATCTTAAAAAGATTTTAATTTACTACAACTCTTTTATAGAATTTGTGAATATTATTTGAAATTTAACTTCCTACAGCTATGAAACTGTTTTCTTTATGGCTTTTGTGGACAAGCAACCAAAACTACTCGAGGAACCTTCTGAGGTCAAGGAGACGCTAGTAAGTTTAACCTGATAATGATTTTATTTTACTTTTATATAGTTCTTAATTTTAATAGTGGCTGACGCCAGTGGAACTTCTGCGACTGGTTGATCTAGGAGAAGTTTGGTTCCTGCCTCCACAGGTCTATGAATTGTCTCGGTTAATGGGAATCAAGGAATACCAAGGTCTGCTGGATTTTGCCATAAAACGAAGTGCATTAGGCACGACGATGTTCTTGCCAGTCTCTTATGACTGCAAGGGTTCAATGGTTTTTGTCCTACCTGGTAAGGATTAGAAAGGAGTCCCTAAAGCATCCATAAAATACTTTTTACTCTTTTTAGGTGATGACTTCTATGTTCCCAGAACCAAATTTGATTAGTGAAATCATCAGTTTTCCCGGCTCCGAAGATGAGTTTAGATCTCGTTCAAAGCACCTGCATCGCTATACTTATGGGCCTTCAATTCGTAGCCTGGAGTTGAATATTCCTCCGCCCAATGGACACTTGAGACCACTAAAATTCCATCAGGAGCGCCAAAAGCTATAATTACATTCCATAGCTGGCTGGCCTTTCAACGGGAGCGGTGACCGCAGCTGCTAAGCTCTGATAAGATGCTAAATGTGACCTCTGAAATGACTGGGTCACAAATTGTTGTTTTGAAATTATTTTAAGCGGCTTTAGCCGGCCATCAAATTATCAAGACGCTGGCTCTAAAGAGCATTAATTATTATTTTATAGGCGAAATTTTAATTAAAAAATATACAATTTAAGTTAAAGTTGGTCGTAAGTTAGCTAACGAAGATGTTGTCCCCTTTTGGGTTATACTTTCTAGATGGTTAGCACATCAAAAGCGCAAATCTATGCATATTCATGTCCTCCCCTTGAAAACCGCAAATTGGTATGGGCACGGAATTGGAAGAGGAGGAGGAGAATACCACAAGCTCAGACTGTATATAATTTCATCCCATTAGAAATGCATTTAAATCACTTTGTGTCCTGAGACACTCGTCCTCCCACCCACGAACACCACCTGCCGTGTGACTTTGTGCGCTTTACAGCCTTGTCTTGTTTGAATCCCAACCAGTCTGCACTTCCACCCCCCCCGGGTGGGCCGTTTAAAAATCAAAATCTCAACGAGCTTCGTTTCCCCACTTTTGTTTGCTCCGTGCCCGCTCGACTGTTTATTATGCATTGTAAAGGACCCAGCCAGGACAACCCTCCTCAGGGATTTTCGAACAGCTAGAGGGGGTCGAATTTCAACGGCTGAGGCTGTGTAACAATTACTTCGTTTAATTTAACCTTTTGTGGCTGGCTTCCGGCGTTTATTGTTCCTTTGCTGTTCATTTAATATCGATTAATTATGCTATTATGTGGACCAGCGGAAGTAACCATTATGGAGTGTAATTAATAGAGTACCCCCCACGTATTATGGTAGAAAGGAGAGTACTCCCACGCATCAGGAGGAGAGGTTGGATTTTAGAGCTGCGGAAAACAGTTTGTGATGAAGGGAAAAACCAGTTTATTGTTATTAATAAGGTTTTTAATAATAATTGAGTACATTTTTAAGAGTCTGTACTTGCTTTGACACTTTATTTAGCCATTTAGAGTAGTAAATAAATAACATGTTTATAAAATATATTTTTTAAAATTAAATATCTTATACATTTATAAAACTAATTCTTCTACAAAATTGTGCCCTGACAACACTGCTACCAACAGATTTTCTAATTAACAGACATCGCAGGCAAGAAGGTCGACAAATCCGCCCATAAATTACACATTAAATTTAAATGCATAATGTGACAAAGTGTCCGGGTGAGTTATGAGCGGGAAAGCCGCTTAGCATCTACTAAGAAATTTCAGTTCCCGGGTAAATTAGCATCTCAGGCCCACGACTCCAGGCAGCCAGAACTCTTGATTTATGCAAGGGTGAGGAAGAGAGGTCTTACGAAAATGAAGAAGACAAGGCCTGTAATTGAATTTAGAGCTCATTTTCATTGCCCACGACATAATGCTGATTTACGTGGCCAACGATTTGGAATTGCCTTATTAATTGCCTAGAAAGGTGGAAATGCATATCACGTACGTAGCTCACCATGTCTTCTCGGATAGCGACCAATTAGAGTGATTATTCGAGGTGGTCCCGGTAACCTGGCGGTGACATGAATGCCAAAACAAAACTTGGCCAGATCGATTCGCAAGTAATTGACAACTTCTCACCCGGACTTCCCACGGGTGTAACAAAACACACACTTGTTCCATAGAGATTTATTTTTATTGTTTGCATTGTTTGCACTCAACTCGACTCGAGTCGTTTTTTTACCCTGTTCTGGTGTATTCGGGTATGATGTATGGTATAATATATATATCTTATATATGACTATGATTAGTTCATTATTAGATATCCATCAGAAATTCTTGTTTTTATTTTTAATTTAACTTTCCAATATTTTACAAAGTTTTGGCTTAGTTCTTTAACAGAAATGTCTTCAAGATAACCATTGGAGACATTAATGGGAATATCGTTGTCTGATCTCTCGTCTATAAAGTACTTTCTTCTATTTTTTTTTTTTTGGTTCCCCTCGGGGCAGGTCCGCTAAATGAGTATTACCGCAATAAATCGCCGCAATTCATTTAAGGGCGAACCGGCTGGCTGGCAACCCTTAAATCACCAGCAGAAGCTGCTAACTGTTGATGAGAGCAGGCGGTCGGTATCGTCGCCCCCTACCCTTTGGCCCACTTCAGTGTATACCCCGGCACCCCTGCAGGGCACCACCCACTATTCGTCAGACCGTGAACCTGTTACGGCATGTCAGATTGTCACTGGGGAAATTGCCCCTGGCCCAAAACGAACGAAAACTCTCCTCTCTCCGGCTGGTCGGACAAATTGCATCAATTGACTTGCGTGTTCAACATAATGGCAATTGCGGCTGCCCCCGGGTGGGCGGGGGTCTTTGGTGGTGGAGTGGCACATGGAGTGGGGGTGTGGCGACGACAGTTCGACTAATGCACTACATGATTTTCTAATGATGTCTTTATTTTGCTTGTTAAGAATGAGCTGGATCCTTAAAAACTTTACTAAGTCGGAAGCGGATGTAAGGGTGTAGAGTTTTATAAATTTTAAATTAATTTCTTAAGCCTTTTTTGTTCACTTTAATTCCTATAAATTGGTTTTAACAGTAACAGAATGTTAGTTTCGGTTTGTAAACATTTCTCATCCGCCATGTAGGCGATCAACAGTATTCAGTTGGTATTCATCTCTCTCTACCTGATGCCATATTCATAGGTTTATTTAACTTTAATCTTCATATATTTATGAAAATGACAAACGACGTTTCTTAAGAAGAGTATCATTCAAATTTTGGAGACTTTGGAGACTTCATTTAACTAACTAATAGGCTGTAAGATTTACAAAATAACTTAACAAAAAGTGCAATTTTGTAGGTAGCCTTATATCTAAATTTCCTTTAAAAAAATATATGTGGAAACCTTTTAGTAATTTGTTTACTTAATATGTCCAGGGTCCAACGCAATTAGCACTGAAAATACATGGGAACATATGTAGGCATCTCTTTATGTGCAAAGAAATTTACTTCAACATTTACCTGTATTTGTTTAACATTCCCTTAGAAATAATTGAAAAGCACCTGGTGACAGACGCATACACGCACCCTTAAACCTGCAAGCACACAAATGCAAAGTGGGCGTGGGCGTTGCTGGTAAAATATGAATTATGCGCTTGCTCCAATGGGTTTGTTGTTGTTACCGTTAATTCCTATTTAGTCCTTGCTCTCCATCTCTCTCTCTCTCTCTCACACATACTTCTTTAAATGCTCTCCCTCTCTCTTTGGAGATTTCACACCTAAACACGGCCACCATTACAAAAGACACGCACACATACATATACAGACACCTAAAGGAAGGGGATTCCCCTCCCTTCTTGGAGGACACTACGTAATTCATTTTCCAGTTTTGGACCTGCGCAAAGGAAAAGGTTCCGTTGGAAAATTAAGCTGCTGCCTGCATTGGGGTAGGTGTATAGAGCATTATGTTGTCACCGATTTCGATTGCATTCCACACACATATATATATCTACATATATATATATATATACAGACATGTATGCTTGTATAGTTTACAACATAGCGTTGCATTTCGGTACATGTGCATAATTTGCAATTTCGTTAGCGGCGCCACTTTTTGCATTTTTCTGTTATCTGTGCAAAAAACGGGTGACCTTGTAACATTGTTTTAATTGCAATTGGCAATACAAATTGGATACTCGTGGTAATGGCAGCAGCAGGAATATCTATATAGCTCAAATCATATATTTACTTCAAACGAAAAGTTTCTCTTTTGTCTTATCGCTCTACCCAATAAACTTTACCAGCTGTCGAACAATCGAGAAAATAGATTCATCTGACTTTGTCCAAGAAACTCCAGGGACCCTTATCAAAATCGCAGCTACCATCTCATATTTCCATTCCGGGAAGTCCATCAGCGGATGGGGTGGCATTTAAGAAACCATAAATTTGACGGCAATAACGGATAAAGTATGTTTATTTGGATATTAGGCTAAGCAGAAACAACGAAACGGAAAGGGCCCATAAAAGGGGTAGCAGGGCAGGGCCAAAAAGAAATTGCGACACAAGACGCTGTGAAACCAGACGGAGATGTCTCTCAAAAAACTCTTTAACACTTGACTTAACCCGTGTGCGTACAGTGCAAGACATGTATGGAAGTCTAAAATATTCTATTTAAAGTGATCTAAAGGTTGTTGTCTTCTTGAACTGAACAAATCTTTGACTATAATTTTAACTTTCTTTTTCTATTACTTAAATCATAGCTAAATTCAAAGAATATATTTTAAAATCGAACTATGAAAACTACCAGTGAAAACTTATCCCTACGTTCCGCACTGTTTTTCCTTCCGCCAAATAAAAATGTTCCATAGAGGAGGGTGGTTATCAGTGTGCTCGGCATATAAATATGAATTGTAATAGATTTAGATATGAATCAGACATACCATATGTACGGATAGATGGTAACCGAAGGACCTCCAACAAAGGTCTGGTCAGTTGAAAGGACCAGTCCCAGCGTGAAAGCCAAGCAAATTGATTGAAGTAACCGTTTGCTTTGAGGAATTCTAAAAGAAAATTACAAAAATATTCTGTAAAATGGTACAAAGGGAAATATTAATTTTCCATTTGCTGGTGAATGAGGATAATAAACTTTTAAGCCAAATGAAATAGTCGCTTCAGTGGAAAGCTCACAGCGTAAAAACGACAAACGAAAAAGTTTAAAGTTTCCGCCGCTGGAAAAAATTGTGAAAAAATTCTTGTGCAGATTGAGCGTATCGAATTCGACACCCAGCTAAGATTTTGGGGTCTCCTTGGCCCTTTTTTCGCTGTTATAAATTTTATGGCACTTGCCACGTGTCGCTGATTTGTACACGGGCAAAGTGTGAAATATTCCGGAAAGGAGTCTATAATATGGTTTACCTCCCCTTCAATCGTCAAACTGTCGAAGCGTGAAATATTCTTTGCTTCTTCACTTCTCCAGGAAAAAATTTAATTCGTGCGGAAATTCAACCAATTTAAAAGGCGAACACACACACACGACCCCCCTTTTCTTGGTTCTGACTTCATTGTATCCTTTTTTTCTTCCAGCTCGAAGGAACGGAGGGCGAACTGCTTAATCCGTTTTATTGTGGTAATAAAACTACGATACAAATTGTTTGAATGAGATTGAAAAACATTTGAATTGAGCA